AGTCTCCCACTGCATCAACTGCCTTACCAGCAAGGCAAGTTTGGCCTTTTTGGCTATGATTTGATTTTCTTTTGTTTAAAAATTTTTGGGTGGAGAAATGTCCATCATCCACCCCTTGTTACTTGGATGATTTTTTATTTTTCTTTTAGTAAAAGTGGGGATCACAATGAACGGTGGATCTGAATTCTTAATGGTTAATGGTGGAGGATCTCGGTTTATGTCGACATCCTAAAGATTCAAAGTTTCTGGAAGTATAAATATTAGTCAAAATGTACTCTCATTGGTAATTTACTCATTAAATGGCATTTAAAAAAGTTAAACTTTATTTATAGTTTATGCTTCTTTCTTTTAAGTTATCTTGCAACTACAACAGTACGTACTGCACATTTGCTAAAAGGACATGTACAAATGCTTTTCTTAACTGTTTCACAAATTGGATGCCTAATAGAGATTAAGGATATCCTCAATTTTCAAATACTTAATGACAAAGGTTTCATGCAAATTAAGGATGTAAAAGGCATGATTTTTTTTTTTTTTTTTTTTAATGGAAAGTCTTGAATTATTTGAATTACTAATTAGTAATAAAATCCATAATTCTTTTTTATCGACTTAAATATAATTTATTTAATAATTTATATATATGTATTATGAATCAAATGAAGTATTAGTAAAGACAACGAAATTTTTTCCTTACTTAAAAATAATGGAAATACTTTTTTATATGATATTAGGAAATTAATGAAAATGGCAAGACAAGACAAGTGATGAAGCAAATAAAAGGCAAACAGAAAAATAGAAAGGCATGCAAATAAAGTGTGGTCTTATGACAGCACATAAAAACTATCTAATTAGGTTTTTTTTGTTTTTCTCCTATTCTTTCTTTCTTTAATTAATTAATTAATTACTATATCTTGTGTGTTGACAGGTGAGTGGGGGATCTATGCAATTCCACCATGCTACAATTGGAGATCTGTTGGGTCCATATATTAATAACAATGAAAGGCAAATTTTAAGTATTTAATTTACTCTGCCAAAAAGGAAAAAAAAAAAAAATATTATGCTCCGTTTGTTTTCATAAAATGACTTGCTGAACGATAGTTTCCAAATGACTTATTTTTTATTATTTGGTTATAATATTTAAAATTAGTTAAAAAATATTAAAGTTTTTATCTAATAAGAATATAAAAAATATTATTAATAATAAAAATTTTATAATTTAAAAATTTATTATTAATTAAAAATTTTATTTATTAATAATAAAAATTTTATAATTAAAAAATTTTATTGTTAAACATGAAAAAAATGAAAAAAAATATAAATTATGAAAGTCGTCGGTAGTCGATGGTAAATGGTAATTGGTGGTAGTGACTACGATGGTTAATAAATTAAAAAATATGGATTTTATAAGATTTGTCAATGTCCTGAAAAATGAAAATGAAAAGTTATTTTTCTTAAAATATGATTTATCTTTTTTACTAAAAAAATATTTTCCGTTAATGAAAAATTAAAAAAATATATATATATTTTTAGAAATTATTTTAAAAAACAAACGTAGCTTTCGTTTCTTCAAAATATGAGCAGTGAGAGCTCTTATCAAGCTATGAAAAGGGTGCATAGCATGAGAACGAGAAAATACTGTTGAAAAAAAATTTTCCACATGAATGAACGCCATCTGATTCATCCTTTATTTTTATATAAAACTTTAAAAGTGGTCCGAATCATTTTGATTGTGAAAAAAAATATTATTATTTAAAGTTAGAGAACCATTCTGTTATATGTCCGTGATATTATATCGGTTGATTTAATTTTGAATATATTATATTTATGGAAAAAAAAAAATTATATTATAATATAGAGAGCATGTGAGATTCCTTTGGGCATCTAGACCTCTACCCTTTGTCCTTGAGGCCCTTTTCCACCTCAGAATCACATGGTTTGGTTTTGAAATCTTTTGGCCACAGTATTGTGATTTGTGGCTTACACGCAATGCCACTACTGCTTTTTACTCACCATATCAAAAGCTTCCGTTTCAGCTGAAAAAATGTACAAAAGCTAAACCCCCCAAAACACAAAATTGCTTAATACTATATATACATACATATATGTGTGGACCTACTCCTTGTCCAACACCTACTCTTTAAAGTTGGATCTTTAATCCCCCTCCTGTTTGATTCCTTTTTATTATGGTATATTCTTTCCTTCCTTCCTCCTTAACCACATTTTTCTCTAATGCAATACTGTTTTCAAACATCCAGTAGATCCACCACTCCTTAAATCAATACACAGTGTGATAATGATTGGTTCACTTTCTTCATCTCCTTTTTCTTTTATGTTTAAGTTTTACATTTTAAATTATTATTAAAAAATTATTTTTAACCGAGTTTATCCCATTAAATCTATTAAAATGGTAAGTCAGATTACTTTTTAAATATGAAAACATTATTATTATTTTTTTCAGTATGATCTGATCGATCGAAGGAATACAAAAAGACAGCAAGAGAAATGGTTTTTGGTTGAATTGCGATGTAGGTGATTGAAAATATTATGAATGGCGGTACAATTTGCTTGTACTGAGCGAGGCAACTTTTGTCCCAGTCTTTGCTACAAACATTGTTACGTAAAAGAAAGCTTAAAATCCAATCTGCTGCACCATCTGAAAGTACATGGTCCGAATAAGCATATATAAACTTTTAAGTGTTTAAGAATTAAAATATACAGACTTATAATTAAAATTCTCCTTTTCCAATATTGCAAAAAAAAAAAAAAAGGAAAAATGAATAATAATGTGAAAAGGGTATAGCAAAGTTTAATGAAAAGAATACATTCCAAATGACAGTGCATGAAAGCTAGATGAGGTCGACATTGTTTTGTCTGGTTAAGACTTTTTACTTTGAGTTTAGGTACAAGTAGTAGTATTTTCTTTTTATATAGGGTTTAGCCGCCTCTTTATTTATGATTATGATTTTAAGAGTTCATATTGGCGTGGAAGCCAAAATCAAAACAATTGTTTCTACTAAAGAGAATAACAAAGTCGAGACGTGCAAATAACTCTCTCTTTTGACTTGTCTTCCAATGTGCTGCTGCCTTTTTCTAAAAGCTACTAATTAGTAATTACCCTTCACCAAATTAAAATTCTCCTTGCCACTAATTTTTTTGGTACCATCCATACCCTAATGGATTAGGACTACCTCTTGCTCCTGTCAAATTTGCCTGATTAGATTAAATGTTTAGGTCGAGTATTTTTTTTCTATTTATAAAAATCAAACTCTCGACTTCACTCGAAAAATAAAAATGCCGAATTATTCATTTTATCACTAATTGTTTGGCATTATCATTATTTTTAATTCACCATAAGTACTAATTTCAATCTTTTCTAGTAAAAGCCCTAAAGGATGGATAGTTTGGCACGTTTGGTATGAATTGTATATATATATATATGTTGTTTAAACATTAATAAATAATAACTAATGAACAATAATAAATAATACCAATTTGGGTATTATTTATTTGAGAGGAAGGAAAATTTTAGTGAATTCCTTCAGAGCTCACTATGAATCAATTTCTCCATTTTAGAGAGAAAATATGAGTGAATTACAAAAAAAAAAAAAAAAAAAAATTCGAGGAAAATTATAGTGATATCTTCTCTTTATAAAAAAAAAAAAAAAAAAAATAAATATCCTGCAAAAAAAAAAAAAAAAAAAAAATTGCACTTTTCAAAGAAAATTACAAAAAAGTTAATTTTCATATGATACATATGTTTCCATAAAAAATAATAAAAAAAAAAAGTAATCTTATTTATTTAATAATAAGAGTAAATTTATAAATTAACAATAATGACATTCTTTTTTCTTATCATACTCTGTCCCATAACTAAGAAAAAGAATTTTTAATCATATATTATTTTCTCTTCTTATTTTCTTTCGTTCACTATTTTCTTGCCTCTCTTCTTCAACGAGAGTGTTAAGAAATTACCAGTGAATCAGTGACTTGAACTGGTGTAGACGTCAAAAGTCGGTCAACCTCATTCGACATATATAAAATTTTTCCACGAACACAATTATTCAATCCAGGAACCAAATTAAACTTTGATTTCATATATCTTAAATGTGCTGATTAAACAAGCAATTGAGAATGTTTTATTTTATAAATTTTCATATTTGGAAAAAAAAAAATTTATATATTCACATTTGCTATAATTATCGTAATTAAAATAATTCGTCTGACTTTCAGTATAATGACATTTTAATTTACTTGTAACTCGAAAATCATATACTACAATTCCACTTATAAGCCTTCTTAAATATTAACATTCTCTCCCGCTGTCTTAGCTAACTTAACTCTTAAGCATTGGTGAGGAGACATTTGCAAATATATCTAAACTAGTTTATTTCTCTAAAAATACGATTAAATTATTTATTCTTCAAAAATTAAAATTGAGTTGCAGATTATTTATTGGGTTTTACTTTTTAAGTAGCAATGGGTGATTAAATTTTAATGATTTGGATTAGATTATATGATTTGGAGTGTCTTAATGCTATAAATAAAGTCCAAAAAAGCATAATTTGTTACTGATTAAATATGTTCATAAACAACTTCAAACGTGAGAATTCACGTTTTGAATAGCTATTCCACTGCCCTCTTCTATTTTTTTTTTTTTTTCCAATAAATAATTATAGAACGCAACAAAGATTACTGCAAAATTCCATGTGACCCAGTAAAGAAGCAAAACCCATAAGCAATTAAAGCTGAAAGTAGGAATTTTAAAATATTAAAATAAAATATAGAAAAGGAAGGGCATGAGACAGAAAAGCAGAGACCGACCAAGAAAAATAATAATTAAGAAAAGGTTAAAAGAAAAAAGAAACTAAAGATTAGACGGTCCCGGTAAGTCAAAAAAAGCAAGGAGTGTAAAAACCGAACAATTCAGTTTCTTTTCCGGTTAGCAATTAACGTCCACTACTAGAGCATGCTATAAATAGTTGGAAAAGGGCCAGGCCACACAGCTCTCTCCATTCATAGACCAATTATATGAACATTTCAAGATTTTATTGTCCCCCCTCTAAAAAATTATTTTCATTGGATTCTTTAAATTCTTGAATCTATTGATCCGCCTCTTCTTTCGCAAACCCTTTGTATTCATAACCTTTGAATCTTTGGGTTTTTGGGTTCTTGGCTTCCTTTTACCTTAACAAAGTAGGTGGTGAAAGAAAGCTTTTTCCTTTCCTTTCTTTTCTTTTTTTTTCCCCTATCAGTGTCATGCTTTCTTTCTAGTACAAACTTGAGTTTATAGTTTTAAGTGTTCTTGCTGTTGACTAGGAAAAAGACACAGTAGAAAGATAGAAAAAAATATGGAGCAGAAGCATTTCTTGTTGTCTGCCTTAAGTGTTGGAGTCGGGGTTGGAGTGGGTTTAGGATTGGCATCTGGGCAGAGTATGAGCAGATGGGCTGGTGGAAATGGTTCTCCAGATTATGTTACATCTGAGCAGATTGAGCAGGAGTTGATGAGACAGGTGCTTAAGGGCAGAGAAAGCGGGGTCACTTTTGATGAGTTCCCTTATTACCTCAGGTAACGATGAGATTTTCTCTTTTGCTTAAAATAAAGAAAAGAAAATTACATGTAACATACGTGATGTTGTGTTCATGTGGCCATTGAAAAGTTCTTGAGATAGACAGTTGTATTGTTATGGTGTTATTTTCTATCGACACATGGGGTTTTGGTACATACTACAAAATTTACAATCACCTGGCAAGCGATCTTCTTGGTGGTATTCTCTGCACATGCTCATAATACTCATGTCTTTTTTCCCTTTTTGCTTTTTCTTTTCAGATAGTTTACTGTTTGGGTTTTAATTAATGGGTTTCTTCATATTTTAGATTATTGTCCCTGCTCATAATAAAATAAATCTGCATGATCCCTTCTTCTTGATTATTGAATTCGGATTCCTTCTTTGTTTCTGGGTTACCCTTTTGAAGTTCAATCTGTGTATGGGAACTTTATATTTTATTGTTAGAGTTCTATAATAGTTGACTTACAGCATGCCAATACTATGTTGATATTCCAAGGTTTTAATATTAAAGCTACCACCTTTTCTGTTGGTTCCCTTTCTCATTCGATTTATGTTTTGTCAAAATTTTCTTGCTTGTAAATTAAACAACTAAAATTATAAAAGAAATTTTAGTTATTTTTACGGTTAGAATAATGTTAGACTTCGGGGGTAAAAAATTCTGGCAGAACAGTTACCTTTTCATGGAACTCTGGAGATTGTGGGAGTTGATTTTAGAAGTATTTCTGTGAACTACTTCCATAATATTGTTTTGCATAACCCCAAAATGCATAGTTCACTGCAAAAATTTAAGGCTACTTCCCCCTTTTTTTTTTAACATTTTTCATTTTCTGATGTCCTCTTTCTGATGGCGTGAAATGCAGTGATGTAACTCGAGTTTCATTGACAAGCTCTGCATTTATCCATTTAAAGCACTCGGATGTTTCCAAGTACACCCGGAACCTTTCACCAGCTAGTAAAGCTATTTTGCTCTCAGGAACTGCTGGTATGCAAGGGGAAATTTTTGTCTTGCAATTTTGTATTGGAATATCATTTTTCAAAGTTGATTTGTGACCTAATCTCATTGTGATTTTATCTTGTGAAGAACCTTACCAGCAAATGCTCGCCAAGGCTTTAGCACATTACTTTGAGTCAAAGTTGTTGCTGTTGGATGTTAACGATTTTTCCATAAAGGTTAGTATGAAAATTTTCAAATATTCAAAGTGATTAACAATTTTATTTTACTTACACAGTTAGTGTTTTTGCTTGCCACAGATGCAGAGCAAATATGGATGCATTAAAAAGGAATCTGTAAGTATTCTGCGACTTCTGCTGATAAATCAGTGTGTTGTGGTTGAATGTGAAATTTACCATATTATGTCCTTTTCTTGTACTCAAATGAATATAAGCTAGCTGTTTAGTCCCATTTGATGCTGTCCTTTTCATGTGTTATTTGCCATCAGCTACATTACAATTCAGTTTGGAAGAAGACAATAATTTATCAGTTCAAGTGGTTTCAATATTCTGATGTATTACTTGTCCTTGTAGTCGTTCAAGAGATCTATCTCAGAGGCAACAATAGAACGGATGTCCAGTTTGTTTAGTTCTTTCTCAGTCCTTCCTTCAAGACAAGAAACGACAGGTACAAACCAGCCTAGTTTTTGCTGTTGTTTTGATTACTTATGCTGATATAGAGCCTCTTCATGTTGTCTTCACTTCCTCCTGTGATCCTTTCAAGTATTCTCTTCTGCTAAAACATCATGTTGGTTTATAATTTAGGTTCTCTCTGTTCAGATGTATTTATTTGTTTTGTTTATCTCTACTACTTTCCTTGTAGGCACATTACGTCGTCAAGGCAGTAATTTGGATATTAAATCAAGGTATCACAATTTTCACCTTTAAGTATCCTCACAGTAGAGACTTGAGGCTTGGCTGATTTTACAGTGGTTGCGGAATTTATATTCCATTCAGATTATGTTGTTTATTAATTCTGATCCAGCATCTTTATATATTGCAGGGCTATGGAAGGTTTGAGTAACCATGGCAAACTTCGTAGAAATGCCTCTGCTGCCTCTGATATGAGTAGCATTTCCTCCCAATCCGCTTCCACAAATCCAGGTTATACAGCAAAACTCCTTTTTTTTTTTTTTTTTTCTGTTTTCTGTTGTGGAAACCTTAAAATATTTACATCAGTTTCTCTCAGTGAGCTCTGCAAATACTAATTTTCTTTAAGACTGGTTACTTTCATGTTGGTTGGAACTGGATGATTTTTATGTTTGTCATGATAATTAGTCATCTCAATTGAACTTAGGAAAATTTTGCTTGAGCAATGTATTAGGAACCAGCCTAACTCATGCGTTTGGCAAGAGAGAAAATAGGAGAAGGAGAGAGAAAGGAAAGGAAAAAGATAGAAAGAGAGGCAGAAGGAATAAAAAGTATATTGATTGTTCAAAAGATTTTATGAACATCCTTTCATATCAGTATTTATACTCTCATAACAGCCACGTCACCTATTATTTACAGTTCAGTATCCTATTGTATCCTAACAGAATGAGACCTTTTGTTTCGACTTATAATTTGCAGATAATTACTATATTGACCATTTTTTTTTGGGAATCTTTGGTTTTCAGCTTCCCTCAAGCGGGTCAGCAACTGGTGTTTTGATGAGAAACTCTTTCTGGAATCACTTTACAAGGTAATATCAGCAGTAATAAGTTGCTTGCTTTAAAATTCGGGTCCTTACTACGATTCTTGCATCTTTTATAGGTCAAGTTTGACTTCTAAATGATATTTTTTTTTTGAATAACATTACAGTACTTGTTATATGTAGTTTGTTCTGTATAGATAAATTTAGGTAATTAGCATGTAGATGATTATTTATGTTTCGTGATTATTAATGTTTGTATTGTCACAGACATTGATTTCAATATCAGAAAGAAGTTCTGTCATTTTGTACCTTCGGGATGTTGAGAAGCTTCTTCTCCAGTCAGAAAGGATGTACATCTTGTTCAGTAAATTCTTGAAGAAACTTTCAGGTTCAATATTGATACTCGGTTCCCATATAGTGGACCAAGAAGATGATTGCAAAGAAGTGGATGAGAGACTCACTATGTTATTCCCATACAATATTGAGATCAAACCACCGGAAGATGAGACTCATCTTGTCAGCTGGAAAGCAAAGTTGGAAGAGGACATAAAGATGATTCAGTTTCAAGATAACAAAAACCATATTGTCGAGGTACTTGCGGCAAATGATATTGAATGTGATGATTTGGCTTCAATTTGCCATGCAGACACAATCGTTCTTAGCAATTACATAGAAGAAATTGTGGTGTCAGCAATATCATATCATCTAATGAATAGTAAGGATCCAGAATACCGAAATGGAAAGCTTGTTATATCATCTAAAAGGTAGACACTGGTTCTTTCCATGATTTACTAATTAACTCCTTTAAAGTAAATATGAAAATATAGTTTTTCATTGTTATTCCATTTTTGAAGCAGCTTATCTCATGGATTGAGTATATTCCAAGAAGGCAAAACTGGTGGGAAAGATACTCTGAAAATGGAGACAAATGGTGTTGGCGAGGTTTGTCCTACATTATAATCATCTAGTATTTTTTTTCTTTTCTCAACAATATCAGAAATGGATTGATGCTGTTGATACTTCTAACCACTTACTCATTTTCAACAAATGCAGGAGGCTCAAGGGGAAGAGGCCGTTGGTGCAAAGACTGAAACATCATCACCTGAAAGTAAGGGTGAAATAGATAAATCTGTCCCTGGAGTGAAGAAGGATGGGGAGAATCCTCCTGCAGCTAAAGTAATTTTAAAGCCAAAGTCACAATTCATATGATAGAGATCAATATGATTTTTGTTGTCTTCCTAATTGACTTACGTTGCTTCTAGCAGGAAGTTCCTCCTGACAATGAATTCGAGAAAAGAATCAGGCCAGAGGTTATCCCTCCAAGTGAGATTGGAGTGACTTTTGCAGATATTGGTGCCTTGGATGAAATTAAAGAATCACTTCAGGAGCTTGTCATGCTCCCTCTTAGAAGACCAGACCTCTTCAAAGGTGGACTTCTTAAGCCTTGCAGAGGCATATTGCTATTTGGGCCTCCAGGCACAGGGAAAACAATGCTAGCAAAGGCCATAGCAAATGAAGCAGGAGCAAGTTTCATTAATGTCTCAATGTCAACCATCACTTCAAAATGGTTCGGTGAAGATGAAAAGAATGTGCGTGCATTGTTTTCACTTGCTGCAAAGGTCTCGCCAACCATCATATTTGTTGATGAGGTTGATAGCATGCTTGGGCAGAGGACCAGAGTTGGAGAGCATGAGGCCATGCGGAAGATAAAGAATGAGTTCATGACACATTGGGATGGGCTGTTGACAAAACCTGGTGAGCGTATTCTAGTTCTTGCTGCGACAAACAGGCCATTTGACCTTGATGAAGCAATTATTAGGCGGTTTGAGCGCAGGTACAATATTGTTGATCCTGTTCTGTAAAAACTTGCTAATTACAAAAATCAATTCATGCTTGCTAACTACCTTTGCACTGCAGAATTATGGTTGGCCTTCCATCTATTGAGAACAGGGAAATGATCTTGAAAACTCTTCTAGCAAAAGAGAAAACTGAAGATCTAGACTTCAAGGAACTTGCAGCTATGACAGAAGGATATAGTGGAAGTGACCTCAAGGTTTATTTATTTGTTTCTTACCTTGCCCAGAAACTCATAGTATTCATTTAATGAGATCCTTAATTGACTGTAATCAACTCATGATCTTGATGTTGACTGCTTGTAAACAGAACTTCTGTGTGACAGCAGCTTATCGACCTGTTAGAGAGTTAGTACAGCAAGAGGGATTGAAAGACAAAGTATATTCTCTCTCTCCTTAAAGATTCTATTTCATTGTTTCCTATTCATTCAATGTGGTATAATATCATTTCTTTCTCCAAAAATCTACTACAGGAAAAAAAGAAGAAAGCTGAAGAAGGCACAAGCTCAGAAGATGCTTCAAGTGCAAAGGAAGAAGATAAAGAGGAACAACTAATCACTCTAAGGCCTTTAAATATGGAAGATATGAGGCAGGCAAAGAATCAGGTGATTTTCACATGTGAATTTAAGTCCTTCACTGTCTATGTGCTTACACATGCTTGTATAACTCTCTCATGCCGATAGCTAGCACCAGATTTAACTCGGGATCCTCAAATTGGTGTTGCACACGCACACTCTCTAGTTTCAGTTTCTAGATTCAATGTATAAACTACTTCTAAATGAATGCTGCAATGCAGGTTGCTGCAAGTTTTGCATCCGAGGGATCAATAATGAATGAGCTAAAGCAATGGAATGAATTATATGGGGAAGGAGGTTCAAGAAAGAAACAACAGTTAACTTACTTCCTGTAGATTGTAGAAAGCTGTCGTCTCAGAGTCTCATCAGTAATAGAAGGGAGGCAGAAGTTCATGGAAAGTCAACGCCCTGCAAGTGAGATTTTATTATTACAGGCATAAAGCAACAATGAACAGAAAGCAGCACCAGATTATCAGAATGAAAATTTGGCAATTGCAACAGTGCTTGTGTCAGGTTGAAATGTGTCTTTCAAAGTCATTATCTGTAGTTTGTTCTTGTTGTATACAACAGAGGAGTCTCTTGTTGTTTAGGCAATCCTTAGACCATTGAAAACCACATTTTGGTATTGTAATTATGTTTTAGGAGTGTTTGGTAATTGGAAATTGTGGAATTTGGAAGAAACCCTTGTTATCGGGTTTTGTTAGACAATCTGCAGCAGCCCATGAGCAGTATCGCTCATACAGTAGCATTTGTAAATTAGTCTTTGTATAAACTAGTAGTATATACTTCTTCTAGAATTGACGTTACTTGTGTGATTGAAGATTTGAGATTCAAATTATATCCATCTGCCACGCAACACAGTGATCATAAATAAATAATTCACAGAAAAGTAAATGTAACCTCTTTGAATGCTACTTAGCTTGGTGTCGAGAATTCTCTCGCGGTCTAGAATTTGTGGATGAGGCGGTGATAAGAGACTTCGGCTGATAAAAGGGGTACCTTCCCTCCCCTCCATCTGAAACCTATATTTTAGCCAAAGAAGGAAAAAATGTTACCTCAAAAATCACTTGGAGAGGCATCCATTACCCAACTATTTATAGGATTGAAGAGCTTTGCTCTTTGATGGTTTTTGTGTGGAAACCAAATGTCACTTTAGATGGTTTGGACTCTGTGGACTATTTCGAGTTTGATGAAGGGATAAAGCTATTTAAAGCGCTTTCTCCTCGCTTTCTCCTCTCTTTCTATCCCAAAATGTCAAAGCCAATAGAGAGATACCAAAAGCTAGCGTTTAAGGAGGCTCTATCGACAACCCACCATTACCCAATAGCCTGCAAAGATCTAAGCTTGATTATAAGACAAGCTTATAACAAACTCCCCAAGAATCTTCAATTCGTCCTCTTTCAAGACACCCTCGCCGCCTTTCGTCTCCTTCCTGGGTAAGTCGCCTTCTATCTGCATATCTTGTGATTTGCGAATTATGATTATCGATCATCTCCATCAATTGAATTTGGCTTGTGTTATTCGAATTTGGACCAAAATCAAATGATTTGCGTCTTGGAAATAAAATTGGGCATCGACTTTTGCCCTTTATTCGAGAATTCAATTCCCTGCATCAGTTTTTATGATTGGAGGATATTGTTGAAAGTTTGATTAAAGGGAAGTGCCCAATTTCACTTGTTTTGATAAAGCCTTTTCCTTTTTAGAATGCAGACACGCAATGCAGTTTCAGCAGCCCATCTCCTACTTCAGAGTGCGGAGGCTGTATTTCCAAAACAGAGGAAAAATTTGGCTGTGGCAGAATTTAAACATGCAAAAGTTGCTCATAAGAGGCGCCATAAAGCTCATCAGGAGGAAGAAAGTAAAGCTTAATTTGGAAATTTTCATTGCAGTATTTTCACATAAATCTCAGGTTTGCTTTAAAAAAAAAAATTCAGTCATAATATTTCCTTCGATACTTTCAGTTTCAGGTACTACTGAACTACCACAAGATGTTCTATTACACATCTTCAGCTTCCTGGACATCCACTCTTTAGTTTCTGTCAGCTTAGTCTGCTGGTAATTCCTATTTTCTTTGAATTGTAGTGTAACTTTTTTACCTACCAACAAATTTTAGTGAAATTAAGAATTCAAGCAGCCTGTCTCTTAACCATAACCATGTCTATTTTCTAATGCATAAACCTAGAATAATGTTTTTTGTGGTTTGCCTTATTTGAAGGTCATGGAATTTTGCAGCTGGTAATAACCAGCTGTGGCAATCCCAGTATGCTACATTTTTTGGCAGCAAGCGTGGTTCTTCAAGTACTAGGGAACAACAGAATGATAGGCGGGAAAAAAATAAGGAGCTTACTCTTTTGCAGAAGAATAAAATTACTACAACCAGTATTGACTGGAGGGAGGCCTTTAAAGAAATGTATATAGGTATTTTCATTAGACAACATAACCCAAGATCATCTGCACATAAGAAGAGTTTCCATACCCATTATTTTCATAATCATGAGTTTCTAGTCATTCTAAATTTTCTTGTTCTGCGATTCATTAGATTTTTGCAGTGCATATAATGTGCAATTCTCATGGGCATACGTGTGATAAGTCAAAATCATGAATTCTTGTTTTAATTTTTGTACATTTCAGGCAATTCGTCAAAGAGATTAACTGCTAATAGAGGATACTGTGGGCAATGTGAAACAATAGTTTGGCTAGATGCCATGAAATGCTGTAATGGGGACTCTGGGAATCAGAGAATCATACCCGTTTCATCTCACCAGGTAATTTGTATCAAATGCTTATTTTTATTGATTCTGTCTTACAATATTGCTGGGGGAAAAAATTGGTTATTTACACTCATTGAAACTTTCATGCTTATTTATTTTGTGTGTTCTGAAATCCCATTGCTGCGGTCTTGTAACTCCACACACGCATTCATCATTTTCAGGTTGTTGAGTATCTATTAAATGGTTCCTCGTCTATAATGTCTTCCTCAGACAGCGAAGACAGCGATAGTGAACCGGATGAAGGGTATATCCCCAGGTTATGGGCCTACCCCAAGAACATTGATTTAGCGAAAGCTTAAATGTTTGTCCATAACCAATTCAGCTGTTGATATAGTTATTTTCCCTTTGATCTCATTGTATAATCTGATGGCTGGTTGCGAAGAAAAGCTGCACTTCTTGTTAATTAATGGCGGTCTTGTTTGCATGAATAAATAAAAATCATATACAGCCAAAATGCTTGATAAGATAAAAAGAAAATTTTCATATTCATTTTAATTAATCTATGGGCCCCTGAACAACCCAGAAGCACAGAGTAGGAGACTTTCTTATATATATAACTTTAACAGAATTTTTCGAGTACAGAACTGTGAATAAGCCTACCCAATGGCCAATATAAGTGGTATTTCTCTCTAGTCTTTCTTCAGTTCCTTCAATAGCCCCACAGGAATTTTACTTAAAACCTTTTCATCAAACACTACATACTGCTTCTTGATCTCAATCCATGCCTTCTCCGCTATTGGATCAATTTGGTCCTCGTATTTCTCGTAAGCCAACGGCACAGTGTGCAGCAAAACAAAGACTGTTTGAAAGGAATTATGTCAATGTTAAGGACTGGTGGCTATAAACCAGTATCTTGCATCTCAGACCAGAATTCCTTACCTATGTATAATAAGGTCAAGAAGTTAAACCAGCTCCCAATAATTGACAGAACCCACAAGCTAGCAATTACCTGAACCATAAAAGCGTGTCATAATTACCACGAACCAAGTAAACTATTTTGTCCAATGAAATACAACGCCAAGTAACAAGCATTTACTAGCCAATTTCCTAAGGTTAAATACTGTTAGAAAAACAAAATCCAACTTACTGTAAGAAACGTTTTCACGTCTCTCCCAGCTGCAATATCATGCAGCACAGCCAATGCTCGGTTGATTTCAATTCTCAGTGCGGAGGCAATTTCAAGGACATATTTTTCAGGAAGTACAATTTGAGGGATTTCAGGTGGAGACCTAATTAAAAAGAAAAAAGAAAAAAAAATGTCAGGATCAGGAAATATCACATTGCTAAAAACTGAACGATAAAAGATCTTACTTGTTAACAAAGGTGGAAGCATTTGACCACAAGAAAAGGATAGCAAGGGTGAGTATCGATATATGACAAACTAGAGTGATTAAGTGATATTCAAGCAATTCAAAGAGAACCCAGACTACAGTTGCACCACCAAGCACACTTGCAGAAACTTGTTTGTTCCTCCACAGGAGAACATCAGCAGCTGCACATAAAAAACAAAACAAAGATGTGAGGATGACACAGATTACCAATTTGAGATTAAGAGTACTCTACCATAATAAGTTGCTAAGACTGTAACACATAGTTTGGGAAATCAAAGTAATTAATGAAGCAAAGTCCTAATCTTTATTCATTTCCAAACTGAGGATTACCAAAATGATTTCTTTATTTCTCGGAGAATGAAGACAGGGTTCTTGTGCAAGATTACCAAAATTGCTATTGGAATGAGGGGTTTGGGTATAATTTTAGCTCAACCTGCTCAAGTCAAAGTTAGTCCAATTCTTCAAGTAATTAATTAAATTCATGAAAACTTGAGGTTGATATGAAATCACACTTATTAATATGTCTATCCAATTCATGTTAAAAAAAATGTCTTTATCCATTCTGAAAAATAGACACAGGTATAATCTCTTAGAGAACACAAAAAAAATAACCAACAACGCCAAAATGCATTATAACTATACAGTTGCATATCAATAAGAAATACAAGTTTCACGTATAAAACCAAATATCACAATCAAATAAAACGTCCTCAATGCACTGTAGCATTACTTATCTATTCAGATGAAATAAATACATTATTAGCAAGCCCTTCCCACCATTACCGCCTGCTCTTTGAGACAATGGAACAGGAACAAGAATCACTCACGATTTCTAAAGGATCAAATTAATAGTAGTACCGTCTCAAAAAGATGGTGAGAAAATGATGCCATCATTCCTATTTCAAAAACTTTGGAATTCAATTCTTAATCAGAGGTGACTTAAAACAAAGCTAGATATTAATTCTCAGAAAACTGAAAAGCACAAGGCATGAGAAATGAGCAAATCTAAGATGGATCATTTAAAACACCACGGGGAAGTCGCAGACAGAAAATAACACCACATTGATCATAGAATAATGACAATGTCAAATGTGTACCCAATTCCTAATCACCTAATAGCATTGTCACACTATCTGTAATCATTATTGCGAAAGTTGGCTATCCATCAGAATTCACGATTAGCAACAATGAGAGGCAAAACAAATGTTATAGATTTGTTTATGTAGAAATATGCCCTATTGTTTATGTAGAAGGAGAGGGGTTACGTTTTCCACCGCCCAAGACCTTGTGAACGGGTTTCTCTCTTCCGAAGAGACGAAATATCTTCGATTTAACGGCGTCGACCTTGGACGGCTTGTCATCATCGGAATCTGATGAGGAAGAAGAATCGTGACCGCGGATTTTCTCGGTGATCTTATCCATCAACGATTCGACGGCGTGGCCCGCCATATGTATTCGCTGCGAAAAACAATGGGAATTTGTGTTCCTGTGATTGAGAGAGCCTTGTTGCAATGCAAGGAGATTTTCAGGTTTCCAGTATCTGGTTTTGAAAGTGAATATTGAAAGGAACGGTACAAATAAATGAAACCTTAGCAGCCGTTGAAAGATTTACTAGTCCGAACCTGAGGTTTGGAGAAAGTGCCTTCTAGATATGGAAAAAACAGAAACCGGGGAAGATGGCAGGTGTCTGGGGAACGTCACGAGGAAATCTAGTCTCACGGGCTGTCATGGCTGTCACCGTGTATGCCCATAATCTTTCGTACCAGCAGTATAGCACAGTAAATATATTTATCTACAATTTTAAAAATAATGTGATAATATTTTAAAATATATAATTTAATTAAGAAAAAAAAACTATAATTTAAGAACATTAGACTAATTATATAAAACTTAATATTTATAAAAAAATGAAAGAAAAAATATATTAAAATCATTAATTTTAACTAATATTATAAATAAATTAAAAGAAAATATATATTATAAAGATCATTAATTTTAATTTAGTTATACTAATTATATAAAACTTAATGTGTATAACAAAATTGAAAGAAAGTGAAATATATATTAAAAATCATTAATTTTAATTTATTTTTGAATTAATAAATTTTCTTATACAATATTAAAAATAATAAAATAAAATGCTCAGTAGAAATTGAATCATAGACCTATGTATATCATTTTTAATAATAATTATATATAAACCGCTTTCTTTTATGATTTTTCATAATTTTATAGAGTAATAGAAATTAAAAGAGAAAAAATATATCAATGTCGCAAAAAAAATTGTATAAGAACTATCGAATTAAAAAAAAAAAAGATTATACCAAAACTTAAAAGAGCTCTTTATTACCATTAACCTTACTCTATCATTCTTTTAAATATAAAGTTTTCATTTATAATAATAAATGATAATTACGATCGATTATAATAATATGTATCAATATGGTAATCAACATTAAAATTACGGTAATTTTTAATTAAAAATAGATTATAACATTATAATAATTTTAATTATTTAATATGTTAATATGATAATTGAATGACAACTATTGATATTAATTTTTTCATATATTTTACTTCCACTGTACTATTATGTTCTTGTATTTAATTTTTGTATATTTTCATTTAAGTTAACAAAAAAAATCAAAAATTCACTATTGTCATATTTAAAAAATAGATATATATGTTTTTGATTGATTTTGCATATGAAACCAAATCTTATCCTTCTAATATATCATATGAATATTATCAAATATCTAATTTTATTTCATTAAATTAATAAACAATAAATAACAAAAATTATTTATAATAAGTTTGTATATATTAATACTAGTATTTTTTTTTAAAGGAACAGTAGTAACTTTGGTACATAATTAAAGAATCTTATATGTATTAATACTAGTAACTTCAATACATAATTCAAGAAGCAGTCTAATAAATATCTAACAAACGAAAGCTTAAAGAAAAATTGATACATAAACTTGTAACTGTCATAATTAATTAATTCTATGGTTGAGAAGAGATATTAAAAAGAAAGTTATTTATTATATTTCTTATTAAAAATAATACTGTATATTTAATTCCTTTTATCAATAAATCTGATTGAGAAAAATTAAATTATTAATTGTATCTGAGTAAGATTACACACGTTTTAACCTTTTATAATCTATAGCTCCAACAGTAAATCTCGGGAGAACGAATGCACGTTAGATTTGACAGAGACGTCTGCTGTTGACGTGACTCGAACTCGTCCATGATAACGACGTAAATACGTCATCTCTTTGGGCTGCCGTCAACTTGCTTCCACTCCAGCAAAGTTGTAAAATTATACCTACGTGGTAGGATGTGAGTGGTGGAAAACAACTTATGTACTATAAAGAGGCACGTGGCAGTTTTTAATTTTAGGCATTCAACGCTCGTTATTGGTCGGCCAACAACCATGCAACCCACCCTTGCACATGGGATGCCACCAATCCAAACTTTTTGCTCCCACCGGCCGGCTGATGGAAATAGACTGACAACCGGAGATATTGTCCGCACTGGTTTGTACATGAATACGTGAGTTGAGACGGGCTAATTAAGCTCTTTCTTTGGGCCTGAAAAGTAAAAAAATACAAGACTTTTGGGCCTCAATAAGTTGGTTTTTCCCTGTCCAATTTGTGAACTGCCATTGGGTCCATGATGATATGACTCTTAATCACCAACCGACCACGGCAGTCTTTGGGTCGTTGGGCCAAAAGTCTACGGCCTTCTTGAGCGTTTTCTCACTACAGACTCGTGACTATGGATTCAACTTTGTACGACTGTGGGCCTACTTCCATTCCATCGAGGGAAAGAGGAAATTGCAAGGATGGTGATTAGTTGATCACTGATTAACTAGTGTCAACTTTGTTTTCTCGTTAGTCTATTCTACCAAACATAAAAGATCCCACAACTTCACAAATTTCTTTTGAGGAATAATTTGACAACCAGCCAACCATTTATGATTTTTTTTTTCCAGAGAGACGGAGACATTTATATACAACTAAATAAACAAAATAAAAAATGGCTCGATAAATAAAATTAGACTGTATCATCTTACAGAATTAAACTATACTTCATATAAATTTAATTTATAAATCAAAGTTTACAATTTAGAGTCAAACCCTCTTGTTTGAGTATGAAAACAAATGTGTAAATAAAAGAAAAACAATATGAAAGTAAAAAAGTCACACCATCCTATTAATAAAAAAGAAATTTTGTAGACTCATCACCTGAGATTAAAGCAATAGGAGAAAAAAATTGTACAAAGAAAACACTAAAAAGCAAAGCAAAAAAGAAAATTCCCAAAGTTAATTTTGAGTTATTTATTTATTTATTTATTTATATAGGGTGCAGAATCTTATAAGGTATAGGTATATTTATGACTTGTAAAAATAAAGTCTACAAAGCATCACTTTAAAACACAGATTTTAGAATGTGCCTCCTGGAAAAAGAAAAGTGTTCATATTATTTATTCATTCTGAAAATTAATTAATGCGTTTCAAACTTTCAATAGATAGATAATAGAGTCAGCTTATGGCTCATGGTATTTGCTTTCCACTCAAAAAAAAAAAAAAAAAAAAAAAAAAAAAAAAAAAAAAAAAAAAAAAAAAAAAAAAGAAAAATATGTTAAAGTCAGCTCAAGCAAAGAACGTGCGATGCCACGAAACAGCAGAAGGAAAAGAGGAATGAAGCAAATTGAGATATTTTACATATTTTTGTATTATTCGTTCATGGAACAGTCACATTTCCTTCGTTTTTTTTTTTTTTTTTTTTTTTCTCTTTTCATAATTAATATTCCTATCACAATTTAGTGAAATTTGAAAATTGAGAGCTCATCAGGACATGACTATACTATGAATGTTTTTATGACAACCAAAGTTTTCAGGACTTGAAGAAAAATAGTTAATGCAAAATTGATTAGTACAAAGGTTCTTCTATGTTTCACTATAAACCATTTTCAGTTTGTTTCAGTGCACTCTTTATTTATTACTACATGATCCAAAAAATGAAAGGGTTAAAGATGGGTCAACAATTGTTTACAAGTCAAAGCTTTATAACGGGTCGTGTGGGGCAGTGGCCTAGAGTTAAAGGCAGCTGGGGGTCCAAAAGCATGCGTGGCCCAGCTGCACCACCAATGCCTTTGCCTTGTAAAAGAACCCAAATTCAGACTCAGCAGCAGGTCTTTTGAGAGAGACTCTCTGCAAAAAAATAAAAAAAGTTAAAGTTTTTCCTCTCTGTAATGTTAATAGTGTAACATGACCTTACGTTTCCTATTCTGTTTGGATGTAGTCTTTTCTTTTTGGCCTTTTTCTCTTTTATTTTGCTTTCCCTTCTCTTTTTGGAAGTTTCCTATCACCCTCCTCCTTGCCTTTTTAACCCATGAGTCCATGCCCTTAATTTACTCTGCAAAAAGGATAACCCCTTCAATTTTAACTTTAAACCTTTTCTTTCCCCCTCTCAGGCATACTTAATTACTGGCACCAACCCATACACCTTTGATTTCAACTAATCTCGTACCTAAAACCAACCTTTCTACAGTCGTAATCCAAATCACTCAGAGGTTTAATGGATGAAATAACACCACTGGCTGCGTATATATTTGAATTTGAGAATTTATTCTAATTGGGAATTTTCAATCCATGAGACTTGTAATTATTATTGACGACACAAGTGAAGTAGTTCATTAAGAAAATTGGAATTGAAATTCCGTTTGTTTTGTCTTGGTGCGTGAGTTCATAATTAGTAAATCGAATTTGGAGAAGGAAAAAAAGAATTCAGGAATCAGGATTATTACTGTAACAGCGCGTGTGAAGAGTACGCGTGTACTCAAGTATAGTCAGGTTGAAAAGTACTGTAAATTCTGCAATTCTGCTGTATCTATTCATCTGTACGACTGTATTTCCAGCGTATACCACTCTCTCCATAGACTGTAGACTGTAGTCTCTTTCTTTCTCCCTCAAGAACCAGTCTTTGTATACAGAATCCACGCAAACACCTCCATGTTATAAAAAAACAGCCAAACGTACAATAACATATGGGTACAAAAGCACCTCTCTCTTTACTGGCCATTGCAAAAGCAGAGAAAAGCTTACCTCAGTCTCTCTGCTTCTTTTGAAACGCCATTTTCAATGCTCTGCTACAACATACCATACACACAAATTCTAAAACGATGTGCAAAAGCTGTCTTTATCTCTTACCATCCTCACGTTCCGTCTTCCTTTTGCACCCACTATAAATGAAAACCTTACTCTGCCTCTGAAAAAACCCTAATAAACCTTTCCAATTTCTCTCTTTCTATATCTTTTCGCCATGGAAGCTCTCTACTTCCTCAAGTTCTGGAGACCCACCACCCAAAACAAAGATCACCGACCCTCTAATGGAAATAGTGACACCGCCGAGATTGCGACGGCTATGGTCGACACAGATGATGAGTTCATTGAAGAAGAAGACTCTTTCTTTGAATTGGAGCTTACTGTGCCTGATTATGACAACAATAAATGCGAAAGCAAAAACAACAGACCACTAGACACTGATAGCAACATTTTTGACTCCAAGGAACAAACTCTCCACAACTCGACCAACAAAGCCGGCAATGTCCAGGACAAATTTCCACCACCAAATGTTTCTCTGTCTTCTACTGATCTGCTCTCTAAAAGAAAGATCCTTCCTATTGAACCCATTTCTAAACCTCAATCTCCAATCTCTCTGCTCAAATCTGCTCCAAGATTTCGAGTACTCATGTTTAAGAAATCTAAGTCAATGGCAGCGAAGGAAACAGGAAAAACAGGGGAAACGGAGCTGAAAGGCGTTTTCGTCGATGCTCCAAAGAATAAAAAGCAAGAAAGTAAGCTTTTTACAATTAAATTCAAGCTTAAAGAAGCCGCAAATGTTCCTATTTTCACCAGAGATAACAGCTTGAGAAAACAGATCTCGGATGATTCATTATCTGATGATTCGTCTAAGCGATTCTCCAAAGAAGCGATACAAAAGTATTTGAAGCTAATTAAACCCCTGTACATCAAAGTCTCCAAAAAGCAAAGCGAGAAGCCAAAATTTTCAGGGGAGTTGTCAGCAGCGTCGCCGTCATCTTCTCCGGCGACACTGCCTTCTGGTTCACCAAAGAAGGAGAAACAGGGGAGTATTCCTGCAGGGATTCGAGTGGTCTGCAAACATCTGGGAAAGAGCAAATCTGCATCGGCGGCCACTGCAGTTCTGCCACCAACAGTAACTAGGAGAGACGATTCACTGCTTCTGCAACATGACGGTATCCAAAGCGCCATTTTGCATTGCAAGAAATCTTTCAACTCTTCTACTTCTAGAGGTGCATTTCTATGTTTTTATACATTTCTTTGCATTTTATTTTTATATAAAAAAAAAACTAATCTTTTAACTTTTTAACTTGTTTTTTATCAGATTCTTCTCTATTGTCGAGATTTGCAAGTGATCCTTTGCATGAGAAATCAATGGCTTCGCCGAGAAATTCCCATGAAGAGAATGGAATTAATTAGCATTATCAAGAGATAAAAAGCGGGAAGCATGCTGTTTATGAAATTGAAAGCAATACAAAGGAAAAGGCTCTGTTTTTGTTTTATTGTAAAGAAGAGAAGAGATATTTAAAAAAAGAAAAAGAAAAAGGAACAGAAAGAATCAAAGGAGTTAGGCAAGTAGGTTAGTTTTTTGGTCCTTATTAGCCATGGAAATGATGCTAGGTGAGGACAAATGGGTTCAACTGTTGTTTTCTGTAAAGTTGATGGGTCATTATTAGAAACTGGAAAGCAAGTCCTGAGTATTGAATTATTTCTTTTATTTTCTTTGTGTATCAAATCAACGCCAATATCTCTGTGTAGTCCTGTCTTCTGCAATTTGGCGTCATTTTTCCTTTGAAGCATAGCTTAAATTCTAAATCTTTGTCCATCAATTGCACTATTATATTTGTTTTATTCATAATCACTTTATAGTACAAAAACAAGAGTGCAGAAATGGAATTACTAAGTAGGTGCTTTTGAAATCGAAGGGTTTCAAAATTTGAATTAGCCAATTAAGAAATGGAATTTAGGTATGGTAATGATGCCAGAGATTCTTAAAAATCTATTGATTTGAAAAGTATAATAACAATGAAGGGGATCAAATCAACAAGTTCCAGGAGAAGATTCAACGAGTTCCAGGAGATTTCTGAGTAGTTTCATCATGGCAGCATCTTTTCCTTTAAAAAAAAGTAGTTTAAAACTGCAAGAAAGCATTTTTATCTCTGGTGGTTAAAGTTTAATTATTTTTTTCTCGTTAAAAAGATTTTAAAAGCATATCTGCAGTATAGAAGTTGCCTATAGCCACAGGCCAACAATCCCATCAGCTGACGCTAAAATATAAAATTCAAATTGTCTCCTGCATCTATGAAACTGCTAGGCACATCAATGTTTTTGTCAGTCTAGTGTTCTAGTTGGCAATGAACTAATGCAGGGTTTCAAATTTCATATCAACAAGGGTTAATATTTAACCCATTCTTGGAGGATTCCAGTTTCCCAATATATTAATGCTTAAAAGAAGTTAAGAAGGAAAAGGCAGATAAGAACTGAAAATGAGAAAGTGAATAAACTTTGTACTATTTTACTCTTTTAGATTTTTCAAGAACAGTAATGATTATGCCAAACACAGTTGTGTTCATTGTAGCAAATAAATTGCAGGAAAGAGCAAGACCAGAGTTATTTTATTGAGGGGTTGTAGCGAGCATAGGACACAATAACATGCAACATGTTGTAGAAGCAACAAAAAAACAATACTCCTTTGCTTCTTTGCACAGAGACAAGAGGAGATATATATGCAAAAAATTCTATGGCATGATCTTTGTAGGTTGGAAATTCAAACTAAAAACTTTAAAGAGAGCAAGATAAATAATGGAGTAAGAAATTCAAAGGAGAATTGAAAGAAGTGAGATGCTTTGTTTTGGAGTAGCAGTGGTTATAATAAATGAGAAGATGACCAAAGTGCCTGCAAAATCTCTGCACTGCCAAAACCCAAATGAGCCATGAGCGACCAAATTTCCAAAGCACCATCATAATGACAAGAAATGCCAAATGACCACAAAACATAAACAACCCCACATCCCATCTGGGGAGCCTGTTTGTACTTTTATTTTTATCTTCATATGAATTTCTATGATGAAGCCTATCGGAGTAAGAGTATTACGATAAAAGTTCCCTAATAGTATGAAGTCTTTAACCTCTAAACTTACCTACGAGTAAGCTAAGGTAACATTTGGATCAAAATTCGAAGTTAATGTACATTATCATGTGAACCCATTTTCTAACATTAGCTTTCTGGTTAGGGAAATGATAACCTTTTAGGTTAAGTAAATATAATTAATTATGATAATAGATTCTCATTGAGTTCATTGGATGTCAATTGCTTTTGTTAGATACTTGTAATATTCTGGAAATTAAAAGCAATTTCTTGACTTGTAATTCAAACTCAACATTTAATAAATAATCAGATTGGTTTCCTCATTTTTCTATTTTTAATTTCCATTAATGAAATAAACAATTCAATAGACTTCTAATGAATTTTTTTTATATATATAGAAAAAAGTCAATGAAAATGTTATAAATATGTTATGGGAAAGATGAGTATCTAAAGTTGGATTTTTTTTTTTTTTTTTTTTAAGTAATTTCATGTGAACCCCGATTTTCTAACATGTAGCTTTCTGCGCTCTCACGCGCGGGAAATGGGATAACCTTTTAGTTAAGTAAATATAAAATTAATTATGATAAGTAAGTTCTCATTTGAGTTTTCATTGGATGTCCGAATTGCTTTTTTGGTTTAGATACTTGTATATTCTGGAAATTAACAAGCAATTTCTTGACTTTGTAAGTTCAAGCACTCAACAGTTTAATAAATAAATTCAGAATTTGGGGTTTTCCTCATTTTTTTCCTATGTTTTAATTTTATCCATTAATGAAAATAAACTAATTCAATAGACTTACTAAATGAATTTTTTTATATATATAGTAAAAAAGTCAATGACAAATGTTATATAGTGAATACTGTATGTTGGAAAAAGATGAAGTATCTAAAAGTGTTGGATTTTTATTTTTTTTTTTTTTTGCCAGAATTAAAAAGTTGGACTGGCAGATTAAATTGTTTTACGTGCTAGACAAATTGATTACATTGGGAGCTAAAATTCGATAGGCGTTTTTTATAACGTGTTTTATCTTAGAATCTTAAACGTGTTTGTTTCAAAATAAAAATAGAAGAATATATAAAAGATGCATAAACCGAAGAATAGTGAGGGTGGGCCAAGGGATTTGGACGGAATATATGGGCGGGCCTAGAAGATGGGACATAGCACTGCGCAGTTAGCAGTAGTGGAGACATCCAATGGGCTCCACATGATACGAATATGAAATCCTTTAAGGAAGGCTGGGCCCTTTTTTGTTAGTATTAATTCCCTTTTAATTAGACTGTTTGTATTATTAAGAATTTCTTCTCTAATTTTCTTATATGAATTAAAAAACAATACGTTATGGTTTGCTGACTTCAATATTCATTTAGGTGGGAGGTTGGCTAAGCATAGTAGAATGGGCGAACTCAAAAATAAGAGAAGGATGTTGGGAGAGAGAGTTGGTTCTCGGGATTCACGGTTCGCGTATTGAGTGAGTTCGATGGCAGTGAGCGATAGGTACGTTGTAGGGTGTACGAGGAGACGCATGGTTAGCAGTGCTGCGTCTCACGAGAAGTAAGTCTGAGTCATATATAGGTGAAGTATATGTATAGTACGTTTCTTTCTCGATTATGCGCATTGGTGCTGTGATTAGATATGTTGAAATGGGAAACCTAAACTAACGTCTGAGGCTACATATATTTACTTTAATATATTTGTAATTTAGTTGTAGTTTTTAAATGTTCGTTTTTTTTTTTTTTTTTTTGAAGAAATAAAGTTGGACTGCAGATTAAATTGTTTTAATTAGAAAATTGTACATTGGACTAAAATTCATAAGCTTTTTAATAACTTACTCTTTAATCTTAAACGTGTTTTTCAAAAAATAAAAAATAAAAATGCATAAAAGAAAGTGAGGTGGGCCAAGGATTTAAATATGGGCGGGCCTAAATGGGACCTGCTGCATTGCAGTATGGAACAACATGGGCCTCCACATGATACGATATGAAACTCCTTTAGAGGTGGGCCTTTTTGTTAGTATTTCCTTTTATCTTAACTTTTGTATTATTAAGATTTTCTTCTCTTTTTTTATATATTAAAAAAAAAATTACGTTATGGTTTCGCTGACTTCATTTCATTTAGTGGATTGGTAGCATAGTAGAATGCAACAAAAAAAAGAAAGAGTTAAGATTGGTTCTCGATTCCTTCTTTAGTACGCATTAGTGTCAAATGAAGTCATAAAGCATCTTCCTTTCTCATGCCATTGCTAATAATGTGGAAGGAAACCTAACTACTTAGACATTTTACATAATTTTTTCTTTTTTATTTTTCTCTAGCTGCATCCCAATCAACTGTGACTCCATGGTTATAAAATACAGGGACTAGGGACTAGGGTTATAAATGAACAGAGGTCGAGTTTAACTCAATAAAAATATATTCAAATTTTAAAAACTAAATTACAAGTCGGAATCATTTAGATTTTATTATTAAAAATAAATTATTCAATTCTAAATTTAAACATGAGTTTAAACTCATTTAAGCTTATTCAATATGTTTAAACGAGTGTTTTTTTTTTCCTTTTGAAACCGAATAGTTAACACTGCAACTTCAATTTAAAAATATTAATTTATATATATCTGTATGTTGATTTTAATTTCAATATAAATATCAGACCAAATACAAAGAATAGGTGTGGGAAAAACATATAAATGTTTCTTGTTGCATAAAATAGGAAAGATAAAAGGAAATTAACTCAATAGCATCATCTCGAAGAGAGGGAAAAAAAGCAAAAAATTAAAAAAAAAAAGGAAAAAAACGGAAAAAAGGTGTCACTTGCATAAAATGTCCTGTAGGGTTCTTGTGTGAATATCAAGATTCATAGTGCAATTCATTTGGGCAGATTTCTTTTTCTTGATCAATTTCATAAACTGAATTTTCCCATTCAACTCAGAGGAGCTAGTGAGTGGCACTTTCCCTGAACTAATATCATCACTTAGTTCAGAAGTATTAGGCAGATCACTCTCCGTCTTGAGAACAACCATGGCGTCAAATTTTCTAGTCGATCTAGCTCTGGCTCGTGCCCTGTTAATACTGACAAAACCAACAACTGTGCCTCTGTATGCAAACGTCACATTGCACATTTCATACTTAAAATGACCAAAGTTGGTGTTTTTGACTCCAAATTGAGTTTCCAACGTCAAGTTGAAGTACGGACTTGCTTTATCTCTGCCAATTTGAAAGGTATCATTGTGAAATGAACCCGAACGTATCCTAAATTTAGGGTTTTTGAAACGCAAAACTACAAATACAAATACAAATATTACTCCAATTTGGAATATCGTAAAAGCCATAGCAAATGCTACGCATTTCATGCGCTTCTTTTTGGTTTGCTCTCTTGATTCTGCTGTGACGGAGCCTAACTCTTCCTTATGACCGTTGGCAACCAAGGGACGGGGTTCTTGCTCCTTCTCTGACATTTTTGTTCCAGGTTTTTGTGTTTTTCTTCTTGTGGTGGTGCAAAAGTGGGTCTGGCGAGTAAGTATTTATACCAATTGTGAGACTATAAATTCCAAGAAACTGGACATAGGAATGGTAATTTTTCTTATTTCTTAATCATTGTTACCAGACGCGTTTGGAGGGCTTTGATCTTTGACTCGAAGACTTAATTATGACAATTGTAGTAGAAGTTTCTATTGTGGGATAAACTGTGTGATGGGTTGAAAGTAATTGGTCAATCCGATTGCACCAAGGCTTGTTAGTTTGGACAGTTTTCCTTTGATATTATCTTTCTTGAACTTTACTTAGAATTGACATTTCAAGTTTCAGGACCCATCTTTTTGTTTTGAGTGCCCATATATATATTGTATGCTTGCCTGTTGAGGATGACTCCTCTGCAGGTTACCCTCTTTGCGAATTTGGAGTTTGTAGATGACAAATTATAAATCTTCTTTGTTAACCTGTCAACCCACATCATATACCTTTGCCTGTCCTAATAAGACAATGACACATTTGGCCTAAAATTCCATTTGACTTGAAAGTGATTGTTATTGACCTTGCAAATATGGTCTAGGTCCTCTCTCTTATTTATTCTCTTTCCTCAGTTTTTATTTTTCTAATTTCCTATTTTTTCATTTTTTTTCTGCTATTTTTCTTTTTTTAAAAGGTTAAATCTTCATAATAATAAGATAATTAGAAAGACAAGACACACACTCCTTCGGAATAAACATAAAATAATTATTAGTTGTTAACAAGCGAGCCAACAACACAGAATAGACTTTAGATTTTGTAACTTTTGATGTTCTTATTTTGAACAGCATGAGGAATGGAAGGGCGAGAGAGGTAGAAGAAGTATCTCCTTCCTTGTTTTTCTATATCCTTTTCTTTTTCTTTTTGAGAGTATGAACCCAAACATTACGGGGAATATTTTCTGGAGGGTAGCAGAAAAAATAATTTAATTAAATTATTAATTTTATTTTTTAATTGAATATTTCCATTAATCAAAAAATCAAATACATACATCAAGAAAATAAGACAAATATGATGATAATGACTTGATACAAGGGCAAATGCCAATAGGATAAAACAACTTAATATGGAAATACATACATAATAACTGGATAAAATAGGAAAATGCAAAAATATACACAAAATAATATAAAAAAAAATGGAAAAAGAAAAGTCGAGTTTTCCCAATTTTCTATCTCTATTCAAACTAATGATGAAATATTGAAATATGGTGTCGAGAATTATGAAGTTATGCATGGTTTGTGAGTTTGTTGAGTGGGATAAATCTGGGCTGGGCTGGGCTTTGGGAATTTGGAAAACGCGATTGAATGGGCCACAACAACTATAGAATGTGATCCGGGATATGAGCTGGCCTATCTGAACCAAATCCATCGATTAAACCTGTTTTATTTATATAAGGCGTATCCTTTTCACCACTAATATCTAATCAAGTGTGATTTTAAAATTACAGTTATGCAAATGAATTTTTCTTCTAATGGGCAAAAAAAAAAAAGAAATTACATAATATTAAAAGAGACATACTTACCCATATTCATCTATATCAAATGGAAGAAAGAATTTCTGATCATACATGGAAAAAAAAAAAACAAAAAAATAATAATTTTTTAAAAAAATCTTTTTTGATCGGCTTGATATATGGAAGATCAATACCCGGTGAAAATACTTCGTATTCATATCCGAATGTATAAATTCCAAACGTATCTACACAATGAAAAAAATAAAAAATTATGAAGTAAATATACCCTTAACATGAGAAATAGACCTCTACGCTCTACCCCACAACACTACATACATTCTCAGCAGTCATCCACAAGCTGCTTCAAGTATCAGCTTTCCAGAAAGAAAAAAACAAAAAGAGGGCACTAGACTATTAGCATCGGAAATTTTATATCTCTGTGGGCCGAGGGATCACGGACAGGAACCTAATTAATGCACGACTCGTCGTCAAGTGTGGCCCCTGGTTCTTCCTTCGAGACGCCACTGTACACTCGTGAACTATATCAACTTATCAAAAAATAATAATTAAGGCTCAACTTGCATTAAACACGACTTCTTTTTCTTTAATTTGGTCAGTTTATAATTAAATCCTTATTAACATCAAGAAGTAATTAATAAGTGTTGGTGCAACAATAAGGTTATTAATCCACAATTTGCAATCGAATGCTCTAGTATTTTTTTTTTTTTTCAAGTTCTTTTGTTATAGTATGTTATAAAAAAAAATAAAAATAATTAATGGTTAAAAATGTGGAGTTCACATGATATATTCCAACTTTGATCTGTCTAACAACCACTAATTCTCTCTCATTCCTAATCAAATCAAATCAAATCAATTGGGTCCAAACTTTTCCATTGTCGATATTCAATCTCTCCTCTAATCATCCAAGGTTTCCATGTTTACACACAAATCTATCAGCTGCATGCGTTTCTATTATTCCGATATCTGGACATGCACTGATATCATACAATATAATCTGCCACCTTTAATTTTGACTTTTCAACCATACAACGAATTGAGAATGTTCGTATCTACGACCAAAATTTGAGAATGGATTTTTTTTTTTTCCAGATAAATTTATTTTTTTAATTATTCATTTGGATTTCCTGTTGGGGGAAGCAGAAAGAAAAAAAATAAAAAAAATTACCACGAGGAAATTATATATCCTAATTAAACAAAACAAAATATGTGAGATATTCTAATTTAATATATACCGCTAATTAGAGACAGCCCAATACTTTTTAATTCTCGCATCAGCCTTGTATCTATCACACAATGTTACGTACTCAAAAACTCAATGGCTACTTCCGTCAACACAGCTCTCTATCTCTTTTCTTGTTTAAAACCTAAAATTCTCTCGGTTTCTCTTCTCTCTCCTTTCTCTTTTCCATGGAAATCCAATCACCACCCTCTTCACCGCCCCCATCACCACCGTCGCCACTGCCGCCACCAGACTCGCTTAGAACATATAAATTAACAGCTAAATCGATTTGCTATGTTAAATCAACCTCCTTTGCTAATAGCATTGCACCATTTTCAATGTTCAAACCATGCATTACAACTTCACCGAGTTACATCCTCAAAGATGTGTCTTTTACGGCTTGTCCATCTCAAATCCTTGCCATTGTTGGCCCTAGCGGAGCTGGAAAATCATCTTTGCTCGACATCTTAGCCGCAAGAACTTCACCATCAAGTGGTACTCTCCTCCTTAACTCTTTGCCTATCCATCCATCGTCCTTTCGTAAGCTTTCAGCTTATGTCCCTCAACATGATGCATGCCTTCCTTTGCTTACTGTGTCTGAAACTTTCATTTTCGCTGCTCAACTTCTCCACCCGAAATCATCCGATATTTCTACAATTGTAGATTCTCTTCTCAAGGAGCTTAGCCTAACACACTTGGCTAATACTCGATTAGCTCATGGCTTATCTGGCGGCGAACGTAGACGGGTTTCAATAGGACTTAGTCTTCTCCATGACCCTGCTGTGTTACTTCTCGATGAACCCACTTCTTGCCTTGATAGTAAATCAGCTCTTAATGTGATGCAAACCCTTAAGGCGATTGCTACTTCACGTCACCGCACTGTGATTTTGTCAATTCATCAACCAAGCTTCAAGATTCTTTCTACCATTGATAAAATAATTTTGTTATCCAAAGGAACTGTAGTTCATCATGGAACTATTTCTTCTTTGCAAAGTTTTTTGCTTTTTAATGGCTTTACTGTCCCTCCACAACTTAATGCCCTTGAATATGCCATGGAAATTTTAGATCAGCTTCTAGAGAGTAAACCCTCTACACCACCTTCTCTTCCGTCATCCTCAGATGAAAATGGCGTCAAAACACCTCATTCTGGTAGCAAATCAAGAGATGTCAGATATAGGAGTTCACGAGTCCATGAAATCCTAGTTCTTTATAGTAGATTTTGGAAGATTATTTACAGAACAAGACAACTTTTGTTAACAAATACGTTAGAAGCTCTTATTGTGGGTCTTGTTTTAGGAAGCATTTACATCAACATTGGATACAGCAAGCAAGGCATTGAAAAGAGGTTTGGTCTTTTTGCCTTTACTCTCACTTTCCTTCTTTCTTCTACTACCGAAACACTCCCAATCTTTATCAATGAAAGGCCAATTTTACTGAGAGAAACTTCAAGTGGAATTTATAGACTATCATCATATCTAGTAGCAAATACTCTTGTCTTCTTGCCATACTTGCTTGCAGTCGCTATTATTTATTCGGTCTCCGTTTATTTCTTAGTGGGTCTTTGTTCTTCTTGGCAAGCTTTTGGTTACTTTATTTTAGTGATATGGGTTATAGTTTTAATGGCAAACTCATTTGTTCTTTTTTTGAGCTCTCTTGCTCCAAATTATATAGCTGGAACTTCTCTGGTCACAATACTTCTTGGCGCTTTCTTTCTCTTCTCCGGCTATTTCATTTCACAGGATAGCATGCCTAAGTATTGGCTTTTCATGCATTTTTTGTCCATGTACAAGTATGCTCTTGACGCCCTTCTTATCAATGAGTATTCTTGCCTTGTAAGTAAGTGCTTCCTTTGGTATGACGAAACGAAGACGTGTATGGTGACTGGAGCTGATGTGTTAGAGAAGAAAGGGCTCGCTGAAAGCCATAGATGGACTAACATCTATATTTTGATTGGTTTTTTTCTGTTCTATCGTGTGCTTTGTTTGCTCGTTTTGATCAGAAGGGTTTCAAGATCCAAAAAATGAAATTTTATGTTTTCTTTCACTGTTTCTTGAAAGTCGAAGCTCCCTTAATGGCTTCTTGAGCTTCACTAGTTCCTCAAAAAGTATAAGTTGGAAAAACTGTAGCAAAGCCAAGTTTAGTTCAAGAATTACATTGCCATTGTACAACTTTTTAAGTGAATTTTAGTATATATTTGAGATTTTTATGTTTCAGAAAGTTTTTCCACATTTGAATTACTTGAGTTAATTATTTAAATAATTTCCCACATGCAGAGAATCCAATCAATCATTTTCTTTTGCATGAAATAGTTCAATCAAATTTACACTCCCATTAAAAATAAAAATAAAAATATTAATGCCTATTGCACCCTCACATATTTTATATAATTTCAACCGTGTTTATGTCACCGGTCCAAGCTTAATTATTTATCAGTAGCATGGGATGATAATTTTACTTGTAAAAATTTAAAATTTAAAATTAAAAATTAAAAATTAAAAATTTAGAGGATAGTGGTAATATATAATAATAATAATAACAAAAGAAAATTGGATCCCCATTCACGGGTCTCTATCTAATGCATAGATATAGATAAAAAGTCCAAAGGAGGTCAAAAATGTGGTTGTCGTATTGTAATATGCCTGCGTTTGTCTGTGTCATTTGGCTTTCATGCAAGCAATCAGTTGAGTTCAGCGTTCAGTGCATCATCTTTCACGGGACACTCTTTTTCTCTTTCCTGGAACGTCCCACGTGAACTTATTCACCTATTGTTAGCTTCGTAACGTCCAATTTGGGTGCATTATTGTGTTTTTTTGGTTTCATTTCATCCACTTTTTCCTGTCTCAATGATGTGGAAAAATCAAAGGCTTCATTGGGCTCCGTAAGTGAAGTTAATTGGGCTTTGGTTTCAGAGGCTTTGAGGAATGCCCAACATGATTCTCTTTTGTTTCTTTCACATAGCCAAGAAAAAGCACAAAGAAAAATAAAATAATAATAATAGCAAACCTTTCGAACTCAACAGAATCTTTATTCTCTTTACAGTCATGCATTTTTGCTTAATTTTGAAGATTTAAAATCCTTTTTCCTTATTTTGTTGAATTTAAAATCCACGATTTGTTGCAATCTTTTGTTTTTTTATTTCCTTTATTTTCAAAAGTTACACTTCCACATATTATTAATAATCTTATGATTTTATAGGGGTTCAATAAATTTTTCTTCAAGGATAGAAAATTAAACATTTTACTTAAAAGATTTAAATTTTTTCCATTCACCTAAGAGTAAATGGTGGATATTTATTTTAGAAAACTAAAACAATTCTCTTTTCAAAAAGAAAAAGAAAACTAAAATAATGGAACTTTTTCTAATCATCTCGATGGCTGCTCAATCAACAACAGTTTACTCAAATCAGGTAACAATTCTGGAATTGAGAATATTAAAGTCTCTGACTTCTTTCTGCTTGACAGGAAAGTATGGGATGCTTCCTTTATCAGTTTTGGTCCATAATGACTCTTGGCTATGGTCTTTTGAATCTAAAGGGATATATACTATTAAGAGAGGTTATCGTTTGCTCAAGTCCACTCAACTAGCTACTGCTCAAAATAATCGGGATATTTGGCGTAAATTATGGAAAGTGGATGTTCCAAAAAAAAATCTCTACTTTTGTCTGGTGTGCCATATCAAATGTCCTTCGTGTTCGTTTCAAATCTGGATGCTCACCATATGGAGGTTGGTGTCGTTTGCCCCACTTGTGGTTGAGGCAGAATCTGTTATTCATTCTTTATACAACTGTGATTTTGCTCTATCAGTATGGAGGAGAAGTTGCATTGGATGGTGGGGTGTAATGGAGAATGTGGCTAATTGGTTTTTAATGGTGTTTCAAAGAAGCTCTTTGGATGATTAAGCTATAATCTTTCACATGGCTTGGGAGTTATGGTGGTGGCAGGGGAACCAAAGGATTTGACATCAAAGTTCACCTAGTGAAGCAGTGATTTTAAGAAGGGCAATGCAATTTTGGCATGAGTGGATACAAACTCAAGCTAGTCGGATTTTGCAATTGCGTGGTCATCTTCATCAACCTACTGTGTTGAAATGGTTCCCTCCTATCGCTAATAGACTCAGGTTAAATATTGATGCAGCTTTCCTATGAAAGTCGGGGTCTACTAGGTGTGGTTAGATCTCAAGAGACATGCAGGTGCTTGTTTGGGAGGTGGGATGGTGGCCCTTGGTTCTGTGGCTAATGCATTGATTGCAGAAACTTTGAGTTTTAGAGAAGCTTTAAATTGATTAAAAGGGAAGGATTGGATAGTGGGAATTGATATTGAGTTGGATTCTCAACTACTGGTTCGAGCTTTTCGAAATGTTTCTCATGACATTTCTTATTTTAATTCCATTCTTCATGATTGTAAAACTCTCTTGAATGAATTTTAATCATTTTCTGTGTCTTTTGTTAAAAAACCAGCGAACCAAGTAGCTCATTCGTTGATGGGCGAGCATCTATTTCTTTGTCTAGTTATAGAACAAAAAAAAAAACAAACAAACAAACCAACCATCGCTGACTTTATTATTTCTTGCCTACTCGTACCATTGCGTCTACTAACTGGGCCAGGGCAAAACGAGAAGACCCTCCTTCGCTCGCTGCCTCCGCCGCAGCCTCTTTCATGGCAATAACTCGCTTTTGAATCGTTTGCCCTTTCTCCGAGTTCATCAACTCGGTTAGCCGCTGCTCTAACTCCTCCCCACTCACAAAACCATCTTCAGGCTGATTCACCGGCAAAGCCATTTTCATCTCTTCGACCAAGAAAACACTGTTCATTTTTTGCTCCGCATAAAGAGGCCATGCCAACATAGGCACGCCGGCACAAAGCGATTCGAGAATCGAGTTCCACCCGCAGTGAGTCACAAACAGACCCACCGAGTCATGATTAAGTATAGCAACCTGTGGCGCCCACTGCTTGACCAGAAATCCCCTTTCTTTGGTTCTCTCCAAAAACCCTTCCGGAAAGAGAGTTTCAAGATTGAGTTCTTCCAGTAACATGCCATCGCTCGTCTGACCATTTTCCGGTGGATTGCGAACCACCCACAAAAAATTAACCCCGGTTTTCTCCAATCCAATAGCCATTTCTTTTAACTGAGTAGCAGAGAACGCTCCCATGCTACCAAAAGAAAGAAACACGACGCTACGACTCGGTTGTGAGTCGAGCCAAGCTAAGCATTCATGCTCTTCTTTGGTTTTTCTGCTGGAAACAATAGGTCCTATGCAATATATTGGGGGAACCGGAATATCTGGGGTACATTTCCCTTCTATTATAGCCTTGATAGCTCTTGATTCTAGCGATTCAAAAGTGTTGACGAGTAATCCTGCAGATTTAGCCATCTGGCTCGCCGTGTCAATGAAATATTGATAAACTTTATGAGACCGGTCAAGCATGACAGGTGGCAAAACCTTAGATGAAAGGCTTGGAATACCCGGAGTATCAATAACGATATCAAGATCTTCCAAACTGTCGGGAATGTTCTCACTGATGGTCGGAGAATAAAGAAAATGGCAGAGGCCATTTGCATTTGAAGTGTAGAAATAGTAAGTGGGTATATTTAAGGTAGAGGAAACTTGTACAGCAGAATTGCAAAAGAAATCGATAACGAAGGCTTTGATATTGGCGGTTTTAGAAAGGGATAAAAGGGTCTGATGCAGGTTAGGGTTGTTGAGCCGAGGGAGTTCGAAGAAAGAGGCTACAATGTCTCTGAAGGAAGGAGGGGTAACAGGAGGAGGAAGCGAGGTCGGTGGGAGGTGAATGAAGTTAATAGATGGAATGGAGCTTGTGGAGATTGTTTCGTTTGGTGGAGTAAGGAGTATGATGGTAATTTTGATAGAAGTATGATGTTTGGCTATAAGCTTGGCTAGTTCTATCATGGAAACTAGATGTCCTCTGCCTGTTGCAGGGTACAGAACAATCGTGTCATCCATGGTTTCTCACCTTATCTCAAACTGTCACCACTTTATATAGGAGACAGAGAGATGTAAATTTAGGTACCCTATGTAATTTTTTTTTTCTTTTTACAGATAATTGAACAAAGAACTTTCAAGCAATCTTTCAAAGCAGAGAAGTACTGGGCATTAAACAAGATCACACGCTGTTCATTATCACTGGCTCAGTGAGTCGGTGGCATGCTGTCGGAAACTTGTGGTGGAGATTTATAAAATCAAAAGCAGAACAATAATAGCCATATACATGTATACTATCCAATTTAATATTTCTAAGGACGTCAATTTCACAACATTAAATTTCAACACCAGTAATCCATTTTATGTGCCCATTCTCCGTGAATGCACAACTACTCTTTAGAACGAAATTGAATACTGTTGCTTTCAAGAAATTTCATAAGGAAAATATCTTTTTATTTTATTAAAGTTTCATAATGCCTCGAGTTTACTTCTTCGTAAATGAATAAATGAAACTAGGAATAAGGATGATTACTGGAAATCTGCAGCCTAAATGTCAATAAGCCAATAACGATGGTGGAGAATACATATAACTGAACTATAGCGTCTTTGAGCACGCGACAGAATGAATAGACCATTATACACTCGTCGCATTCTAAAATTACTTAGCTAATATACAGGCAGCGTATCAACAAAATAGGCAACCTCGACTGACCTTCATAATCAAATCTTGAGTTGCACCAGGCAGACAAAAGCAACTACTCACTTTTTCCAAATGAATCAAAATCCAGCACAGGTGAAAGCAACTGAATGCCACTATGCTATGCTCCTTACATATTGATCAAGAGAAGTATTGAACAGCTCACACCTACAGGAAGCAATTTCAGTACATCTAGTGAATATATCATACGATGTTTGCATTTGTTAGGAAATCCAAAAAAATCAAGGGTCGCAATATCAAAAGAAATGCTAATGAACTATTTTGTCTTTCTCGTTATATAAGATGCAACCCCCATATTAGAAAAATAATGGATGTGACCCCCCACACTATATCATGTCTTGCTATAAACAATAATAAATGATGCTACTAAACTGCCAACAAATAATAAATGATGCTTCATGGGAAAAATAGGTTCCAACCTAAATCCCAAGCAAAAATATTATATTTTTGTTGAAAGCGTGAAAACTTTCAACAGTTAACCAAGCAATGACCACGAAACATATAAAATCAACTGAACAAATAAAATCTATTTTGTTTGCTTTTTTGGAATTGACCATATTGGATGTACACACCTGTCCCAGCAGACAGCATAATCAACTGTAAATCAAAAGGATACTTGACAATTTCCTCAATATATAATGGTTTTCTATCATTTAGTGCAAAATGATAAAAGCTAAATTTGTTACCTGATGGGAGTTCCAGGAGAGTAGAGGGGATTCTTGACAACATATTCAACATACAAGTTGTATATATATTTTAGGGATTCACGTAAGTCACCAGTCCTGGGATGAGTAATCAATATAATCTGCCAAATAATAAATAAACAAATAAAACAACTCCATACAAAGCAACATACAGAGGCACAATATGAATCATAGTGTAAAAGATACAGAAATGTTGCCCCTCTTCTGCTAGCAATTTCAAAATTTATAAGCATAAACCCATGCACCTACAGTATCATCTCTCATAAGAAGACCATCTCTTTCTGGAGGCCTAAAAAAGAACAATGCAACTATATTTCCATAAACACACTTTTATTTTCAAGTCATTGGTAATAGAAGTTTAACTAGAATGTATAGATCAAGCTTAGAGGTTAACCTAAATCAATTAATGACACCCTCTGATTCTTTTTTAGATAAACAAATTAGTACCATATTTATGTTTGAGTGTAAGGTATTCTGAAGTTTCTTGATCATTTATGTTTATGTATTCTGAAGTTTCTTGATCATTTATGTTTATGTATTCTGAAGTTTCTCAAAAACATTTATGTTTTTGTAGCTTGAACAAGACCCAGAATCCTAGCCATCCAGAATCCCAGTTTCTCAATCATATCAGACATTCCATAAGCAATGTAGAACACTTGGTCACCTTGCAAATCAGGTTTAAATTCACACATCAGGGGAGTTATCAAAGAAGCACCATTGATGTACTTAAAAATTAAGACTTCTAACTAGCATATCATAATCAATTAAGGAGAAAAGGGACCATATAGAAGACGCTTATGCATTATGGACATGCGAATAAGAGATTGACCCTCAATGAAAACATCAAAGAACTTGCTTCTTAGTTTGTAGTATGAATGACTAGAGATTTATCTAGCATATACAGTTCTTTCCATTCATCCATTTCCAATTATTGTACATAACTGCCATCCAACCAGCTATAAATTTCTTCTGAAACTAAACTTGCACTCATCTATATAAAATACTCAGCAAAACCCATAAAAGGTAAAAAGAAGAGGATGCAGCAAGATATCACTGCCTCAAACATGATTAAAAACAACTATGATAGGGAAATCTATCACTATCCTTGTTTTGTACTTGTACGTTCTGTATGACTCAGAACAATTTGGTCAATTGACAGGACAAACATCAACCCTTGTGATTTCAGCAACAAATGAGGCATATCAAGAATAAACTGACCTTTATCCCAGAAGCGCTTTCCATGAAACTAAGCTTGTATGTATTTGTACGAAAACTGTGGAACGAACAACCTTGGCCAGGTAACTGAGGCATCCCAAGGTTCCCTTTCTCTGCACTGCATCCAGAAAAGAAAAGGAAAAAGAAAAAGAAGCAAATTAGAAATTTTTTATTTACAGTGGTTAAAATCAAATCTCAAATCTAGCAATTCAAGCCTTCATAAACCATTGCCAATTTAATGACACAATTGGCCACTAAAACTGAATTCAATTGACAATCACCAGGTTAAACATTCAAAATCACGTGTCAATCAACCTGAACATATTGCCGAGAAAAAAAAAATTCCAAGGAATATGGTGAGAATAGAGATAGAAAATAGACCTTGTAGGATCCATCTTAGCAGTTAGGGATTTGAGCGAGAAAAGCAGGCCAAACATGAGCTTATGATCCTGCTGCGCATTGAGGGTATGAAGTGGGCGATTCCACTCCCTGTAAAGCAAGCACACCCCATTTCTATTGAACACATACATCATGTGCGCATTGTTCCCGGATGCCGTTGGTGCTGGTGGCGATGGACTGATGTCTGATCCTCCAAAAAATTGCATAGTTTTTCCTCCGATCAAATAGACCTTAAAATTGTATAGCAAGAGCCCTACATATCCAAATTAGGATCAGAGATCTAGTCATTTGAACAAATCCATAATAAATGTAATATTCAATTAATTAAACCTACAATCTAACTATTAATGAAGTTAATCGACGGCTAATACTAAATTGCTGAGAAAAAGGAAGGAAATGGCGACGAAATCAAAAGTTTTTAAGTATTCAAAGTTTTCTGTTCCAAAAAAATAAAAAATGGTGATTACGGTCTTGATGAATCAGTCTCAGTTAATGGGCTTCCTTGATTGCCAAACAAAATATAGAGCTCACAACCAGAAATAAATCATGGAGGACAGAGAGACATACCTGAGACTGAAAGCCGGGGTGGTTAGGCAGTGAACGGAGGCATGAAAGGGAGAAGAAAAAGAGACGACAGCGATAAACGAGATGGGCCTCGATTTTTACATTCCAAAGCTCAGTCGTTTAAAAAAAGAAAGGTTGATTCGCTGCAGAAACGACCTTGTTTATTTTCTTGATAGTCGATCGTTTCAAGGGGTAACCCACTAACCCCTTCCCCTTGAATTTGTCTAACGATACCAACGACAGCATGATTCAAATTACGCAGAGTTTGTAACATCGTTTTCTTTTTGAAATGAAACGACAGTCACAAATGACTGTGTCGTTAGTGAGGTATCAACTGGCATATTTTTAGAGATTGTTTGCTTTTAATAACTTAATAAAAATGGGTATGGATTTCCCAATTTAAAGAATTCTATTCCAAACTTATCTTTTAAATAATTAAATATAATTTATTATTGAGACTAATAATAATGCTTTACACATTTTTTTTTTTTAGAAGAATAATGCTTACATATTTCAAAATAAATTAAAATTACTCAAACATGAAATATCAAAAAATTTGAATTTTTTGTGAAACAGATTAAAATTTAAAATTTATTCCAAAAATTGTATTTGATTTTCAATCCCAAATATACAAAGCAGGGTTACAGTTCTTGATTTTCAATGACTGTTAGGTTCCAAACTGAATAATTATGTTAATAGTAATAACAATCGAGCTCATTTACACAATTGCAGCGAAGCTTTCAGAAATACATGTTATAAAAGAAGCAGTCTCATCAATCCTAAACAACATATGTATTGCTGAAACAAAAGAAACACAATATCAACCTACTTAAGTTCAGTTGAAAGTTTAGATAACAGGAATAGACCAACACTCATGAACCAAAATCGCCAAATTACAAATATAATATTTCCAACAATTAGACCAAGAACTCAGTACTCCCATTTCTTCATCTCCATACCATCGGGAGGGCTTCCCTCTACCTTCTTAGCACCCACTTCTTTCCAGTTTGTGGACAGCACTGTCCCATTTGACTCGACCTGTAAAATATAAAGACAAATGTTAGGATGAAATTTAAAACAGGAGAGTAATTTTAAGTGTCACCCAACTTGCTTTCTTTTGATATTTACACATTATTTGATTTGGCTTACAGTACAGGTAGTAAACATAGAAATTGCACTGGAAAGATAATTTGATTATTTGATCTCTAACAGGGACCCAAGACGGGTTTGATAAAGTCCTGCTGTACGTAGAAACAACCAAAAAGAAATATGCTGCAATGATGCCTAGTGTCTTACAAAAGATTTTTGCATTGCCCTTCTCGTGTCTTCATCTGCATCATGGTATATCTCCCGGAAAAACTTGTTCAACGCTGCATCACCATCTAGCTTTTCATCTTTTTCCTGAAATTCATACAAATAATTTCCTCATGCACCAACTGAAAGTATCATTCTACAAGTGTGTTATGCAGTATGAAGATATCTAATAGAGTGAAAGATAAGTTCTATAGAATGACAATACACCTGGGGATATCATATGGGCCATAAAGACCAACATACACAAGATAAATATTATAGAAATATAGTCTTAAGATAGATGTATGATCACACAATATTTGACAAGATTAGAAATGACCACATCTGACAAAAGGTGCAAGTAGCACAAGTTGAGATAAAATGAGAGGACATCTGAAATCATTTGGTCATGTCCTATGTATTCCCATGTGCCCGGATTTATAAGTGCAATACATTAATGGTGAAGAGCGTTAAAAGAGAAAGAGGTAGACCTAAAACCCCATAGAAATAAACTGTCTTAAAGACCTACTTCTTGGCATTAATACGGACTTAGAATGATCAAAGTAGAACGGAAACAAAAGATTCATATAGCTAGCCCTAACTATTTTAGGATTAAAACTTGTTATTGTTTCAAAATGAAAGAAAAGGATAACAACTAAAAGTTTACCTCCTTCTTTACTTGAGCTTCAATTTTGTCCCAGTCTACTGCTTTTGGTTTTGATGAAGGATAGGATGGTCTCTGAGACCCAGTTCCTACACAATTCACTATATTAAGCAAGCTTACAACTGGACGATGTAATGCTAACCAGATAATTCAGCATTCAGAAGATTCAATCAACCACTCATGTTTAAAATTTAAAAAGAGCCCATTCTCATTTACTAGAATAATTCTAAAGTAAATCCTATCCCACAAAATTCCTCAACCCCAAAAATTTATACACACTGCATCAAAAGTATTACAATTAATCAGACTTTTAATCTTGGAAGAATTCATTGCATTACTTGATAAAGAATTCATTTCATTGTTCACATAAATAGGACAATTCTAAAGTAAATCCTAGCCCAAAAGATTCCTCAACCTGAAAACAACTTATATATATTGCATACGAGTATTACAATTAATGAGAATTTATCTTGGAAAAATTTATTAAATTGCTTGGTAAAGAATTCAAACAGAATTAGTTTGGCTTCAGATAAACAGGTTCATAATAAATTCGGAGATACTGTTAGCGTTGACATGGAGAATATATAATTCATTAAATGACGATGAACATTTCATATGGGATATTAGACACCAAATTCAACTTCCAGCTGAGACGATTAAACAATTAGAATAACTTCTATCATATTAACATACCTGAGGATACATTAAATCTTTGTACGACTGTTGTTTCCTTGTTGAATTCAAGAGACATCCAGTGTATAGGTTCAGCCTTTGCAAGTCGGATTTCAACCTTGGTAGACAAAATATTATATCTACACTTGGCGGGTATTATCTGTTCACAGGAAAGTGGCAAGCAAAATAAGTGGCAAGAACTAATTGTGCTTTCAGCACTAATTGGACAAAAAAAAAAGAGAAGCAAGAAATGCAAGAAACAACAATTTATAGTAAAGTTACAAGCCCTTTAAGAAAATTCAATTTCTAAATGTCTTACAAATGCACCCTACGTCCACATGGTTTCTAGCATCTAATGAAGGATCAGTATTTTCTCCACACTCAACAAGCAATCGCTAAATTAGCGCTACTTTCTGCTTTAGAAGAAATCTGTCCGACAAACAACATCAAAAATTGGCATCTTAACCTTTCCAAATAAGCGAGGTTGAAAATGGTATGCATCTTCACCAGGGACATTGATACTGATGCTTAGCTGCAAACCAATCAAAAAGTTAGAACCTATTCTATCTTCCAGGAAATGAGGGATGAAATACAAATTAATAGGAGTGCATACTATTTGTTCTCCAAATTCAATAGAAACACTATCAGCTGGTAAGCCCTTTGCAAATATGGTCACAACCACCTCTTCAGGCTTCTGGAAGAATTCATGTCTGTTCACCACATCAATCGCATAAGACACAATTGAGTAAGTGGGCCCAAGAATGTGGTTCTAAATGTACAACATGAAGTTACAAGGAGAAAGAACATAAAAGTAACAAATCCGTGACAATGGCTAAGTGAAGGCTCTTACATAAATTTTGAATACCAAAAATAGGGGCAGAACATGTCAATGATAAGTTCACTGAATAACTTCATCAACGGAGACCAACAAACACAGAGCTGTACTAACCTGTATTTTGGTTTGGCTGCTGGTACTATTGGTACCTGGCTGGAGAGGTCATTCGCTGGCTGAACATCTTCCATAGCTACAACATTTTGTGGAGCTTCCACTGGTTGGTTTAGAAGATTAACAGTCTCATTAGCAATGTGCTCATCACATTGTTTGATCAAGTTAGTGAACCTAAGGTCTCCTGGGGAAAGAGAAGCACCAATCTCCAAGGCTGCCTTAGCAGTTTGATATTCCTCAAGGCTTATGCAAGCAGTGCTGCGATCAGAATTTTTCAGAAATAAAATTAATGGTAAAGACCGTACCAATTTCAAATAAATGCTTCATTAAGGAGGCTGAGGTACTATGCTAGCTGAGGGGCTGATCAAAAAATTGTTTGCGGATGGAATTGGAAAGCTGGAACAATAACTAAAAAGATATATGGCATGGAAGAAGTTGCACCAATTTCAACCAGTTTCCAATCAAGTTAATGCCATAGACATCTAGTGGAAAAAATTTTGACCAGGCAAGGCATCACAAACCAAACAAAACTTAAAATCATGGAATGGGGAAGATATGCTAACATAAACTCCAGAATTAATTATGTCCAAATCAGTTACCTAATTAGAGAATCAACTAGATCTAGTATTTCATGCATTTTATTCATGTAACATAAAACAATTCAAGAGATGCTTCACCCATAAGGCAATTATTCAAAAGTGATAATAGGGCTATTATTAGGAGATATCAAATATGCGACAGTGATGGGCCTGGTGTTGGAAGGATTTCACAGTTGACGTCAAAGTAATTGTATTATTAGGTAATAGATATCCATATGGACAATGGTGGCTTGCATTGACACAGTCTGATAGCATGGGAGTGAAATTGCAGGAGTAGAGGTCGTGCATGGTATTGGTAGTCACAAAGGACAAGAGGAAATTTCTCATAGATAAGTTATTAGAAACCTTAACAGTTCCCATAATCTCCACTCCTGCAGTGAAGAATAACTTTTGTAAACCATTCACTCATTAAAAATTTACCAGAAGAAACAGAAACCTTACACTGGCAATAAACAATAATCAATCAAACAGAATTCGGAGAGTCACCACTGCAAAATTGTTCAGTTAGTCAGCTACAATATATATTATAAAAATCATCAAGCATGAAGTTCAATTATGCAGTCTGCAAGTTAATAATTTCAACCAATTGAACAGAATCTCATTCTAGACGTTCATACACTGGTTAGGGGATTAATGAGATATATCCACTGATTAATCCTCTCTGAGAACAATAAAAAAGCAAAATTTTATCCGTAGCCATAGTAAGTAGTTACCCTTTCCGCAAGTAAGCTTTGGCCATTGAAGGATCCAATTGAATCGCTCTGTTTGCATCAGCAACGGCCTCTGAACATCATACAAAGAAATTAGGAATCCACGTTTCCAGCTACTGGAACAGTATAATAAGCAACATCGATGCGAATTCAAACAGAACAAACAAAAACTCTAAAATATTCCCAAAAAAATATATTTATCCGTGAGAATTTAAATTTAAAGTAGTTACCCGTCAGTATTTTCAATTATAACGCAAAAACTGTTGAGCGTAGAAATAGGTAAACAAAGGAAGATAAAGCATGAGGAGGGATCGAAAAGAGAAAAAAAGTTACCAGTGTAATTGTTGAGTTTGATATTGGCCTGGGCGCGGTCAGCATAGAGCTCGGCGTTGTTAGGGTTTATACCGATGGCCTGTGTCAAGAGGTCGGCGGCCAGCTCGAAGTGTTCGTCGACGAACGCTTCTTTGACCTTCTTTTCGAGATCGGACGCCATTGGAGATGCAGAGACAGGAAGAAGTCTCTAGAAACAGAGAAAGAGAAGGTGTATGTGTATCGACTGATTTGCGCTACAACTTGTAAAGAATATGATTGACTTGAGGGGCTTAAAAAAAACGGGGAACGAAACAGCGGGGGCCTTGGGCGAAGACTTGATGAGTCTTACAAAATTATTTTGAAAAAAAAAAAAACTTAAATTACTCGAACCACAATTATGAATTATCCTCCCTTAAACTGTTATTATCTAAATAATTAATATTATACTCAATGATAAATCTTAAATTATACTCTCTTTTTTTGTATACAGACTTGATTTGACTTTCATATAATTTAAAAAAATAATTAAAATGATTAAATTTTTATTTTTATTTTTATTTTTCTAATATACTTTTATGTTAATAAATAATCCATAAACTAATGAAAATATTTTTTTTACACAATAATCAAGGCAATCAAATAGAGTAAATAATATATATAAACCTTAATAACATTGGGAGAAAAAGAAAGGCAACCAACAAACAGAAGATTCGGGTTCTTTGCTTGGATGGAAATAATTCAGGATCACTGAGTAATGCAATGATTGAGAAAAATTATATTTGCTTTTCAGCCTTGTATAAATAAATTATATTTTGTTCTTATTCATTATTTTCGAAGGAAGTTAAGAATAGAATTATTGACGCGTTCTAGCAAAGCCTCACGATCCTTCTGTTCACTTTCGAGGATGGTGTTTCAATTTCCATATCAATGATAATCAACCGCAAAGAAATTTCCTGTAAGACCCGTTTAAACAGTAATAAAATAAACAATAAAATAAAGTTTTAAAGAGAATTTGATTCATGTGATTCATACAGCTCATAATTCCAATATTATGTTTATTTATTTTATAATTTTTTTTTTTTTGGTATAAATTGATCGTAGAATTACTCTTGAGTCTCTCGTTTATATCAAATACTAATTTTTTTTTTTTTTCAAAATACATAATTACATCTTGCCCACATTTAACCTTTCTTTTTTTTTTTTTTTCCAGAGAGAACATCGTTTTCTTTTTTTTTTTTTTTTTCCAGAGAGAACCATGAAACGACCTTGCTCTTTGATTACTAAACGACACGTGTCATGTTCGGTCAGCGACTTTTTTTTTTTTTTTTCCAGAGAGAACATGAGACGGACCTTGCTCTTGATACTAAACGACACGTGTTCATGTCGTCCAGTCGACTGGCTCTGGAAATCAATGAAATGGACGTGCGTGGATCAATTGTAATGCAGGCTTTGTTTTTTAATTTATTTTGTTATATAAGAATTTAAGGCAAAGATGATACGCAAAGCAGCTAGCTCGATCATAAACAGGACAGAACCACTACAACGTTTTGAAGACGTTTGTTCACAGATTGTTTCTTTCTGCAACTCCAAGTCTTCGAAACAGGGCGTTTGCATTCATAGCCCTATAATCAAATTGGGTATTCAAGATAATTTGTATTTAAACAACAATCTGCTGTCTCTTTACTGGAAATGCTTGGGAGTGCAACATGCACGGCAGTTCTTCGACGAAATGCCGTGCAGAGATGTTGTATCCTGGACCGGTATTCTCTCTGCTTACACTAAGGATGAAAAATATGAAGAGGCCCTTGATATCTTCGATTTGATGGTCCTTTCGGGTCCGTATCCAAATGCCTTCACTTTCTCGAGCGTCTTACGTTCATGTGCTGCTGTAGGAGACTTCAGTTATGGAAAGCGTAGTCACGCTTCTTTAATAAAGCATGGATTTGAGTCGAACCAAATTTTGGGTAGCTCTTTGATTGATTTCTACTCCAAGTTTGATTCTGCTGAGGAAGCTTTAAAACATTTTAGATATATGGATAATAATGATACTGTTTCATGGACAATGGTGATCTGTACTTTTGCACAGGCGAGGAAGTGGGGTCAGGCTTTGCGGCTTTATATAGATATGATAAAAGCTGAGGTTTCTCCAAATGAGTTCACTTTCGTTAAACTTTTGACAGCGTGTGGTTTTATTGGTTTGATCTTTGGGAAATTGGTTCATGCTCATATGATAATTTTGGGAGTTGAGCTGAACTTGGTAGTTAAAACAGCACTTGTTGATATGTATTCAAGATGCCACAGGATGGAAGATGCTCTTAAGGTGTCAAAGCTGACACCTGAATATGATGTATTATTATGGACTACTATTATCTCGGGGTTGAACCAAAACTTGAAATTAAAGGAGGCTGTTGCTGTATTTCAAGAGATGCAGATTTCAGGAATCTTGGGTAATAGTTTCACATATTCAAGTATGCTGAGTACTTGCACATCAATTCCATCACTGGATTTGGGTAGGCAGATCCACTCTAGGGTGATCAAGACTGGCTTAGAGAATGACGTGCCTATTGGGAATGCACTTGTTGATATGTATATGAAATGTTCTTTAGCAGTAGAAGATGGCTTGAGAGTGTTTAGAGGGATATACTCACCTAATGTCATTTCTTGGACATCTTTGATTGGAGGTTTTGCAGAACATGGTTTCCAACAGAATGCTTTTGACTCATTTACAGAGATGATGGCTGTTGGAGTGCAACCAAATTCCTTTACTCTCTCCACTATTCTTAGGGCCTGCAGTGTCATAAAATCTCTAAATCAAACATTTAAGCTGCATGGATATATAATAAAGACTAATGCAGACCATGATATTGTTGTTGGTAATGCCCTTGTGGATGCCTATGCTGGATCAGGAAGGGTTGATGATGCGTGGCGTATAGTAAGAGATATGAATCAAAGAGATGCCGTCACATACACAATTATAGCCACAAGATTCAATCAGATGGGCCATCATGAACTTGCATTAGATGTAATTGGTCACATGTTCAGTGATGATGTGAGGATAGATGGATTTAGTATGGCAAGCTTCTTTTCTGCATCAGCAGGCTTGGGGAGAATTGAAATTGGAAAGCAACTTCAGTGTTATTCTGTGAAATCTGGTTTAAGCAGTTGGATTTCAGTCTTGAATAGCCTAGTTGACCTTTATGGGAAATGTGGACAAGTACACGATGCACACAAAGCATTTAGAGAAATACCTGAGCCAGATGTTGTATCGTGGAATGGATTTATATCAGGGTTGGCATCAAATGGATATATCTCGTCTGCTCTTTCTGCATTTGATGATATGAGGTTAACAGGAGTCAAACCTGATTCTGTTACATTCTTGTCATTGCTTTTCACTTGCAGTCATGGATGTTTAGTGGACCTGGGTCTCCAGTACTTCCAGTCTATGAGAGAAACGCACGGTTTAGAACCACAATTGGATCACTATGTTTGTTTGGTTGATCTCCTAGGTCGAGCTGGCAGGCTGGAGGAAGCAATGAATGCCTTAAAAACTATGCCTTTTAAACCAGATACTTTGATCTACAAGACACTGTTGGCTGCCTGCAGGGTTCATAGGAACTTGCCTCTCGGAGAAGATATTGCAAGGCGAGGGCTTGAGCTAAATCCATCAGATCCCACATTCTATGTGCTGCTTGCAAACTTGTATGAAGACTGTGGTCGGTCTGATTTGAGTGAAATGACTCGCAGGACGATGAAAGAAAGAGGGTTGAATGGCAATGGGTAGGTAGAATTGAAGGAAATAAGAACAGAAGTTCCTCTTTTCCAATTCCATCAGATTCCTGAGATTTATGAAATACTGGAATATTTACGAGTTTAAATATCAAACATATCTACGTGGACATATGTTTTAACATGGAGAAGATAGCTGTTGCATTGCGTCTTCAAAACATGCTATCGAAGGCCATTACATCCTAGGTCATTAGTCAAATATTTGGACATTAGTAGAGATCGCCGTTAATCTTCGTTAAGACTCCAAGTGTCTTATCAAAATCCAAAGGTCTCCGACTTTCCATGCGATAAGAAATAAGGAAACCGTTGGCTTAGGCTGCATCGGCATCAAAGAGCATTCGTTCCTGGTTGGGATTTTGAAAACCCTTGGCTTTTTTTTTTTTTTTAAAAAAAAAAAATTCAGATATTTGATATTCAGCTCAAGTTTGAAAAGAAAACTTGAGGGGAACATGAATGAACTCGTTTCGGTATGGTGATAGTCAATTTCCAATTTAAAGAATCAACATATTTTGAATGGTGGTAATTAACTTTCAATTTAAAGAATCAACAAATTCTGAAGCTCACAAACTGCGAAAATTTCTCTCATTTAAGGAGCAGTTGCTGTCCTGTCTACATGAACAAAAGTTTTCAGATGGACACAAAATACATTGTGTTTAACAACAGGAAGCAAGAATGAGATTTGATAAAAAAAACTTCTCGTAACATCCACTTATGTCAGGCTTATTCACTGAATCATTCTGGCTGTTGTCTCATGAAAACCCTATCCAATCTGGTAAACATGAATTACAAGAGAACAAACACAAATAATAAACTAAGAACAAGGATTCAACTCCGAAGTTTGTTGTTCCTCAAGATGTGTCAGTTGTGCATTACTCCTTTGTCTCTGACTGACCAGATGTGACTGCAGGTGCATCAGTTTTGGACTGCACAGCCTCAAGCGTCTTGTAGAACTCCTCAGGAAGAGGACCAGGTCGATGTAAAGGAACATGCTTTGGTACAGGAGCATCGTTTTCAATAACTTCGCACTCATAGTCATCAGGAACACCCCAAGGATCCCACTCTACAACACAGCATAATGATAAAGATACCATCATTAGGTTACAATGACATAGCAATATATACAGCATGTTCAGCATGCTAGGTTCAAATGATTATGTGTTCTAAATTATATGAAATGGAAGTCGGTGTCAAGGGAACGAACTTACTTCAAATCATATCTAATAAAGGTGTGGAGAAATATAAATTTATATTACCTTAAATGCGATTATAATTGAAGATCACCAAAGCATATTACAAGAAATGTAAGAACCGCTACAAGTTCTAATAAAATTTAATACCAAATTGTTTATTAAACTCATTTTCTATCATCAACTTCACAACAACATATACAGCACCAGTTAAAAACAAATGGACTTTGGCCTCAATGGTTGATTGTTCTTTGCAAAATTAGACATTGCCTCTATCTAAATGCCAATTCTAAGATGGAAAGGAGAGGGCGGGAGTTCTCCAAGTAACTAATAAATTTAGGTCCCTCACTAAGGAAAACTTTTACAATGTCATGATACCCAGATTACAATTTTGAATAGATTCTACTTCTCACGACTTGTTTCTTCAACATAACACCGAATACAATTTCAATAAATAGATTTCAAATCGCAACTATGTTATAGATCAATCATAATGGGTCCAAAGTCCAAACCAAGTGGTATCAGGGACTAGGAAGATCATTTATGCCTAGACATTCTCATGGCACTGAATTCAAAATAACAGATTGTAAGCTACAATAACCAAATCAAAAACTTTCCACCCCAACAAGCACATTAAGTTATCTCAATCCCCTATTCTTCACGCAGCCTAAACTGATTAGCAAAGCTACCTCAGCATTCAACTACGAGGGTAATAAAAGATAAAAGCCTCCATACTAAATAGATTTCAGGATACCCTCATTCGAAAGGAAGACCTTGACCAAGTTACAAGCTTTTTATAACAACAGTGAGGATGAATTTTGATGATAATGATTCTTCTATTAGTGGACTTCTCTAATACCTATATTTGAAAACAGAAAGTAAAAAATTTAAACAGCAAACTTGATAGATGGTTGGATGAATCCAAATTCACCGACCTAAATTAAGAATTTCAACACACAGTGAGTTTTTGCTTTTTTTTTAAAAAAAAAAACGAGTACAAATTCCCTCTATCTCCGTTCAGCAAGCGAAAAACGCAGTTGAGCATCAATGACAAATAAACAAGGACTAATCAAGGCATAAATGTACAGACCGATCATTTTCTCGATGAGCTTGAGCTCGTCTTGGGCCTCCTCGATAAGCTCCTCGACCTGGCCGCACCCAAGCTTTTTCTCGATCATTTCCCAGTCTTCTTCTTCTTGGCACACCTGCAGCCTATGCCTCGTGAAGCTCTCCACCGCCTTACGGTATCCTTCGTCCTCAGGGACCGCCTTAATCTCCTTTAGGGTTTTGTTGTAAAGATTGATCAGCACCTCTCTCGCGTTGGGGACCACATCCAGACCCACGATCCCCGTAGTCTGCTTCACCTTGGCCATCAATGGCCGTGCGATCACCCGAAGAAACATTGCTAATCTTTCTCCCGGTGAATCTCCGGATCACTACTCTCTTTACTTTCTTATATTCTTCTCTGCTGCTCTCTCACAGCGTTTTTCTCAGTTTAGAGAGAAATGGGACTGTTGGTTTACAGTAATGACCGGCAATATCTCAACCGTTCATCTACATGGATTTTCTTTCAGATGGAAGTTATGAAACTCAACAGGGACCCATATGTCAACGGTGGAGATCAGCAAGTTTAAGAGTGGGTTTAGGATCCATGGGCTGAGCAGGGATTTTTGTCCCTGAGGCCTGACCCAACTTTAGTCCAGATCTCTTGAAAGAGGGCTTAAAACTTTAGGCTCGAATGGGTTAGTCCGGCCCGTCCCACAGCATAGATAACTCTAGTAATTAAAAAGCTATGCAATTATGTAATTGTTGTTCCCCAACAAATGGACAAATTGAAAAGTGATCATGTAAAAAATTTAACCACCATATGGCATATTAATTGATGCACAATTATGTAAAGATTGTTTCCTTTTATCATTAACTTGAAACATAAAGCTTTTTGGTGGTTAGGGAAATGGTTTTTTTTTTTTTTTTTTATCAAAAAGGTGTTCCTTGTTTAATGGTTAGATGAGAGATTAATTCATTTTAAATTGGAAAATGATTATATTAAAAGTTTTTTCAATATGCCGACTCCATAATTCGATTCTAAAATTATCAAAATATGATCTAATGTGCTTCAACTACTAGACAAAGTTAAAATCTCGTGATGTTAAAATCTACTGCCAATGTAGTAATTGTTCTTTTTTATCCTGATTAATTACCATTTTGTTTCCTTTACCTTCAAACTTCATTCTAATAATAAAATATAATAATAATATATAGCTTCGCACCACCCTACAAAATTTAAGAAATTAATCAAGAATTGGTATGGTAAATAAAATTAAATGTCTTTCAAGTCAAAATGTGCTATTGTGTTTGGTACATGCAAGAAATAGAATATCTAACTAGGGTTAGTTACCATAAAAACTAATTATTTGCATACTATCCAACTAGGATTCTACTTCTCTTACAATAAATAAAATAAATACTAAATTTTTTAAAATATATACTATATGCTAGTATTGAAAATAATTTAATAAGATGTCCAACGCAATTCAACATAAAATAAATAATGTGTGTTACGAGTGAGATTTAATTAAAAAAAATAGAAAATAATTCTTACATATATAATCTGCACTTGTATTTTATGAATAATAAAACGTACTGTGAAGCCAGAATTTTATTATTTCGATTCAGGGAAAAATCAGAATTTTATTATTTCGATTAAGGGAATCAATGATTTCAGGCTGATACTTGTTGTATGATCTGAAAATATGAACCACACGTGATTTAATTACTCTTCTAACCCCATGTAAAGATCCTGAATTTAAGTTCTCTCAGCTATAAAAGTTTTCGCCAATTTGGTAACTCGATGTGAAAATTATTCTTATTATATAGTTCTTCGTATTATTTCGGTATTAAACTTTTTAGTTAATAAAAAAAATTACAGTACAAAAATGACTAAAAAAACCCAACGAAGGAGTGAGTCTGATGATAAGATAGGCAGAAGAACAACTTGCATCGCTATTTTGACATTATGAGATTCCCCAACTACCTCATCGATTGTGCTTACTTATAGGACGGCCCCTGTTCTTCGTCCTCTCCCTTTTATTTTTTTATTTATATAATTACTCGCATTCTTTATTATTTTCATCAATTAAATATTTTTGCAACAAAAAAATATGTTTGACCAACTCTAACATGATCTAGGGATGAAAAATATTTGACCTTGAAGGAGTCCCCTCTCTTCGTATAATACTAATATAATATAAAGTGTGAACAGACAATAAAAAAATAGTAATAATAATAAAAAAAAAAAAAAAGACTAGAATACCTTGTTTGTCTCGTGATTGGCGTCTGAACCGGAGTCGGTGTCACGGTCTGAAGCCTTCCATACACGGATCCGACAACTGTCATGCACCCACTTACGAATTAACCAAACTTATATTTCAATTTTCGCAAACATTCTGACATAAAATCTCAAAATTTAATTTTTGTATGTTTAAAAAAGGTAACCTACTAATAATTGTAATTTTAAAATCCTATCATGATTTTTTTTTTTTCTCATTTTGAAAAGTAACTTACTAATTAAAAAAAAAAATTACAAAACAGTTGAAAATTAAAAATTAAAAATTAGAATTATGTTTTTGTTGAAAATGGGGCCAGTCTAAGCAGTTGAAATGATGTGGTGTACGTGGCAAATTAATGAAAGTGTTGAATAGTCAATCAATACTACTACTACTACCCACTAATTATATGCTAACATAATTACATAAGCATGAAAAGGCAAAATTGCCCTATACATAAAAAGTTTAATTAAGTAGTTACATATTCATGCTAATGACTAACAAAGTAATGAATTTTCATTATATAAAAATAAAATAAAATTATTATAATAGTAATCCTAATTAGTAGCTAGGTAGTAATAATTAATTTTATGTTATAATTATTTAGAAAGTAACATAACAACAAGATTCCTTTGGGTTGTGGTATATCATTATTATGGTGGTTTCATGACATCCCAAAAATGAAATTTTGGAAAATAAAAAAAAGCTCAATGATATCCATGCATGCATGATAATCATTCGTGTTGTTACCGGGAGTATATATTACCTGTGTTAAATAATTGGTTTAAGAAGAAATATCATGTTAGATTCTCATTTTCTTTTTTTTTTTCATATGTTTAAAAAAGGTAAACTATAATAATGTGTGTATAATTTTAAATCCTATTCTTGATATTTGTTTTTTTTAGCTCCAATATATATTGAGAAAAGTATACTTACCTAATGTAAAAAAAAAAAAATTACAAAACGAGTTTAAAATTAAAGAATTAGAATTAGTTTTGTTGAAAAATGGGGGCCCGACGTCGTTAGAAGGCAGTTTGAAATGAATGTGGTGTACGTGGAGAATATTAATGAAAATGTTTGAATTAAGCTTCAATTCAATACTTACTAACCTCGTGACTACTAGTTGGGTGCACGTAATTAATTATGCCTGGAACATAATTACATGAAGCATGAAAACAAGGCAGAGAACACACACAGAAAAATTGCCTAAATGACATATATATTATAGTTACAGTTTACCATGCTAAATGGACTAACAAAAGTAGAGAAATTTCATTATATAGTCAAAAAGTAAGCAATAGTAATCCTTAATGTAGTTAGGCTAGGCGGTTGTGGAGTGGCACATGTAGTGAATTAATGGTAATTGTTATGTTAGTAGGATTATTTTAGAAAAGTACATACAACAAGATTCGCTTTGAGGGTATGTGGGGTAGTAGTGTTCTATAGTATTATGGGTGCGTTTGCATGACATCGCACAAAAATGAAAATTTTGAAAATAGAAAAAAAGCTGCAAATGAGTATCACATTGCAATGCATGATAGAGTGGCAAGTTGGTGCGTGTTGGGTTGTCTACCGGGTGGATGTTGGGAGTAATAGCTATTACCAGTGTGTTAAATAAGTTTGGTTTACGCAGGAAGAAATATCGATGTTATGATTCGTCAATGTTTCTTTTTTTTTTCATATATATATATAGTATAGATTAATGATGATAAAGTATATGGTTATATATAGTCTGCACTTCCGGTGTTTTTGATTTAATGGTCTCATTTTGAAAAAATAAAAGAAAGTTAACTTCTTTAGAATATTGATTGAGAATTTAGAAAACATGTAAAGATATATGTTTTCAGAATAAATTTACTAGAAATGGGTAGTTGATAATATTGATAATATATATAGTTGCACTTTCGTTTTTTGATTTATGTCTCATTTGAAAAAAAAAAAAAGTTAACTTCTTTTATTTTGAAATTTAAAAAATGTTAAAATATATTTTTTAGAATAATTACTAGAATAGTAGTTGATAATATGATAGAATTACCAACTAAGTACCTTTACTCTTCTGATTTTTATATATGTAAAAAATATCAAATGTTTTTCTATAAAGAAACATAAAATCTGATTTCAGTAATAGTAAATGTTAATCCCGAGCATGAGACATGAATATTAATTAAAAAATAGCAGATATAAGTAGAATTATTTAAATATAATTAATAACGATAGTCAAATGAAGAATTATTTATCAATTTTTATATATTAAAAGGTAACTTAATTAGGATGCCAAAGTAATTAGGACGAAGAAATTTGTAAAAAAGAAAGGAAGGAAGGAAGGAAGGAAGCAACAACAGAAAGGAGAAAAGAAAAAGATTTAAAGACAAAAAGAAGCTATAGGTGGAGAGGGAAAAGATTCTATCTATCCCTCTGTACATCTATCTATACCGGCGAGAAAGAAAAGGTTGCATTAAACCCTATAGTTTCTATTGTTTGTCTATTGCCTACGAAAACAAAAGGAAAATAAGCATCCTCGAACAATATACTGAAACCTACGTTTTCCTTATTGAAAAAGAAACAGCTTTTTTAGAGGCTTGTCTCAGTCACCGCCACGGGCACCAGCAACTGCGGCGGAGCTACCGACCGCCCAAGAGGAGAAGTTGTCGCCAAAGTCTGGGCTGCGACCTAAGCCTCCACTATTAGTGCTGCCAAAACCAAAAGCACCATCACCAAAAGTACCCAACTCTTGCAAACCCTTGATTATATCTTCATTTAACATCATATTGGGAATCAGAATATCTTCATCGTCCTCATCATCGTAACTGTAACCATCACCGTCACCGTCACCATCACCATCACCCTCTCCGTCACCGTCGCTTTCCATTCCATGGCCCTCCAGCAAGTCAGCTCCATCCATATTTCCAGCATCTGTCCCGATGTTCTCATTCGCTGCCAGCTCGTGCTCCATAGAAACTGACAGTGGGGTTGTTGGAGAAAGACTTGTTGCAGAAAGTGGGGACGAGCACGGCGCCTTTTCACCACTTGGCTCCTCGGTTTCCTTAATGTCAGGCTTTTGGATGGTGGGGAACTTGTTTCTGGTACTTCCGGCGAGCGAATTCCGGTGAGTAGGACGAGGGTGGGTATGATCGCCGGAGTAACTCACGACGAACATGTTTGGATCGGTGTTGCTCCTCTCTACTTGCTTTCTCGCTGCACATCCTTTAGAGCTGCTGCATCTATAGTAGTTCCTGTAAAAACCAAAATTAAAATTAGAAAATATTTAGTCAAATAAAGGGAAAAACAATATTTTGACAGCGATGAAATTTGACAAAGATGTAACCTTGGGTATGGAGAGCCTTTGATGGGTTTCTGTCCGTACTTGCGCCAAGCCCACACATCATTACAGAGATTATCGGCAGTTACTTGCATTACCTGCCTCTTCATATTGCTTTTCCTGCAAAACAATGAAAGTGGAAAACTTTACTCATGGGAATTAATTATGCAAAATTCCGCAAGAATTAAAGGAAATATATATAGATACTTCTTTCTTGATCTGGCCGGCGATGGGGTGTTGCGTAAAGGATGGACAGAGTTAGTTGTCTCAGGCCTTTGAGAACCCTGTTGGTGCAATTTTCTCTGTTGCGGGCTATTGTTGAAGCGGAGGCTTAAGGGTACGTTGAGGGGCTGTGGTGGTGGTGGAAGAGATGGTGGTGGGGATGGGGGAGGGGGTAGCGGTAGCTGTTGCTGATGTTGCAGTTGCAGTTGCTCTTGTTGGGCAAGTTGTGGCTGATTTTGGCCACTAAACCCACAAAAATCAGAAATGGAGGAACTAAGAATATTTGGCTGATCAATTGTGGTAGGCAAAAAAGGCATGTAAGAATCTTGCAATTCTAGCCACCCATTGTTTGTAGGCTGCTGAGCAAGAGCAATAGCAGGAAAAGAAAATGGAGCATCGACATGATTAAAGGTCAAACAATCCAAAGGGTTTTGAAAGTTACTGCCGTTTTGAATATCAGGCGCATCGTCGGTGGTGTTTACGTAGGTTTGAGGGGTGACTGTGTTGGCGGCAGGAATGCAACCCCTCACTACAGCAAACAGATCCCAGTCCTCATCCATCAAGCCTCCCAAATCTACCTAGAAATTATAACCTACTCTTTCTTGCTTCTCTCTGAGAGCAAATGGGTTAGGAAAGAGAGAGAGCAGAAACAAGGACGGCGCTGACTTTTGAGTTTTGGTTGGGACAGAAGGAAAAAGAAATATTAGAAAGAAAAAAGAGAGAGAAAATGCATAGACAGAGTAAGAAGAGAGAGAGAGAGAGAAGGAATGATGGTGGAGCACTGACTTGGTGAATTGTTAATTATTTATACAAAGAGAAAAAGAGATGGGCATTGCATTTCTTGTCCTTTACAGAAAAAAAAAAAAAAAAAAAAAAAAAAGCCTCTCCAAACTTCTACCATAGAAAATTAAACTACTCTTTCTTGCTATCTCTCTGAAAGAGGCAAATGGGGTAGGAAAGAGGAGAGAGCAGAAACAAGGACGCCAGCGCTGACTTTTGCAGTTTTTTGGTTGGGGACAGAAGGAAAAAGAACAATATTAAGAAAAAAAGAGAGAGACCTATTGCATTAGACAGAGAAGAGAGACGAGAGAGAGAAGAAGGAGATGATGGGTGGAAGCACGTGACTTGGTGGCAACTTGTTAATTAATTATACAAAGAGAAAAAAGAGAGATGGGCATTGCATTCTTGTCCTTTTATATAAAAAAAAAAAAAAAAAAAGAAAAAGATACACTGATTTTTGGTTTAGCAAAGAAATAGAAAACCAAGGTTTGCTTTCTCCTTTGACTTCATGGAACAATGTCAAAAGGTGGACTCCAAAGCCCATTGCATATAGTGAAGTATGGCAGTATAAAGAAGAGAAGGGTCTAGAGTTGGTTTGCTAGTTTTGCTTGTAAAAAAAAAAAAAAAAAAAAAAAGAAAAAGAACACTGGTTTTTGGTTTACAAAGAAAAGAAAACCAAGGTTTGCTTTTTCTTTGACTTCATGAAAATGTCAAAAGGGGACCAAAGCCCATGCAATAGTGAAATGGCAGTGTAAAGAAGAGAAGGGCAGAGTTTGGTCTATTTGCTTGTACAATTTCCTACATGCATCACCCTATTCTTTTTGCTACTCGAAGTTTGATTGGACCCAGTGCTTCTGCTAATGTCTCTAAAATAGTTACACCACGCGCCATTGCGCGAGTTTACCTATACTTAAGTGATTACTTTAGTAAGAAACTTGTGTTCTGTTGCTACGGCATGTCTTACAATTGGCTTAAACATATTTCATTTTATTAATTTTTCAAAATCATAACACTCTTATGTTAAGTGGGGCTATTACCACTTAGTAGTTTTGGAATAAAGTAGAAAGGCCTAGGAATAATTGAATGAGATGTTAACCCCACTATGTTAATAGAACGGTGCAAAACCCACCCAACCCAAAAAATAAAAATAAAAAAAATTAATTGTACTATAATTTAAATTGAAATAACTTGTTACATATTCAAAAAAAACGGCCTAGTTTTTTTTTTCTTCTTCATTATTTTTTTTAATATTTTAAAATAAAGTTAAGTATGTAAAATGTATTTTTATATACATGCGAGACATGCACGCCCCAGTTAAATTTATTAGATATTAAATTTATTAGGAGATCTATCATATACTAAGGTCGTTGTACTTTTAACTTACAAAAATAAACACGTGTTATACATATTATCTGTCAACTTTAATATAACTCTATTGGCGATCTTAATTTTAATGATAAAAAACAACAATGTACTTTTATTCACGTTTCTTTCACTAAACGTTAAATTTAAGCATAACGGCAATTAAAATGCAGTACGTGTATGTCATCTATACTGTTCCTCGAATTTAGCACAGTCAACGAGCAATCTCAATTTCATTAAAAAAGAAAAGAATAATAACATATTTCTGTCAGTTTTTTATTTATTATATGTAGAAATTTAACGGTCATACTTTAATTTCAGATATCTATATATATTACTTTTCGAATTTAATATTATCACATGTAGAAAATTAACCGTCACACTTAACACGTGTTATCCATATTACTTCACGAATTTGGCATCAGTCATGACCAATCCTAGTTTAATAAGTACAAGAAAAATTAGTTGATTTTTCCTAAAGTAAAACTATAAATGTGAAATTCTAAACTAATGTGCAATTATATATATAAAGATCAATTGTTGATTATCTAAGAAAACTATAATTAATTGCCAAATTAAATACAAATTTTAATAAATTTTCTTTGAACAATAGTTCATTTAATTTACAAGAGATTATTAATTTGATATTTCATAAATTTGCATACAAAAAATAGAACTCATTTATCATGCATCGTTACACATTCCCCTTTTCTTTTGAGGAAACAAATATCCCCTTTTAAGTACTCCACATTTAGGGCATTTTTAGGTTAACAAATAGGGTTTCGTTTTCGTACAATTATTACTTGACTGCGTTTTGGGCGAGTCCTACGTACTTCTTAGGTCGGGTTTTTGCTAGCCATAAATATATTAGTGCCATATTTAGAAACATGTACAAACAAAAAACCGGGTCTTATTATGCACGCTCTATCTCGGAGCGTGAACGCGTCTTTTTTTCTGTTAGAAAAGTGACGTCTAACACGGTCCAGGTGTTCGCAATGCAGGTTAGGGCGTCAGTAATACGGGCGCGTGAAAAGTTGGCTACAAAATTACAGAATTGGCCCACATGGCCTTTATTAAACAAAATCCTAAAATTCAATGCACTCCGGCACGCTGGACGCACAAGGCTTCGGGCTTTCTGTGCTAAGTCCGCGTGGCAAATTAACTTTTTGACCGTTGGATGTATGCCACGTGGGTGAATATTGTTGTGATTTGGTCCGCTGCGCTCCAAATGTCTGCCCTTGATATTTGGTCCATTAGAGCAGTCCAGTAAGAATATTTACCACATATGAGGAAGAAAACAAAACAGTAATAAATGGTAAATTTATTACTCTGTCATTTCAAAATTTTAGCCTCAGTGTTGGTTTATAAATGTCCTAAAAAATAATAATCTCATAATTTTTTTCTCACTTTCATCCATTAAATTATTAGTTAAATTACTATAAATCTTGATATATATAAAATTAAAATATTAATTTTTAATTTTTCACTAATACATTGGCTAATTGCCTTAAACATTAGATATGAAATAGTAATACAAGGGTACACGATAAAAAAATAAAAATTATAATTTAACTAATATTAAATTTTATTAATCAAAAAAAATTATGAGATGAACGGAGCATATGATTTATGTGTTAAGCCATGGACAAAAAAAAAAAAAAAAAAAAAAAAAAAAATAAATGTCTCTAGGAAAAAATAATAATCTCATAGATTTTTTTTCTCACTTTCATACTATTAAGAATTATTTCCGTGTAAATTACTATATACAATCTTGATATATATAGGAAATTGATAGAGGATATTGAATGTTTTAATTTTCATCGACTAATACATTGGCGTAATCTGCTTAAACATTAGAATATGGAAATAGTAGTACAAGGGTAACATGTCGATACAATAAAATAAAAATTATATGATTTACAGCTAATATTGAAATTTTATTAATCAATGAAAAATTATGAGTGAACGGAGCATATGATTTTAAATGTCTTATATTTTTCTTTATTTACACATTAATTATATTATATTATTTAATTATATTATATAAAAAATATTTTTATAAATATTAAATTAATAATTCTCTGTTATTTCTTATTTTATGTTTGGCCTCTGTATCACACTTTGTGGTGTAGAAGTCTTGATGTCTCGTTTTAAGTGGTTATGACTTTTTTCTATATCTATATTTGATTGTCTTCTTGTTGTATATTCTTGGTCATTAAAAAAAAAAAAAAAAAAAAAAAAAAAGAAGAAGAAGAAGTTCCTGTTACTATGTTGGGTGCCTCGTACACAAACTTTTGGTGAAGAGTCTTGAGCCGTTTAAAATGGGTGATCTATCAATTGATGCTTTTGATTGTGGGAATCTTGGCATTTTTAACGGTGCCTCTATCGTATGGTAAATTTTTGAAGTTCCCAAAACTGTTGTCCCAATCAGAACAGTTTAATTAATTTTACTGTTAGAAGAAGTGTTACGTACGCATAAATTTGTGGATTGCCTTTTTATTTTCATAAGCGGTAAGAAACCAAATTAAGACAACAGAATCATTCCATTATCAAACCTCATACATATTGAATGTCAAAATTGATTAATTTCATTTCTTTTTTTTTTTTATGCATTACACGTTTTATTTGAAAAACGAAATAAATAAGATAATTTGGTACAACATTTCTCTTGAATGAAACATTAATTAAAGATTTGAAAATAAGGAATTTTTATAACTAATCTTAGCTACCTAGGGCTACCTTTTTATCTAGAGCATGCCTAATTTTAATTAAAAAATTTATGTAGATTTTTCTTTTAACATTGAAAAATTTTTTAATAAAAAAGTTAGTAAAATTTTAATTTATTATTTATTTTATTATAAAACGAGCATGTAATGATATTTTTTAAGCGACAAATTAATTTATTTATATTATGTTTGATTAAAAAAAAATCATTATTTTATCATATGATAAAAAATAACAATTATGGCTGATTATGGATTTTTTGTTGATAAAAATACAATACTATTATTGCAATTCCTTTATATTGATGATGTTAATAGATTAATTAAAAGTGATGGGTTTAATCATTTCAATTAACCTAACGTTTTGATTAATAAATAAATAAATAACAAAAGTAATAATTCTGCACGTAGGTTTAGTCTAGAAGGTAAATAAATATTTGACCTGGGCAATGAGGACTGCGTTGATATTTCTTTTTTTTGGAGAGAATAAAGAAGATTTCTTTTAAATATTATTTTTTAAATTAAAAAATTAAAAAATAGAATAACATAAAGAAACAAAGAAAGAGAATATATGCTTCTAGAAGCAAGGCAAATATCCGTACACAGATACTCTTTTTGGTTCTTTCTTGAGGTTGAGGGAGGAAAAAGATTAAACAAGTATAGTATTAAAAAAAAAAAAAAATTAGGAAAAAGATTAAAAAGTATAGGTATTAAAAAAAAAAAAGACCTAAAGAAGGGCTAAAAAAAAAAAAAAAGATAGAAGGCGAGGGAAGTTGTTTGTCGACCAAAAAGTGAACACTGTAATTAAAAGGAAAATTTTAATTATATTAATATTAATTAGGTTAAAGAAAGAAAATGAGGATGTTGGAATTGACATTTGGATGATTGTGAGAAAGTAATTAAGGGTTGGGAAAACATGCATAGCAATAGAATTCTCTGTTATTGTTGATGATGATTATGAAAAATTAACAAAGTTAGCAACTTTTTTTTATTTATTTAATTAATTATTTTACAGATTTTAAATTCATAATTTGGGAACACCCACTACTACCTCTTATATGCTAAATCCCCTTTTATAACTAGCAACTAGATGACGCAATGCAATTCTACAAGTCAAGGAAAATGAGTTCTTCCATGTCCACCCGTGAATAACTTTCTTTGCACATTTTTTTAAAAAAAAAAAAAAAAAAAACGATTTTTTTGAAAAAAAAAAACAAAAAAAAAATCCAACTGTGAATAATTAAGATTTTTTTATACAAGAGATTGAAACGTCTAATCACTGTTTTTTTAAAAAAAAAAAAAAAAAAATCAAACTGTATAAATTAAATTTTTTTATAAAAAGATTGAAACGTCTATCATTTCAATTAATACATTATTTGATTTTTTATTTTTTTAGGTCGGCTATTAAATTATAATTAATATTATAAATTGACGTAATGACCTAGTAGAGGTGGAGGGGGCGAGCCCGGGCCCTAAAACTCAAAAAAAATTTAAACATTTTTACCTATAAATTAAAAAAAAAAAATTGTAGTTTCGGAGTCTAGCTCGGCTCCTGAACATGCGATTTCATAATCATAACTCGATTTGAAATTTTAAAATTTTAAAATTAATTATACCTTGTCATGCCTCATAATCCAATTATGAAGTGTTCATGGAATCACGGGTAGTATGTAAAAGTAATAAATTCAAATCTTAATATAAGAAAATTTCAGATTACCAAATATTTCATAATTCCAATATTTTTTGGATAAAAAACGTGAATGCCATGCGAGAGTTTTCAAATTTCAATAGGATTAGCTGCTAATAATGAAAATTATTCATTTCTACATTGAATTAAACATTTGACAAGTTGGTGGGTTCTAACTTAATTCAGGTTTCAAACATTCCACATTGATTTTTAAGGCAAAAGGCATTAAGTTCTGTGGGTACTTCTGTTATGCTTGTCAAAACTAAATCATTTTTGGAAAAGACGTTCTCCTCTTCCCTTCTTATTCACTTCTTGGGTCAGATTATGAGACCTAATGACATATTTTTGTGACTTTTAGGGCACCCTAAACATGTAGAAAAGACTTGGTGAAGTGATTGTTATGCTCATTGTGGAAATGCATTTGGTCTTCTTTTTGTAGAGTTGGAGATATGACATGGGGGGTCTTGGCAAATTTTTGAAAGCAGAATGAGAGGAAGAGAAGAAGCTTGTGGGCTTATGCAAGGTTGATAGAGAAATAGAGATATATAGGCATCATTATCATCATCTCTAAGCAATTTAATTGCAGTAACCCTTTTTTTTGCTTGTTTTGTTGAACTAAATCATGTTCCCTTTTAATTCCAAACAAGAGTTGTATGTGTGAGAAAGAGGGAGATGAAGAGGGGAAGGGGGGTCACCACACACCCACCACTTTGTAGCGTGGGGAAAGTAAAGTGCCGCACAATTGGAGCACCCAACTCCACAACAAGCATTTCTTTCCCTTTCACTCTTGATGATAATGCACTACTTGTCTTTTGGATCTTCATTTGTGGAGGTTTTGCAGTTCCATTTGTTGATAACAGAAAAGTGTGCTGTGGGGGGAGGGAAATACAGTTGTTTCTTGTCAAATTTAGTGATTTCATATATGGAGGTTTAACAATTTCATTTGTTGATGCAAAAAATTAAGGGGTTTCTTGTCAAATTTAGTTTAGCGATTAAAGCAATCTAATGAAATAAAAAATTGAAGTAATATGGAGCGGAACTAATGCATCAAAATTAAAAGCCACAGGGGCCACACGATCTTCCCCAACAGATCATCTATATCAAATTAAGTTGCATTTTGATTTTACAACATAGAGAGTATACTGCAAAATCGCATATATATGCATTCACATTAACTGACCTGCCAAAAACTGAGAACATATGACCTGTTAAGCATTGCATTACCAACTTTACATTTTCCTTTCTTTTGTTAAATGTAATAAAGTAAAATCATTCCTGAGAAGCCTCTTCATTTGTTTCCCCCACGGACAAATCGAGGTGATCTTGTCCTCGACATACCAGAATAGTAATCACCCACGTTTGCAACAAATAACGGATCCCTATCTTCAATTTCTAATCGATTACTGTTATTGCCACTTCCAGGAGAAGTTTCATGATCTGTCTGCTCCAACTCTTTTGTTAGATCCTCCATTGTCTTCTTCAAACTAGCTTTACTCATTTGTCCTGCTTCTCCGGTTGAGATACCAACCATTGTGATCTTTGGAAGAAAAGGACTGGCCTCTGTTTTCTGCCTTGCGTATTCATCTGGTGGGCCCTGTGATCTGCAAGAAAGGAGAAATCAGAAGATTGTGAAGACCATAAGAAATTTATATGATAGTATGATCAGCAATGCGTGGCACCTTAATTCTGATTCTTTTTCAGGTTTCAACTGTCCTTTCAACCATTGATGCTTGAACCAATCTTCAAACGGGAACTGCAGATATCTTCTTTGTTCATGATTGATTTGAGAATTGTCTTCTAATTTACCTCTTGAAGAAATATCATCGGTTTTACGGTTGGCAATATAGCTGGTTGACTCGGAGGCTCTGTGAAAAGAAGATGCACTTCTGCATCACGGAAGTAAAATTGTTATGACTGCAGTAATAGAAATATAGGATTCATCTGTTGAATCTTGTAGCAAACCAAATTGAGAAAATTCCAATCCAGTTATTTCCAAAAAATATAAAATGAAAGCAAAAACTATCCAAGCATCATTAACTTTGAAGAATTCTGAAAGGCTATCTTGCATAATATGGATATTAGTGACCTCTTATGGTGCTGCCTTCTTAGACTTCACCAAATCTAGCAGCAATCACCTTAGTGTAGATTCACTTGCAAACTTAAAGAGGGCTGATCACCATAAAAGTAAAGTCTACATGCTTTCAATACCAATGGACCACCAATAAAGGGAAATTACATATATACTTTACAAAGAAGCTTAATCCAGAAAGATGCATAATGCAACTCTTCTAAGGAACATTGCATCCCTAATGTGTAACAAATTATGCCCATCAACTTTTAGTAACATCTTAGAAATCTGGTTCACATTTACTCAGAAAACTATATTGCTCCTATGATGTTGTTACTCTATATAAGAGGTTGCTCGTACAGCAAGGGTTAAAATACATGATAATTAAATCCATGATATGCTAAGTCAAAGAGCATGGGACACCAGAATATTCTTTCACATCAAAGCAGGGCAAATTGGTACAATAAGGAAGCTAATGTTCAGCTTCATTACAAGCATTAATATTCGCCGACGCAGATAAAATTGACTGTCTAAATCTCTGCATTCCCATATAATTCATTTATAGTGCAAATCAACTCAAGATCTGGAAAATAGAGGTACTGCCCACCGCAAACTTAAAACAAGCAAATAGATGTTGTTGAAAAGCTATAGGACGTACCTTTTCTCAAAAGAATCAACCATATATGGAAACTTTGGCTGAATACCAGTTGCTTTTCTCAACCACCTATTACCCAAGAGTACCCTGTCAACAGCATAAAGAAGCTGGATTTCAGCAGCCTTTGAAATGACACTCAGAGGTATTGCAGGATGGCCCATTTCATCCAGCATTTCCTGAACCTGTCAGCAAAATACCTCCACCATCAATAATATACTAGCTCAGTTTCACCAGATAGGCAAGCAATCCATAGTATGGACTCAAACATCTATTCAACACTTCACATCTTAATTTTTGACAATCATCCAGCATGAATTTTATTCAACATAAAAGAACCAATAAAGAGTGAATCAGAAATCCGAAAATTCACAAATCAATGTGAAATCATAAGGCCTTTAGAGCCGGCAACCAAAACCATGAAACCCACTTGCTTGCAGAATGGCGAATAAAATTCTCTAGTCAACACATGAATTAGTTTAAAACTGACTCTACAACTTCATGTAAATAGAGGCTAAATCAGGAAAACTAGTAGCATTACCTCTGGTGGCTCCATCATGCTATCTCCCATTTCTTCAATCACTTCTGCTGCCAAGTTGTCATCAATCACATCACGTCGGCGTTGCATGTGCCGAGTTTGAATTAAAGAATGGAAATGCTGATCAACAGATTCTTCAAGAATGTTATCTAGCATGTTTTTATCAAAGAAGTATGGAGTATACCTGGTGAAAGGAAAGTAACAGCATGAGCAATCATATTACTTCATTAATAGTACTAGTAAGCATGTTATCTGATAATAATAGTATACTACTAGCAATCATATGTTATCTAACAGTGATGCAGGAGAAAGCAAAATAACAAGTATTATTTTGAACAAGAAGGCACTAATACATCATTATATCAAATAGTAAATGATAAAATCTTTAAAAGCGAGCTAACCTAAATTCTATGCAAAACTCTCAGTGTTCACAGAAAATGCAAAGCTTCCATATAGAGAAAAGAAGATATCAATCTACTGATTGAAATTGTTTGACAATAGATGACATTATAACACACCATTTAATCCCATCTGCAGTAGCTATTGCAATATCTAAATTTTGAGCACTGAAAACAGGCACTCCATCAACCTTCCTCCTCCCATCACTCTGAGGAATGGTCTTGAGAAGTTGGTTTGCTGCCTTGACCTGTAAGGTCAAAAAAATAATTATGAAGTATCAATATAAACAGAAGTATGATGAAATTTCATAACTTGTGTAAATATTTAAAAAGCTGACTATGTGTTACCTGTTTCTCATTAGGAACAAATTGAAATAGGTGAGGTTTTTCCTGCCAAAACATATATCAGAAGGGAGTTTGCATTAGTCTAAATGGGCAGATGAAAGTTTGGATATCCAAATAGACAAAAGCCAAATTGAAATTTTCCTACGAGAGTAGTTACATGTGCGCTCACATGATATACCATATCATTTTGCTACAAAAACCTAAATCATGCATACAACGTTTCATTGAAGGTTAATAGAATTAAAATGATACTTCAAAATAAACATGTATCAACAGAATCGAGTAGGAGAAAACAAAGAAAAAAACAATGAGCTGGTAAAAAGTAGGATTTAATTAAACATTCAACCTGACTATATGTATTATATAACATAAAAGAGTATTCATGTATTCAAGTCAGCAATACCTTGAAATGTTCATATGCCAAATCAAGTCGACAAGCACCCACCACACCACTTGGAATATTTAGCCGTTTAACGTATGTAACTAAAAATACATATATCAAGTCAGAATTTAGTATATTGTGTAGGATAGAAATTTGACCAAATTGAATAGTAGAAACTACAAGAAGAATGACTAGAGAAAAGGTGAGAAGAAACGATTAAATGGGAAAATTTGAAATCAAGAGATTATGAACAACTTATAATCATTAGGACATACCTGCATCGCCTAAATCCATGAAAAAACGGAACACAGGACCATTCCTCTCACATTTAGTGACCGTTGAAAATATCTTCTTAAGCCACTCAGGTGTTCTGTAGATCAAAGATTCTACTTAGTCATACAGATTTTAAAAGGGTAAGCTGAATATGCATAGTGTACCAATGGCCTTTAGTGAGGAAGAGATATGATATAACATAACAACTTCAAACACACAACACACATAAACACAAAGGAGATCTGCTTAAACATACAATAAAGTTGATATGTTTGCTGCAGAAATGGAAATGAAATGCAATTCTTCAAACGGGATTCCACTGTCATTTTCCTGTTTGGGTTCAATTAAACCAACATTTTTATGATTTTCTTATCTTTCCCTGGGTTAAATTTAGTTGGAAAATTTTGAGTAAAATTTAAAAAATTAACAACTATGCCACATTTAATTGTTCGAAAAATTCAATTGTGAACCAGGAGTAATCAAAAGTATCCGCTTCTTTTAACAATTCAATGAGAGTATAACTATATTATGTTTACTCTATTATTAGTCTATTGCAAGTGTTAATATAACCATAACGAAATGCAAAACTTAGTGACATCAGTGTTATCAATAACCCGAAATGCTGCCACTATTCGGTTTCTTAACACCCATGTATCTAGAAAATTAATTGATCAGAATACCAAAACTAAGATTAGCTACAGGGGTTATTGAAATTGAGCGAGAAAAATCTGATTCAATAATTGAAAAATTACATATCTGTTCATATTCACCACCGCATAAGAAATCCTAGTTCAGTAACTAATAAGTACCTTTTGGAAATGAAGGGAATATCAAAATGAGTAGAAACAGCCATGAGCCCAGTCCCTGAAAGATCGCACATACTGAAAACCTGACCAACGAAAGCGGGGCCGCCACCCTTGCCATTAGAATTGAGGCCTGCAATCCTGACCGTTGACGGAAAGCCCGAGTTGGACTCAGCAGAGGACAACCCTTTAACGGCAGCCGATTTTGGAGGGACCGAGTCGGGCTGAGTCGAATCGAAGGGAGAGCAATAAGACAAGTCGGGAAATTGAAAAGGGATGCAAAGCTTGGGAGGAGGTAGAGTGATTCTTGAAGACTGCGACGTTTTACGAGCGGGGATAAGTGAGAGTAGAGCGGTGGTGGCGGAGTGGAGTATATTAGAGTGGTTGCTGTGGCGACGTTTATGTGTTGGTTCTGTAGGTAAGGCCATGGGTGGTTTGGCAGATTAGCTGATGGATTCGGAACGCGAAAGGAATTTGAGGATTTTGGCCGTAGACTTGAGAATCAGGGGAATTCAAATTTGCATCGGGAATCCGAATTTTTCTTGAAAACTTTTCTTTTTCCATAAAATCCAAACCTTTTCTCCTCTTAACTTTTCTGCTTAATGGAAGGATTAAATAAATTACGAAAATTTCTTTATAAGAATATTTTTGTTTACGAAGAAATAGAAGTTAAACTTTATTTTTTATCTTTTTTTTTCTCTAGAATACCAGTTTATTAATATTAAATGATGGATAGAAATAAAAGATATTAAATTTGAATTTTTTTAATTATATTTTTTCACCAATTTGATGAGTCAAAAAGAAGACTACCTCTTATTATTATAATATTATTTATCTCTATAAAAGTCTTCAATAAATTAAAAAAAATACATATTAAGAAATTAAATTATAAGTCCATAAAATATTATTATTTTACTGCTAACATATAAATGAAATCTTGCACACAGGCCAAACAAGGATATACTTATTTCTTTATAATAAATATTTGTTTGAAAGAAATAAAATTTCAATTTCACTTGATGATTGTTAGTGTTAACACTTTATTATTACAACATCGATGTTTAATGTTAATGATTTAAAACAAATAAAATATAACAATTATAATTGATAATCACAAATTAAATGCTAAAAGCAAAAATTTTACGGTATATTTCATAATGTACAGTGATAAACTAGACATGAGATAGTCTTTTTTGTTTCTAAACTTTATTCAATGCACATATTTATTTTAGTAACGGAAAAATAAGCGTGCAAATAAAAATTGGAAGGCTATAGACTTGGAACACAATTTTAATAAACGAAATGACGAGTCTAGCCTGACGATATTTATCAAATTTAAGGATAAAACCGTAAAATCATAAAAACCCTGGCTTTGCAAATTTCATCTGGATCTCAAACGCAAAACCCAATAAATCTCCTCTCCTCAACAACTGTGCATTTTTCTTCCTGAGTCCATATTCGCGCCATCGTTCAGACAAAGCGTTCTGAAGTTTATCCGATCTCGATTTCTTTTTCTTTTTTGGGTATTCAAAATATTAATTTCACTTATCCTTTTCTTATAGATTGAGATTTTCGCGTCAATAGTGATTGATAAATGGTCGAATGACCTAAGTTCAGTTTTTGTATAAATTCCTGATTTCTTTTCCCTCGTTGATAGGAATTGATTATGATTTTGCTTCACATTAATTGGATTTGTAAGCTGTTTTGGACGTGATTGAATTTTTAGTTCACTGGAGATTATGTATTTTGGATGGATTCTTCATTCTTGGTCATGTTTAGGTCGTTTTATTTCATAAATTAGGGTTATTTTGGATAATAGTAACTCGAGAGATTCGGTTGAATTCATCTGATGCATGTGCAGGAATAACTTGCCTGGGTTATCATTTTTAAAAGAATCTCAAATATAAACTTTTATTGGTCCGTTCCCAATATTAATCTTTATTTATGATAATTTTTTTGACAAGTAACTGCGGTATTATTGTGTCTTATTGTTTGATTTTTCATGGGTAGTGTTTTTTTAAATGTTTCGATTGTTGCATTAATTTATTTTAGTTTACTTCTAAATTGAACTTTCGTTGAGGGAGATTAGCCTCCTTGCGACTCTTTGGAGTTTGACTTAAGAATTCTAATTATAATTATGTATGGACAACTTTTAGGTAGGAGATTGCCATGGCTGCCTCTGAAGAGAATAGTGCGTTGTTCCCAATATTCATTTTGACAATAATGGCACTGCCTCTAGTGCCTTATACAATAATGAAGTTATGCCGCGCTGCATCAAAGAAAAGTAAGAGCATCCACTGCCGGTGCTCTGAATGCTCCCGTTCAGGGAAGTACCGGAAATCTATATTCAAGCGGGTGGGTTTCTATATTGGTACCTTCAATGCTATCAGTTATGCTACTTTTGGGATTAAGCTCTTTGGCCCTGCAATTCTATTAATTTTTCATTTTTTATCTTTTACTTTTTTCATTTCTGGCAGATTTCAAACTTCTCCACTTGCAGTAACTTGACATTGATACTTCTTTGGATCATCATGATATTCCTGGTTTACTACATAAAAAATATGAGTCGTGAAGTAAGTAATAAATAAATATTTATCATCTAGATCACTGCCAAATGAGGAACTTTTTTTTTTCTTGTTCCGTTTACATAATGCTCCTTATTTCTAGTTATATCACGCCTTTTCCACTTATGATTTATTTATTTATTTTTTTTTATTTCTCTTAATCAGATTCAAGTTTTTGATCCATATGCCATACTTGAGCTGCAACCTGGAGCTGCAGAGTCAGAAATAAAAAAGCGTTACAGGAGACTTTCTATTCTTTATCATCCTGATAAAAATCCAGATCCAGGTTGAAGGTGTTTTAGTCATTTGTTTATTTGTGCTTTCATGTGTGAATTTTTAACCAGGAAGAATGATGAACCATGTAATTAATGACCTGTTCCCACTAACACTTGTTTTCTGATTTTTTTTTTCAGAGGCCCACAAATATTTTGTGGAATCAATAACAAAGGCTTATCAGGCCCTAACAGATCCAATATCCCGTGAGAATTATGAAAAATATGGTCATCCAGATGGTAGACAGGTATAGCTTATGGGACAATGAATAGCTTTTGCTTAACTTATTCATTAATATTTTTTTTTGACACTAAAGTTCTTAGTACAATCTTACAGGGCTTTCAAATGGGTATAGCCCTTCCTCAGTTTCTGCTGGATATTGATGGGGCTTCTGGTGGAATACTTCTACTTTGGATAGTTGGTGTTTGTATTCTTTTGCCATTGGTGGTTGCAGTGATATATCTTTCGAGATCATCAAAATATACAGGAAACTATGTCATGCATCAAACTCTGTCCGCATACTATTACTTGATGAAACCCTCATTGGCTCCAAGGTAAATTTTCGTATTCCTAGTATCTAGTAATTGCTAATGTTGTGCATAAATTTAAGTTATGTTCAACATACAAGTAACATTAAATTTATGGATGAACTCATCCTCTGCTGTAAAGGATATTTACTATAGCTGTTTCACTATTTCTTATAAAGTATGTGAATACGACATTGTGCTGTGTGTTTCGCCTTTTATGATTGTATTACTAATTTGCATCTTGATCATACAGCAAAGTTATGGAAGTCTTCACTAAGGCTGCTGAGTATATGGAAATTCCAGTTCGTAGGACCGATGACGAACCTCTTCAGAAGCTTTTTATGTCAGTTAGAAGTGAGTTGAATCTGGATCTCAAGAACATTAAGCAAGAACAGGCTAAGTTTTGGAAGCAGCATCCTGCTGTAGTTAAGGTGGTTTGTTTAACAATATGTGATTATATTGAACTATCCAAACAGTCTTGTATTGATCCTTGATGAAGTTCATGTACTTACTTCTTTTCTATTTTTTTCTTCAGACAGAGTTGTTAATTCAAGCTCAATTAACTCGTGAAATAGCAGCCTTGTCTCCGGCTTTGCTAGGTGATTTTAGACGTGTGCTAGAACTTGCACCTCGCCTTCTTGAAGAATTAATGAAGGTATTTTTACATGCTGTATTCTATTTGTTTGAGAAGTCTGGGACTAATAATCTTATCAGGGCATGATCTTTTTGATTCCTTGATAAATTAACCCATGCCACACTTACTTTTATGGCATTTAGCCTGCATCTTCTTTGCATAAGATAGGCGATGGTCTTGAAGTGATCTTGGTGCAGTGGAAGATGAGTTCTATAGACTCTTCCAAGCAATTCTGGACATATTTATGAAATCTTTTCTAGAGAAGTTCATTATATGCTTTCCCTCGTCAAAAATCAGTTTTATTAAGTAGCTGTTGTGGAAGATGTAAAGTACTCTACCAAGTAATTTCCTCTGAGTGATGAAAATGGGATGAAATGGACGATATTTGCTCCATGCTTGTGGCCTTGAGACAAAAGTATCTCCTGTCACTGATTATTTATGTTTGATTGAAATATGCACAAAAAAAAGTCATAAGGGCACAAACTCTTAGGTGAATGTTAGGGGGCTAAAAAAAAATACATTTGTAGAGTTAGATGCATGTAAAAGATGATAACATGAATGTCAAAATCAGTATGAATAGTATGTGTGTGTGTTCCTAGATTTAGTTGCCACTTATATGTTATTTTAATGCTTTTTTTTTTTTTTTTCCATTAGTGATGCATCTATCTAGTGTTCTTTGAGCCATTCACTCTTTGGTACTCAATAGTGTTTCTCTCTACTTACAGATGGCAGTCATACCAAGAACTGCACAAGGCCATGGATGGCTGAGACCTGCAATTGGGGTTGTTGAGCTATCTCAATGTGTTATTCAGGTATGTTTGAGATTCTATTTGTTTATCATTATGAATGATATCATTCCCTGATTTTTGGATCTTATATTACAATAGAATTTCTTTATTATATGATGTATCTTTATGTTAATAGTTTACATCCCTTGTGGTATATTGATTAGTGTGAATAGTTCATTGTTTACGTTGGTATTAGAAGAAGATTGAGGCTTGTTGAAGATCTCCACCTCCCCTTCCTCCCAAATGGAAGAATATTTGCTTGTTTCACTTGTGCTCACAAACAACTGACTTTCTCCATCCCTTGCACTATGTCAACATAATCTCTATTAGACAATCACTGGACTTGCCCATCACGGTATGAGAGGAGTTACCCCCTGTAATGTTTGATTGATAACCGCATCTCCTGTCTATCACTGAAGAAGGGAAGGGAGGTTGTATAGATTATTTGTTGGATTCCCATTCATATGTAAGGCCTTTATAGTCACTAACACCTATTTACTACTCTTTGCTGGACTTTGATATACCATAGTTGCTTCTTGTTTGTGACACATAGTATTTGCACTGCACTTGTACATGATAGTAATTTCTATTTGTTACAGTATATTTCTGTGATTAAGCAGTCCAAGAACTTGTCACACATCATTGCAAAAAGATTTGTAGCAGAAACTTGTCACATTACTAGAGATGTATGATTCATGTTTCAGGCTGTTCCTCTCAGTGCAAGAAAAACTACAGGAGGATCCACAGAAGGGATTGCACCCTTTCTGCAGCTACCACATTTCAGTGAATCTGTTATCAAGAAGATAGCACGCAAGGTAATTGGATAGAATCTTATCTTGGCTCTTGCGATGCACGAATTTATGTTGTAATGTGCCTCTTTTGCTAGCAGTTGGTAAATCCATGTGTCAAAAAAAAAAAAAAAAAAAAAACGATGCACGAATTTTATGTTGTAATGTGCCTTCTTTGCTGCAGTTTAGGTAAATCATCCTTGTTGTCAAAAAAAAAAAAAAAAAAAAAAAAATTTCAGTCGGTAAAATCTCAGGTTTAGGTGGACAACATCTGGGAGAATAGTCAATATTTGATTATATCTTTTAGAAACTTATAGAATGCCATGTGAAGCCTTCACAAATAATGAAGCCTATCCATTTCTCTCTCTATACGTATTATTATGTATAACAAACTGGATGGGTAATGCCATATGCCCAACACGCAATTAAAATTTCAATTTTGCTACTTCCAGCCTCTTTGGAACAAATGAAGATCCCGTTTTCTGCCATTAAGGTGTGGTCCTTATTTAGATAATATCCTTGTAGCACATGCCCTTTCACTGTACATCTCTCATTTCGGCCTACATAGAACGCTTTGGCTCTGCTCTCGTGACTCCGTCGTACTCTCACGACGGATCCCTCTAGCGCAGATCTCCATGAACCCCATGCTCGCCCGTCAATTAATTGTGTGCGTCTCACAAGCAACGGCTGAAGAAACGTCTTTCACAGGATACACTGCCTGCATTTTTAGCCACTCTCTGTATTCCACGACGTACACTTCGTCTCTGCCAACATCGAAGCCTGTGTGACGTGCCTGTCCCTGCTCTTAGCGCACAATGTGCTGGATTCCCACATCCGAGTACAAGTAAAGACTGTTTTCCACATACGATATATCTACTTCCATCCTTACCACGCCCTAACACTCCAACAATAGACGGTCATCACATACCCGCAACACTGATCCGCTTCAACTCATCTCTTATATAAATCAATAGTCACGCTTACATACACTGCGCTCTTCGCCCTCCACTGTAGCAGTTTGTACCACAGCCTAACGCACGATATCGTAAACAGCGCCCCTGCTACACCATGCACGCACCCGCCCCACCATAGCCGAGCGAAGCACGGCACGCCGATGCTGCTCGTTCATTGATGTGCGCCTCTCTGCCATAGCAGTCACAAATATTACCCCAGCGAAGACCCACACAGGTATGAAGTGTGCTATCCAACTGCATCCCAGGTACCGCCATCCTGATCGCACTGCGCAATGGAGCCAGCCGTAATGCGTTCATCTCCTACAGACATGCCGTAGGCACGCAGACCATCAACCATCTTCGATTCTCCTAACCACGCGAGCCCTACCAGCAAGCGTCCAATCTGGACAATTGATCAGCATCGCTTCTGTACTTGGCTCACATACGGTCGTTGACTCATTGTCCCACTGTCTGCAACAGCTTGCCACTGGCGGTGAACACCCCTCAGAACCGCGGATACTCCCACTCACGACTACGTCCAGAAAAAAAAAAAAAAAAAAAAAAAAATCAGTCGGTAAATCTCAGGTTTAAGTGGACAACATCTGGGAGTCAATATTTGAATTATATCTTTAGAAACTATAGAGATGCATGTGAAGCTTCACAAATGAAGCCCATCATTCTCTCTCTATACTGTATTATTATTATAACAACTGGATTTGGTTAATGCCATATGCCCCAACACAGCAATTAAATTTGCTAACCTCCAGCCTCTTTGGAACAAATGAAGATCGTTTTGCATTTAATGGTGGTCTATTTAGATAAATATCTAATGCCCTTTTGATTCTATTGCTAAGAGTTCTTGTCCCTGAATGCAGAAGGTGAGAACTTTTCAGGATTTTTGTGATATGTCTCTGCAAGATCGTGCTGAGCTGCTTGAGCATGTTGCTGGATTCTCCACATCCGAAGTACAAGATGTTCAAACAGTATTAGAAATGATGCCTTCTGTAGCAGTTGAAGTAAGATGTGAAACTGAAGGTGAAGAGGGTATTCAAGAGGGTGACATTGTCACTGTGCAAGCTTGGGTAACCCTCAAACGCGCTAATGGCCTGGTCGGTGCACTACCCCATGCCCCCCGCTTCCCATTTCACAAGGAAGAGAACTTCTGGTTTCTACTTGCAGATCCCACCTCGAATAATGTGTGGTTTTCCCAGAAGGTAAATTTCATGGATGAAGCTGCTGCCATAACCGCTGCTTCCAAGGCAATTGAGGAGGCAATGGAGGGGGCTGGAGCAAGTGTTAAGGAGACAAGTGCAGCTGTAAGAGCAGCTGTTGAGAAGGTGCGAGATGGCTCTAGATTGGTGATGGGCAAGTTCCCAGCACCGGCAGAGGGGAACTACAACTTGACTTGTTACTGCTTGTGTGACTCATGGATAGGTTGTGACAGAAAGATTAACTTGAAGGTTAAAATTCTGAAACGAACAAGGGCTGGCACTCGGGGTGGGTCTATCTCTGAGGAGGGACCCATTGCAGAGGATGGGGTTGAAGAGGAAGAGGAGAATGAAGAAGAGGGATATGATGATTATGAGAGCGAGTATAGTGAAGATGAGGAAGATGAAAAAGATACAAAAAAGAAGGGCCCTGCTGCTAATGGAACTGTGCATAAAAGAGGCTCAAGCACAGAGGGTTCAGGGACAGATGAGGAATGAAACACTTGATTTGTTTATCCATGGAAAACAATAAGCTTTTTATTTATTGGGTGGATGAACTAAACTACCGTCACAGTGATGGTTATTTATGTCTCCTCTTTAATTGGGCAAAAATTTCAAACATTTTTTATTATCATTGACTACATTTTAATTGAGATCTTTAGGACAACTTTTTCGGCCTAATGAACGACCACCAGCCTCACTTCTAGTTTTGCCCCATCTTGTAAGGTCACTGCAATCAATTTTTTGTTCCTGAAAAACTAATGTATGAATGTGTTGCTTTGAACTGACACTGCAACACTGCAATCAATTTTTTGTTCCTGAAAAACTAATGTATGAATGTGTTGCTTTGAACTGACACTGCAATCAATTTTTTGTTCCTGAAAAACTAATGTATGAATGTGTTGCTTTGAACTGACACTGCAATCAATTTTTTGTTCCTGAAAAACTAATGTATGAATGTGTTGCTTTGAACTGACACTGCAATCAATTTTTTGTTCCTGAAAAACTAATGTATGAATGTGTTGCTTTGAACTGACACTGCAATCAATTTTTTGTTCCTGAAAAACTAATGTATGAATGTGTTGCTTTGAACTGACACTGAAGCGATGCACTAATTCAAGCATAAACCATATATCAATCGGCTTTCTATAGCTCATTAGCTTTTAATAAAGGGCCATTAAAGATGTGTAATAGAACACACAGGGCTCTGGAAAGAGGGAACCGTTCATTCTTTGAAGCCAGCTAAAATGTTTCATAAACAACATTATATCTCTCGATGAACAATTTAATCTCTTTTAGATACGACGTTCAAAGGAATAAAGGTCCTCGACAACTTACAAAAATTTTTTTGGAGAACAGCGAGGGATTACAGTTATATATCACTAATTGGACATATGCACAAAAGAATCCAAGTCTTCGTTCACCTAAATGCCTGATTGTGTTGTCACCAGGATGCCTAAATTCTGGAAGATAAAAGACTGCAGATTAACATGATAAGCATGTAACAACTCAAGATACTTCATTTAAGTTCATATTGGCATCTTCGTCATCAGATTCATCTGAACCATGAGAACTCCCCTCAACCTTGTTTATATCTTCAACAGCATCATCCTCATTTGATTCAGTTGAACCATTGGGAATTTCCACGCCCCTGTTTATGCCTTCATTAGCACCATCAAATTCATCAACATGTTTTGCTCGAACCCTAACACGCTTTCCTTTCATGTATCGATACTCCCATTTAGGTGGCGGATATTTCTTCTTCAATTTGTCATATTTGTCCAGCATACTCCGCTTCTGGAATACTTTTCCCACCATTTTAACAGTTGAAACACTTGGTCGGACACCAAGCTCCTCCATGTCAGCAAATATCTACACAAGTTAAAAGTTACTTCACTGAAAACAGGACTGGCAGCAGTATGCAATAAGAACTAGTATCAGTTGAGCAATATATGAATTTAGAATACGAAGATCAAACAATCTGAATGACAGTTGAAGTTGAAAAACTATACTAAGGAGAGAATAAAAAATGACAGTTGATAAACAAGAAGAATATGTTATAGAGGGACAAAAATGATGTATTTGAAGACAGGTGTCTCATGACAAAAGAAGCAAAAGACTCATTCATAGCCTTGGAGGTTATGAAAAGATGGTAGGTTAAACTACCTCAAACACCTTGTCATCCATGTCCCTCTTGTAATAAATAGATATCATTTTATCAAAGAAAATGCGAGGCATGCTTTCTAAGTTGCGGTGAAATAATCTTGTCCAAATCTCTTCGGCTTCATCAAGCCTTCCATCCTCTGCAAAGGCATTGAGTAAGGTGAAATACGTTCCCATCGTCCGTCCTTGGCCTTTGCTTAGCATCCACTTGATTACCTACAAACCAATGCATTTCTTTTGCGAATTCATCTACAGGTCATTTCCAAATAAAGCTGGGGTAGGCGGTGGGAATAGGTTTTTCAGTACCTGAATTATCCTTTTCCATTCCTGTTCCTCCTCAAGAATCTTCAATGCTTTCTTGAAAGCAATTATAGGGAACTCCAATTCCCAAGCAACAAAAGAGTCAAGTGCCCCATATACTTCCTCCTTAACATTTGACAATCCCTTTATCTATAGAACCAAAAGGTCAGAATAAAAAGATTATCATCCAAAGAATCCAAAATTCAACAGAATTTAGTAGTTGATAGATTTTCAAAACTTTTAAACTACTACGATAATCAGCAGAAATGTTCCGCTATCAACCAAAACAGCAACCTTTGAAAGTATAGGATTCTGCGATTGGCTTATTAAAAAACAAGCGAAATTCCGAGTTCAAGATACAAAGAAGAACACTTACGCATTTAATAAGTTTGGTTGACTTGGAAATTGTCCCAATTCTCTTGTTCGATTTCCACACTCGAGGATACCTTGGTCGGGGACCTTTTAAAGCGCATACCTGAAAAATAGCTGAAACTCTATAAGGAGTGCCAAGAAATCATCCATTCCAAAAAAAATTATCTTGCAAATGATTTCATGCATCATATAAGAAAAATCGAGTCGAGAGGCTTACAACCACACTGCTTGTACACTGCGAGAATTTTGTCACTTCTAATCTACTTGAAATGAGTGGCAGAGGAGGAGGTCTCAAGCAAAGCATTCTGAAACACCATTAAACAAGAATTCAGTAATCCTGTAACACAGTAGTTCTTTCGCTAAATCTCAATAAGGCAAAAATGGGACGGATTTTAATTTCTAAACCTAATTCGCAAACATGGTCAGATGTTTAGCTTTCTTATTAGAAAGGGAAAGAGTGTTACTGGCTAAAACTTCGACAACGGCAGAGACCGAGAGATTGAGTCTTAATGGAAGATTTTCCTTGTTTTTTTCAACCTTTTCTCCTCTTTCCCTCTTATTTTCTGGCATTTTCTTCCCCACATCCAAACAGAAGATGATATTTGCAAATTTTCTTGCATCAAAACGGTGCGTTTCGATTCGGGAGAGGTCCAAATGATTTTATGCAAAACTTTGCGTTTCGATTGACCAACATTTAAGTCCAGATAAAATATCTAACGCCTGTTCAGTTGTAGAAAACTAAAATCTGTATGGTTGCACCTGATTATTCCCACACCTCATCCGGTCATCTATTCTTCAACGAAGTGAAATGCTTCAAGCAGATCTCATGCTTCTTTAATAAATTGAAAGAGAGAGTTAGAGGATAAGAAATGATGATGATGATGATTGACACTGCCACAGCAGTTCGATTTCCCGGCGCAAATTTTTGCTCCTCCACTTGGATACCTTGTAACTCTCTCCCTCCGTCCCGTTACTTTGTTCATATTTTTTTTGAATATTGATGGTATTGCTAGAAATTCATGCATTTTCTGGCAGCCAAACAGAAATTACACACAAACTATCTCCATTTTAATTGTACCTCTCTTTGCTGTAGATTACCGTCGTACGTGGAACTTGGAGGAAGTTAACGGCATCCACGTCAACTCTCGACCGCTTATACATTCTAAAAGCTTCGCTATACCTTGGTACTGTGTACTGTGTTTACTTTTTCGGTTGCAGAGTAAAATGCCTAGCTAAGCTAAATTAATAGTCTTAAGAAAAGTGGGGAAGACTTAGTAAAACAAAGAGAAGAACTCATTGTTGGCATAGTATATTATTACCACTTGTAATCAGTCTCGAAAGGCTCTATTTTTCATGTTCTTTTGAGGAGATAGTACCTAAACTTTAATGATTAAACGAGTGGTTATGGATGTTCTTGCAGGAGCAAGTCACGAAGATTAAAGGGTGTTTCTTTCTTAAGGAGCAGAGTCTTAAAGAATAGGATTCGAGCATCTTCAAAGCATTTAGGTTCAGGTGTAGATCCATCTAATCAGAAAGGCAGCAGACAACAATATCATCCCTTTGAGGATATTGCGGAGGCCACATCAGAAAATAGTGGAGATGCGAGTCTTACAGCTCAAGAAACTGCTAGGACCATCGTTGAGGTATCAGATTGGACTTAGTAGCCAAATACTTCAATTAACAGTAACTTTCAAGTTTTTAGTTTCCCTTTGTGCATGTAAGTCTATCATTTGAATATATTATCCTTTGCATAATGGATTTCCACATCAGCATACTGTCGATTAGAAGTTTTCATTAAGCTTTTTCCGTAAATCATGGTTGTGTCAGGAGTTTGAGTAGAAGCTTCTCAAAGTTTTAGGTTTCATACTTTGAGCCAAAGCAACAGTGGGAGGCTTAAAATTAGATCCTGTCAAAGTGAACTTTTTAATGTTCGCCATCGAAGAAAGCTTACTTTTATATCATTTGTGCATTAAGTTGATAGCAACAGGTGCGGAATAAGGGATACCTTAACCTTAACCTTAAGCGCTTAATTATGCTATTATGTTGTGCTTCCAAACATGCCCTTCATTCCTATAATTAAAGCAAATATCCTATTAAGGTATTTTTTAGATCACATTTTTGTGGTTCTGTGCCCAAGTAATCATATACTCATCATTACTCCAAAAAATGCATAGGTATGAATTATATTTGTGTCAGTTTGCACAGCTAATGTTACCTGTAGTGTGTGAAATTCAGGTCAACAGCAAAGCAACCCTAATGTTGACTGGTTGGATCAATGGGGACACTCATGAAAATATTATTTGGCCAGACTTGCCTTACGTCACTGATGAACATGGAAGTAAGTCAAGTTTTTGGAGGTCATTATTCTCATGCTTATTTATTTTTGTTGTGGAATTGAAGCCTTATTTTTGTGCAATTGAAAGTATTAATCTGCTATAACTTTTTGCAGACTTATACTTTCAAGTGAAGAATGATGAAGACATTTTGCAAACCATTACGTCAGAAAATAATTTTGTGGTATGAAGTTTCTCTTCTCACGGACTGGCCTATGCAATAGATGCACACATATGATAACACAAGCATGCACATGTCAAGTCAGCATTTTTATTGGTGAATGAAACCTTATTTTTTCAATTTTGACTAAAGGTGGACATGTTGTTGATATCATTTGGCCTTGAAACTTTTGATGAGAAAATGCATGTCCTTTGAGACTTAAGAAGGACATAAAAGTACAACTTAGGCACCTTAATGCACTGTTATTTACAACAATAGAGAAATTTCAGTGCCCTCGATTCTCTTCAGAGTTTCTCAAGGTCTGTGAACTCTTATGGATGATGCAGCAAGCTATTATAGGCTTTGATGCTGCTATGGAAATGCTCAGTGAGATGGAGTTACTAGGTTCATCAGAACTTGATTTTGGAATAAAGGAAATTGAAGATGATGATAGTGATGTTGAAGATGATTATGAAGAAGATGAGGGTGAGGATGAGGACGAGGACGAGGACGAGGCTGATGAAGATGAAGATTATGATGAGGTCTGATTTCCCTTTTCTTGTAATCAGTTCTTGTCCTCAGATTGGCTTCCACATCCACAAGTATTTAACTGCAATGCATATCTTTTTCTTGTTTATAGGACTTTGTAATTATTGAAGATGAAGATGAGGAAGATGATTCTGATGAGGCACTTGGTGACTGGGCAAAATTGGATACCATGCGTTCTTCTCATCCAATGTATTTTGCCAAAAAGATAGCTCAGGTAATTTTCCATTATACACACAAGTGGCATAAAAGTACTTTTACAAAGATGACTTAAATTGTGTATTTTCCTTGATAATGTAAATTGTAGCTATGATTATTTCATCACAACTTACAGAGTTTATTCCTGTAAAGCAATAAAATCGCAATTTTACAATTGTTCCTGGTCTTAGGTGAATTTTATTTATTTATTTATTTTTTTATGTTGTTCTTGTTTATGTCTCATAGGTTACTTCAGATGCTCCTATAGATTGGATGGAGCAGCCTCCAGCTGGTTTAGCTATCCAGGGCCTCATAAGACCTGCCTTCATCGAAGAACACTCTGACATCCAGAAGCATATGTCTGGCAACCAGTCACATCAGCCTGACATAAATGAGGTTGGGAAAAAGGTAGAAGGACAAGTGGAAGATGTTGGTGGGATCAATGGTCAAAAACACGTGTCAGGATCATCTGAAGATATTTCAACTTGGGCAGAGGATTCTGAGAAAAATCAGGTTCCAAGAAATGGGACTTCATTTTACAAGATAGAAATGATTAAAATTCGGTTGATTTCAGCTCATGGACATCAAGTATGTTCCTTTTATTGGTTCATTTTTTTGTATCTGTGTTTGGAGAATGCTTCTTGCTTTTAAGTTCAATTTCACCTTGAATATGTAATTTGTCCAATATTTTTTTATGCTTAGTTGTCGTCTAGACTCAGACAACATTTCTGAGTGACAACAATGGACCTGCTGATTATATAATTCCTAAGTGCTGATTTAGTACTTTTCTGAGATCCATATCAATGTTGGCACCTAATATCCTTTTGTAACTAACTCCACTACATGCACATTCTTATCAAGTTTTTGCTTGTTCTGCTGTTTGAACTTGCTGCATACGACAATCATGCAACTTTAGTTCAAACATTTCAATATTCATTGGCTGTTGATATTAGGATAAAGTTACGGAAAGTTTTCTTCTATTTTCACAATTCTTCAATGTTAATATTCACAGTTATAAATGTAAAGTCATTGGATTTGTTGAATTTCCGCCAAACAGTTTACTTGAGATTTAGTGGAGAATAGAGATATGGTCTTGACATTTCTTGATAATATCCCCAAAAATTATTCACTGAATATGCACGGTCATTTTCGCATTGTGCATTATGTATTAGCACAACATGTGCTGCTTGAGAACCTGTTTTATTTATAGATTTGCATTAGCAGAAATTAATACCTCTGCTGCTTCTCTACAGACAATGGTCGAAGTAGAAGACTTTAGGAAGGCTCAACCCGATGCTATTGCACATTCAGCAGGCAAAATTTTATCTCGGCTGAAAGCTGGTGGAGAAAAAATCTCACAAGCTTTGAAATCGTTGTGTTGGAGATGCAAGGGTATACAAGTGGAGGTAACACAAGTTTTGCTTGGAAGTCCTTTGGGAATGTGCTAAATAATCTCTGGAAACATTTTGTTACTGCTTTGAGATTATAGAATGTCTGGACCATGTTTTCATTCATACTGCTGTTATGATATCAGAATTGGGCAATTTGTTTTCCACATATTGATGCATTTTTATTTATTTATGCTTGCTGTTCGTATGATATTGAGGCTCTTGAAAAGAGATTTATGGTTTTGGTACTTGTTTCTCATGCAAACTCAATAATTCTGCTTGAAGTATGAAAGCTAATTATGTTTAATTTTAGCTGTTGCTTGCAACTTGCAAGCAGTATGTATAAATTTTCTGGAAAATATCTTTTATTTTAAGTGCATTCCTCCCTAGTATCATTTGTAGTCTGTTAGATATGTGAGATTCTTCATTAATATAATTGTTTTTCCTTATATTTTACTGTAGGAGGCAGCACTAATTGGTGTAGATTCCCTTGGTTTTGATTTGAGGGTTTGCTCGGGAACACAGATCCAAACATTGCGATTTGCATTTAATTCACGGGTATGTCAGCTGTCCTAAAGACAATGGGTTTTTATTTTGGTGTTGCTATTTTTTATCTAGTTATCTTTTATTATTCTGATTCTCTTTTCTTTCTCTCTCTCCCAAAGCAAGGAAAAAAAAAAAGATTTCTTTATATTCTTACCTAACATGAGGCATTTTGAGAAACCTAGTTTTAGTAAAGACTTAAAAACAAAGATTTTGCACTTTGAAAATTTTAACTGTTAATTTGGTAATTGATCCAAAGATATTTGTGCAGTTTTAGTATGGTAGCACCTGTTCTTCATAGCGCCAGCAGTTGCATGGTTAACTATGAAGTTGGGGTGGACTACTGACAGATATAATTCAAAAATTGTCACCCTTATGATTTTAATCAAGTCTTACCAACCTTTAATAGCTACTGTGGCATTTTCAGTAGAATCTTAGCATCAATTTATCTGATTTTTGGAATGGCTCTGACAATGAGTTATTCCTTCCTCCTAATCAAAAATGTATTTGCAGGCCTCTTCGGAATATAGTGCTGAAAGACAACTTAATGATTTACTGTTCCCAAGGATCCCCCACAGGGCGCCCAAAAAGAAACAGACTCATCAAAATGAACTATAATATTGTTAAATATTATAATCCTGTTCAAATTCTGGCTGTTTCGTCCTACCCTTTCAGGCTAAGAACTGAACGCGGCAAGTGTATAAGTGGCCTTGCAGCTTTTCCTCCCATTTATTTATTAATGATAATTGAAATCCATTTTTCTGCTTGTCTCCAATCTTCTCTACTCATCACTCGACTGTTTTGCCATTACTCGCCCTGCGCGCCCACACACACACACACACACACATAAAGGAAAAGAAAATGAAGACGGGAATGAAAATTTTTGCAAATCATTGTTTATTATGTATATTTGAAGGGAATGGGACTTCATTATTGCAAGGAAACATGGAATTTCAGCTATGAAATATGCTCTATCATCAAACAAGGAGTGGACAGATAACATAGAAAATCTTATTACTTAGCATCTTTCTATCTCAGTATTTTAACCCTTAACGTAATTCTCATAAACAAATTGGGCAGCAAGCATATCCACGACCGCAGAACCAACAGACTTAAATACAGTAAGCTCTTGTGAATCTCTCCTTCCAGCTTCATCCCCTTTGATCAACTCCACCAAATACCCAATATCCTTTTTCTCAATCACTTCTCTCTCGATTGCTCCGACAATCTCCCCAGCCTCTAGCAATGCAGCCTCATTATCAACAAAAACTCTCCCTCTCTTAATTGCATCATCATCACATTCCCTCATTGTCTCCTTAAATGATCCAACCAAATCCAAATGCGCTCCTGCCTTCATCTTCTCTCCTTTCACCAATGGCCTATCAGAATTTGTAGCACAACTCACAATATCACCCAATCCTATGATCTCCTCCAAATTATTATTACTTTCAAAACACACACTATTATTTTCTCCACATTCTTCCTTTAGTTTCAAAACTAAATCAGCTGCTTTCTTGATCGTTCTGTTCCAAATTATTACCTTCTCCAAACTGGGGTTTGCAGCCATATGGGCCTTGATCAAATGGGGAGCCAAAGAGCCTGCACCAATCATCACCAGTACTTTGCTACTATCATTAGCCAAGAGTTTTGAGGCCAAGCCAGAAACACAAGCTGTTCTATATAGGGTTAACTCAGTGCCATCCATAGATGCCAAAGTTTGTCCAGTTGTGGAGCTAAAAAGCACATAACTTGCATGGATTCCGGGTAAGTTTATGATGGAATTTTCCGGGAAGTGAGTGACAAGCTTTACGCCTATATAAGGAAGGGAAGGGGAGGAGGACCAAGAAGGCATTAGGAGAAGAGAAGAGGATGGTGAAACGGCGTAGCTTTGGCGGATTGGAGTTTGGAGTGTGGGCGAGACGGTGGGTAAAGATGTATGGAAGTGTTGGATTAAGGAGCTGTGTGAGAGGATGGAGCGCAGTGATTCTTTGGTGATGAAAACAGGGGAGATAGCCATTGATTAATGATTATTGCGCTATGGATGTTTTGGAGGTGGAGACGGGAATTAAAGAAAGAGCGACTTCTTTTTCTCCTCCGTAGACCCAGACTTTGCCTCTAATTTTAGTACGAATCGCTGTCTTCCTCGTAGAGTACAGAAAATGCATAACAGATGCGATGAAATAAAATCATATGGGAATGCGATAAGACGCGTTATGGATTGGTTTGTCTTTGTCCCATTGAAAATTACTACTGCTAGTCTTTAATGATTTTAAGCCCACAGAGTAAAAAGAATTCATTTTAAGGTTGGAAGAATAATGTACCTATAGAAAATATTAAAAATAAAAATTGCATCAATTAACAAGACAATTATTTTTATTTTTTTTTTTTTGAAAAAATAAAATCTCATTACTTAAGAGAACAAATTCAACAGGGTGGAATACTATCCCAAATAACATGGTGAGCATGGCGATAGGCAGCTCTAGCTAGAGTATGAGCTCCTATATTAGCTTGCCTGCGAACCCAACGGACCTCAAAATCAGGGCGAAGTCATATTAACCCTGTTTTATCGATTAATAAATGATTCATCACGTTTTATTAATTAATAAACAAGTTTAAGTCATATTATTACATATTAATATTATTACTGGTATATATTAAAAAAAAAAAAAGAGATATTTCAGTGGTCTGTTAATATCGTCGAAATTCTAACTTTTGCTGAAAAAGAAATTGCATTTTCTTCCCTTGCACAGACAGTCACAACAGAGGCAGAGAAAGCAGTAGTAAATACAATTATTGTAATCATAAACATGCAAAATAGTAATCATACATAAATTCCAAGGAGGTATATCTATATTTACAAATTAATGACTGGTTTGGGAAAGCTAACGTAGATATTTTAAGAGCAGAGCTATATACTCCGTAGCACCAGAATACATGACACAGATATTTAGATTCATTACTGAAGCAAATTTAGAGACGTGTGGGAAAAATGCTTTTGGATGACTTATGTGCAACTTCTGCAACCTTCATGAATTGTGTGAATTGGAAGAAGGGATCTATACACCTAACCCCAACCAGATTGGCAGGCTTAATTAAGTCGGGCACTGAAACCACCTCAATCAAGAATCAGGATATCTCAAAGTCCATTTAGGGTTGTAGATTGAATGGCATGGGAATCCAAGGAAGAGCCATCTACTGCTGCTTCTTTCATGGAATACTTCTTCAGTGTCTTGGTACCGTCTTATCTGGATCTTCCACCCCCCTGAAGCACGAACATATAGAAACATCTGCTGAAACCCGCAATTTAACTGAAATGCATTAACTCAGCTTGGGATGCAGTCCTTTCCACAGCCATCCACCAGTTGTCATCTTCGTTGACATTCTGCTTGCAGAAATAATATGATAACAAGCACATATGTTATGTTTTGAGTCTGAAGGAGTTTGTATCAGTCTACTCTGGGTGGGGAAAATATGAGATAACTAAACTGAGAACTGCAGTTGTGCTGGTAGCTGTTTCTCTTAATAAATTTTGCTACAGCCACCCTTGGCATTTCAAATGCAAATGAGGAACAAAAGAAACAAGCTGGCTACAAGATATCAAATATACATACTTATAGTAAGCAACTAACCAGGGTGCTAAGCTCCACTAGTTTCTGCTTACTTTCAATATCATCAGCCACTTTTGCAGCTTCTAGCCACCAAGAATCTTTAGCACAGCTGTCTGTATCATGCTCATCGTTGTAAAGCAGAATACCTTCACAACCACTGTTAACAGATTGATAGTCAGGTGTATCACTTGTTAATCCCATATGATTTGCAATTTGTACTGAATCATGGACAAATGAAGGATCAGGGATCAAATTTATTGGGATTGGTCGCAAGGGAGATCGGTAACCTGGTGCCATAAAAGAAAAAAGAGGTTTAAAATGCTTGTCCATACATCAAAAGGAAACTACAAGAAAAAGAACAAAAAAATACTAGAGAAAAACAAACTTTTATAGTACCTTGGCAATCTGGATCATGGCATTTCTGATAATAAACTGCCCTTCGCAGGTCAATGACATATATAACTGAACAAAAAAGAGAGATTGGTTCTCATAAGCTTCTATCTTTTATGTAAAATAGACACTGGGAACTCAAGCTTGTAAATAGAAAAAGTAGTTTCAAATAATATCTTCAAAATATTTCAGGGGTTACAGCATTTACAGCCAAACCAGTGAGAGTTTCTGAAATGTGCAGTCAATATTAACAGGAAAAATTTTCCTAAAGTATAAATATATTTTACTTGCAGCAAAAAGACATCAAACCAAAGAAGACATACCGTGATTGCTTTTATGCTGTCTACCAATCCGTTCACAATATCTGTTTCTTGACATGCTATAGACTATCAATCCATACTCTGAAAACCAATACCAGCTTCGGATTTTCCCTGATTTGCAGATATCGTCAGCAAGGTAGCATAGGAGATTAAAATTTGTAAAGCATCTCGTAGACAACATATTTTGTGACAGAAAAATGCAAGGAAGAAACAAGAAAAAAAAAAAAAAAAGATGCTCTAAGCTCATGCCAATAATCTAATTGGTACTAAACTGGAAGAAGATAACAAATAAACCTTTATCATGAAATTTAAAATGTAACCAGATAACTCCTTATGGTAAGTATTGAACAAGGGATGGCTAATATAAGAATGGAACTAGTAGCAAAAAGAAAATTGTAGGAACAGTTTAACAGGCTTTGCCATTTTGCGAGAATATTAGAGAAATTGGAATTTCCAGAGTTTCCACCACACAAAATACGTTTCAAGTCAGTAACCAGAGACAGCAAAACATACAAATGAAAATGGTACTCACCCGATAGACTTCCAGCAGAGGCGATAGATTCTACAAAATTGTCCAAAAATGGGAATGGTGACTTCCCCATTGTATATGTTGTTGATAAATTTACTTGAGAAGTATCATACCTTCTAGAATAACAGTTTTCCTACATTCAGAGAGATTTCATATTGTAAGTGGATCAGCATTATGCATACCAGGGCATGCTTCTCAAAAGATACCAACATCATACCATCCTCACAGTCAACACCAGTTCAAGGTCATAAAGATATTGAGTTTTTTGGAAGTAAAAAAAATAGTTGTTTTGAAGTGTGTATGATAAAATATAAAAGTAGATATATATATATATAAGGCAGCTCAGTATTGGAACTAATGAAGAGTTCAAAAATGTACCTCTGTATCAAAATGCAGGGTCTTCACACAATCCAAGTCCATTTTGCAGACTAGAAGCTTCTCACAATCAGTATCCATATTGCAAATCAAGGATGCCATGAACATGTCTTCCTCGCACTGTTATTCACCAGGATCAGCATATTACTGATAGTTGAGTGCAGAAAATTATGTTCTATCACAGAACCACTAATTAGATTCTTGTCGATTACTTGTGATTGACATTCTCTTTGCTGAAATGTCAACCATTCAACCTAAACCTTCTAGAGTTCATTGAAAGCTTCTTCATGATAAAGTTTATATCCTACTCCAACTATTACAATATAATTAAGGAAAATGATAAATTAAGAAAACAAAATGCAAAGCGAAAAAGAAAAGAAAATAAAGGGACTGGCTATTGAATGTACAAATGGGTAATATAATACAATCTCATGCCATTGGCCAACAAATTTTTGCCCTCGGTAGCACTACCACTGATGGAAAGCCAATAATTAGAGACGTAAAAAGTAAAAAGAAAACACACTAAACAATTTGGATAGTGAATGGCACGTGAAGTATCATGAAAAAGTTTTAACACATTGTGCAAATTTTTTGTTGTTTAATTGTGCCTCCTCCATAGTTGGACAAGACTGCCAAAAACCATACAGTAGACAAACAAAGAGAAAGGGATGAGAAAGAAGACGCTGAAGATCTACAGAGAATGCTAGGCAAATTTTGGATCAAATAAAGAGCCTTGTTACTGGATATAAAGTTTTTTTTGTCTAGTGAAATTACTCTGTTATGGTAAGGAGAATAGCATACCATGTCCTTACATTTGAAGCGCCCAGTGGGTAGAAGGATGGCGCTCTTCCCTGCCTTGGATGACAAAGCCACACGAAAGACGCGATTTCTAGAATAGACAGCAGTATCTATAAAAATTTGCATTGTAGATTCAGCACTTGAATCTTTTCTTATGAATAGTTTTTCAAATCTTCCATCTCTTTCCCTTGCACTTAAGATCCGAGAGCATATCTGACATGTTATAACATATTGAAACTAGTTGATATCTCTAGAAGAATTCTGTAGCAACTATACATGGACATGATGTTCTATACCTCATGTTTTATAAAAAGAAACATGCATCAGTATTAAATATGCCTATTTTCTAAAGGATACCTCTGAAACAAATGCACCTGCATGTGAGTTGTCCTTAAAACCAGCCTTCGGTATGCGGATGATCAAGTGGCGTGAGAACTTTTCTGCATGTGCAAAATTAGAAGCAATAACTGCTTTGAAAAACCAGGGCATCACTTAGTTAAATGCAAAGCATAGTATGTCCCACATTATACATTCCAAAAACAGACAATTTGCAAAAGGCATAGACCATAGTACTATTGAAGAGTTCTTAGGAGAATGCTCAGTGTCTTATGAATTCTCTCTCTCTCTCTCTCTCTCTCTCTCTCTAGTAATTCTACCTTGAAGTAAGCCAGACTGGTTCTAATGTTAGCATAGGTAGGTACAAGCAAGACTATTACCAAAGGCTAATGGATTTGAATTGTGGAAACAATCTCTCCACCCTCTTCAAACCCTCCCAAAGGGGAAGCCTTCTGCATTGTTGGAATGCCCTTAGGCATTTCCAAGCTATTTTTTCACTAAACTAAAAGTTCAGACTAATTTGAAGAATCCTCCAATATACATCTTCCCAGTATTTAGACTTGGCACCTGCATGCTTGATCAATAACTTTTTCTGGTTAATGTTTCTTTGAGTAACAGCAAGGTTACGAACTCAACTTTTATGATAAAGAATTTAAGACAGTATAATGCATCTACCTAAACCTTTGGATATTTAAATATATATTGAAATATCAAGAGACAAAGAACAGCAAACAGATGTTATGTTTATACCAGCTCAACGTACCTGCAGTGGAGGAATCGAGTTCTACTATCCACTCATGGTTTCCTTGAATAGAATACTTTTCTAGAAATGCTTCTAGAATGACAGATATCAAGAGATCAACCATTTCGTCTCCATTTTTTTCTGCATTTTCTCTTTTGTCGAACTCCAAATCAAAATACAGATGGCATGGTACACCCTGTAATCCACACATCATATAATTAGAAAAACATGCAAGTTCTGTAATTGATATTAAAATTAGAACAAGAAAATGTTCTATTCAGGTTTATGATAGCCAGATTACACCAAAGCATTTATAAAAGAGGCACTAAAAGCAAGCAGGGAGCAGACAGCAAAAATGAGAAATCATCACAGCCTTAAGAAATGTAACTATGTAAAGCCAGCCCCAATTTTGAGGCAAATTTGCAATAATATATCAGTACGTGTGTGGTTGATTTATGAAAGAGAAAACATAGAGGTAGTCACCTCCTGAATCACTTCATAATGATGGCGAAATTTGGAATCCATGTTTTTGTACCTGAAATTCAAAAGACTGACATGAGCAAACCCTTCAAAAGAGAAAGTAGTCCAATGAAAGTTGTTGATTGGACTACAATAATAATAATAATAATAATAATAATAATAATAATAACAATAATAAACAAGAAAACCTGCTCCAGAACTCCTTGTATGTTGAAACAAGAAACCTTCTTTGACCATTATGGTGATCTTGATAACTAAAAACATGCACATTCGCGTGCTCCTTTGCGAAGTTCAATGCTTCATTCTGCCTTGGAAATGTAGCCCATACTTCCTTTCTAAGAAGCCAGTGACCGGAGTGAACTTGTATCCATGATATAATAGAAAATGCATGAACTGAAGAATGAAAAGGAAGTGCTGCCTCAGAGAATTTGCATGGAGAAGTAAAGTCGAAAAGGGCAGGACAAGTACCTCAAGTCTGATTTTTGTTGTTCTGCGAGATCAATACGTATTTCATGTAGCAGTCGCAACAAACTAATTGGCCTTTTTGGAGGCACACCATGTGGAGATCCATAAAACACAATAGGAGAAAACTGCCTCCCATGACTAAAGTTTTTTTCTCCAACCACTGTTAAACCAAGCTGAAGAAGTAGTGATAAAATGAATGAAAATCATAAAAGGGACTTCTAAGCCATGCATCAAAAACAAAATAAAGCTCAATATTAACTCAAGGAAGATATGCTTTAATGCATAAAAGATAAGCTCACAAGAGGTACACAAGGTTTATCTTATCTTCAGTCATTGGGTTTACACTAATTTCAATGCAGTTGGTTAAGTTTAATTTGTTAGACAATGAAAATACCAAAATCTAGTTTGTGCATCAACGAGGTCATAATTGCAAGGTTCCAGTAGAAATTAGTGTGAAATTTTTACGTAATATCCAAATTATTAAGTCCTATTGCCCACCTGTAATTGCACAATCAGATTAGAAACATCTAATTCATTAACATGTCAAATATCCAGTTGAATGTTATTGAAATTGGGCATAAGTGCTTTATTGAAACAAAAATATAAGCTGAGTGATTCTGTGAATGACAAGACCGTGTTGGAAACTAGTGATAAGTCAAGTGACGACATATGAAATTAAGCTAGGAACAAATTCGATGCATAACCTGAGTGCATGTTAAGATTCACTTTTTTCTGAGTCACAACAAGTCAACAACATGGCAAGACTTTACACTTGGTTGCATGCAGAGATATAACGGAGCCATCAAACAAACTCGATATGTACTTGAAAGAGGGAAAAAAAAAAAAGGAAGAGAAAGGCAAAAGTACGAACTTCCTCTTTAGAAACCTGTGCATCAGTTGCATTCTTCTTCTTTGGTTGCGTGGCTGATCCTGGTGATGGTGTGCCAGAAGCTGATGATACCTCATGTATTCCATTCCCTTGCTTCAGTTTGCTCTTGTTTCTTTTTCTTTCTCTTACGGCAGATTCTGCAAACAAATTCAAAAACAACCTTATGTAAGCAAAAGAATCAAATAACCACTCATACATTTAAATACTGGGAACCTGAAAACTGTTAACACATTTATAAAATCGTATCGAGTAGTATATAAATCAGTAACATTTGCTTTATCAGTTCCAACCAGAACAGATATCAAAATCCAGGGAAATTTTATAAATTACTAAGGCAAATAACAGACAGCACAAGAGGATAAGACATAGTGAAACCTAGAAGTTCCAGTATCATTTTCTTCCATATATTAATGTTCCCCCTTACTAAGAAGCCAAAACAGGTGAAGAATGAGAAATTGGGAACTTACGAGGAGGAGAGACACCACACTTGAAGCATTCAAACAATCGATCTACGTCGTCCATATTGCTGGATGACATTTTCCCAAATTCTCTCTGCTGTTTTTTTTTTTTTCTTCTCCCAAAAAAACAGAATACGAATTAGCGGGAAATTGATTTGTGAGAGAAAAATGATAGCGGGCTAGTAATGGGCCTATTTCTCACTTGGGCTCCTTGTTTGCCAATCGGAACTTCTGAAACTCTGAATTCTTGAAGACTTCGTTTTGAAAATTACAAGCCCTCCTCAGTACTTGTTCAGCAAACCGATTGGCCATGAATGAATGAATATATATTGTCATCGGTTTTTTATATTGCAGTTAACTAAAATATAAATCTCATTTTTATTCTCGCCGTTAATCCGAAACCCATCAAATTTTATTTTTTTTTTATGCAGAAAAATGCAGGAGTGTTTGTTGCTGCAAGGAATTTTCAATTTTATCCGATTAAGGTATAGCAACCCGAGAGAGTTATTTTTGTGAATATATTACGAATGAATGCAAAACCTGGGGAGGTTACGGCTGCCATGGCTTGTTAAAAAGGAGAAAATTAAAAATATCATTTTTTGAACTCATGGTTATACTTTTAGTGGGTGCAGACTTGCAGTGTGGATGTCCAATGAAATTCTTTCTATTGCTGACATGAAATTTTTTAGTTTTTGTTTTTTTTCTCAATTTCTAAACTCCATTTTGTATATTATGCAATCTTATTTCATTGGGAATCTCTCGATACAGTAGCCACTTGGCATTTTGCTCTTGGAATTTATACCTATGAGTAGTCTGTGCATTATGTTTCTCACTATTACTCTGGGTGTGCTCGATATGTACTAAGTCTTGGCCATCTCTCTTGGTTAGCTTTCTTCTGCTGTTCCTCTTTCCTATGGGCATGGCATACCCAATTGGTAGATGGTTCGTTATAGTAGATTTGGCTACTTGGAAAGGGTCATTATGCACTCTTAAGATGAGCAGAGCTTAAGATATTAGTGGATTTGTATACCTATGAGGTAGCTTCCAGAATTTATTTAGTCACAAAAATTCTGTGCAAATCCTTTCATGTACTGTATATGGAAGTGTTTTGGTTTTGATTATAAGGTGGAGACTTCATGTCACAAAACTGCTATAATTTCTGATGCTTTGGATTTGACGCAGAAGTGTGTGATTAAACAGGATTGTATGCATCTGCAAAGTGAAAATAAGGAGCAAGTAGGAAAAATACTTCATATGAAGATTTAGAATCATTTCCATGTAATTTGGAAGAGGAGTTTATTGGTATTTTAACAGTGGAGGATGTAAGGAACTACTCGGGTTACTTTTGCTTGTATTGCTTTTTATACAATTTATTCTTTAACATAGACTGAGATTCTTAATTGCTTTACCTATAATTAGACTGTTTGTAAAGTATCTGGTCCTTTTATCAAGGCACAGAGAACTGAAAATATTAAGTGAAAAGAAAAACTATCATGGAAATCCAACAGGTCTGTTGTTTTTGATTTATTGATGGTTAACAGTTTAACGTAGCCTGTATGATGAAATTGAAGTTGACTCCATGGAGTTCTTTTCTACAGCTTAAGTTTTAGTTTGGTAGTCTGTCAGTAAACTAATTGGGCTATACCATAAAGTAATCAAGCGTATGCAACCCATATGAGACAGGACGGTTACATTTACTTTCGGAAGGAAATTTTTTGAAAATTCTTATTCTTGTATTTGGCTTTCATCAGCATTCACGCGTGGTGATGCGTTGCACTTTTTGGTTTTAAATACTAAAGACTCTTTTCATTAAGCTCTTGCTCCTTCAGGATGTCAAATTGGCCATTCCCCTCTAAATGACTCTTCTTCCTATCTAGAAAGGGCAGTTTTTGTTCCTGTAAACCTAGGAATAAATTATTAATTTCATTAACGGTACCGCCTTTTATTATATGCCAATATGCCACTACAGATGCTGCAAAATCCAGTCAAAAAACACCAATAAGATGTAAGCTTTCTACGTGTGCACTTTCACCTGCTTCATTTTATATGTATATGTAGCAATATCATTAAATTTAGGTATAGATTTTACTAAACGTCGTCCGATATCCGTTCAAAAACAGCCTTGAAAAGATTTTAGAAGATGGAGAGATTCACTGAAATAGTCAAGTACCTAATTCACTTTAGAGGCAAATTCCATATCTATTCTCCTCTTCTCTTAAATTAAAAAGGACAACATATGGGTTATGGTGAATGATGACATTCACAACTTTCAATACAGCACAGCAAGGAATGTTTTGGCTGATCTATAGTTCTATATTTTGACAGTGGCGTCTTGGACCATCGAGTTTTATGACGCTAAAGTCGGTGTCACTTTCCCCCTTTTCTCAAATTATTTGATGCTTTTTGGAAGGTGTACACTTTTATTTATGCAACACCTTAATAGTTAAATTCTCAGTGTATCTAATCCACTTATAGAACCAATTGTTTATGCATATATATGTAAATATAAATAGGCACCAGCTTATATACCTAAAACCTTCAACTTAAGCTCTCTCTGCTAATACATCTTCCTGTATAACAATTATACCTTCTCTCTGATCGAAAATTTTACTTTTTTATTGATTTGAGCCGACAGGAAATGGCAGCAAATGATGTTCCATGTTGTGAACCTATGTTCTGGGTATATCTAATCATATGTGTGGTTCTAGTGTGTTTTGCAGGTCTCATGTCTGGCCTTACATTAGGACTCATGTCTCTCAGCCTTGTTGATCTTGAGGTCCTCATCAAGGCTGGTCAGCCTCAAGACCGCAAAAATGCAGGTTGGTAATAATTAGTCTTCACTAGAGAGTTGTGTTTCATCACCCTCCAAAACTGGATATCCCCTGATTCTTTACAGTTCAATTTGTTGATGTCAGAGAAGATTCTGCCACTTGTTAAGAATCAGCATTTACTCTTGTGTACCCTCCTCATTGGCAACGCCCTGGCAATGGAGGTATATATGTATATATATTGCTTGTAACATACATAAATCTTTAAATTTTTCTGTGAAAATTCTGAAATATTGATTTGCTGAATATATAAGGCCCTGCCTATCTTCATCGATGCACTTCTTCCAGCCTGGGGTGCTATACTGATATCAGTCACCCTCATACTTGCCTTCGGTGAGGTAAACTCTATATATTTTCAAGCTATTTTTTTTATGAGGTTTAACATTTATATTTGATAGCCATTTTTTTTCCATTTAAGATTATCCCTCAAGCAGTCTGTTCTCGGTATGGACTGAGTGTTGGTGCAAAAATGTCTGTAGTAGTTCGGTTAGTTGTTATGGTTCTCTTCCCATTAGCTTATCCAATCAGTAAGGTATGGATTACTGCGCTTGATGGTTCCAATTAACTATTAACTAACGTTTAAGATGTAAAAGAATTAGTCAGAATAATTGGCAGATAAAAGTTAAATGCCTTGTAATTAACTTTTCTTTCGCTCTCTCGATCTGATATATAGCTATTGGATTGGATCCTTGGGGAAAAGCATTCTGCACTTCTACGACGGGCAGAGCTGAAGACCTTGGTTGACATGCATAGAAAAGAGGTTAGCTTGGTGCACATATATATAATATTTATATACGCCTTACACTTGCAAATATCGAGCAATGAGGAAATGCAAGTGATCCAGATAGCCTTGAAATTCTTGTTTTAATTAATAATTACTAGGCAGGAAAAGGTGGAGAGTTGACTCAGGATGAAACCACCATCATCACTGGAGCTTTGGATATGACTCAGAAGACGGCTAAAGATGCTATGACACCCTTATCTAAAGTATTTTCACTTGATATTAATGCTAAACTTGATGAGTATGCCCCTTATTCTGTATCCTTCTCTACCATTTACATCAATGTTTATCTCCCATTGGTCAGCTGTTTCATATTCGACCACTGATAATATTCTCATTAGGAAAACAATGGAGCGGATATTAAGCACAGGGCACAGTCGCATACCAATTTATTCAGGAAATCCAGCTAATATTATTGGCCTAATTTTGGTAAGCACATCAGAATTCAGAAACTTGTGTAGGCTTTTCCAAGTTTGTTATATATATGTGTAGGCTTTTCCAGTTTGTTATATATATATATATATAATATATATATAAATAATATATATATATATATATAATACGGAGAAAGATGATATAAGCTAGTGATGATCCCCTTTGTTTTCATAAGGTTCAAAAATTTAGTCAACTTCCGCCCTGAAGTGAAATTTTATATATAATACGGAGAAAGATGATATAAGCTAGTGATGATCCTTTGTTTCATAGGTCAAAAATTTAGTCAACTTCCGCCCTGAAGATGAAAATTTGATTAGAGAGCTAACCATCAGGAAAATTCCAAGGTATGTATACAAACCTAAAACAACTAGCTGTTCCTTAGTTGCAGACTTTTGAACTTTGAAACTGTTCAATTTTATCAAGTGGCTTATGCGAATATCTGCTACTTTTTTTCTCAAAATCTATGACAGGGTACACGATCGTCTGCCTCTTTATGATATATTGAATCAATTTCAAATTGGTCACAGCCACATGGCTGTTGTTGTAAAGTGTAATAATGATGTTAATGGGTCTGCAGAAGAAATAAAATCCGAAAGTAGCATGTTCAAGACAAATAGTAATTCAAATTCGAAACAAAGAAAACCAGATACAGAAGGTAGAAATATTATGCTTTCCTATTAATTTTAAACTGTAAACTGACTCTTACTAATTAATCTCAATGGTTAACTATATTCAGGGATAGCTCACCAGCCTGGTCATAATGAGAAATTGAACATCTGTGTATGCTCACCACCTGTATACTCCAGTATGGATACTGAAATTCAAAGTCCAATACCATATACTGTGGGAGATGTAAGAGCTCGTTTGCCCACAAAATTCAAGAAAAGCGAATACCAAAAGCAAATTCTTTCAAATGAGGATTTGGAATCTCTTGCAGCTTCAGATGAAGAGGTCATTGGGATCATAACACTAGAAGATGTTATGGAAGAACTGCTGCAGGTGAACCCTAATAAAATTTTCACTGGTTTAATTTGTTAAAGTGCATATGCATTATCAGCAAAGTAAACCCTAAAGAATCAACATAATTTTCAATTCTTGCAGGAAGAAATCCTAGATGAGACTGATGAGTATGTGGATATTCATAACAAGTAAGGGCCATCTAGACATTAATGCATGGTCATTTGCAGATTAATTTTTCTTTTATGGTCCAAAGATATTACAGTTAGTTAAGTAATTAACCAACATTTTTTTGCTACTTCCTTGGAAGAATTAAAATCAATATGCTGGCTTCGGGAAGATCACCATTAATAAGGTCTCCAATAGTAGCATCAGCTTCTCATATTCAATGGCGGAGTCCTTTAGCTTCTCCAGCTTCTTCCCATCATCAAACTCCACTATCTTCCTGCAATCACACTCCCACACTGCATTCTCCAATTCCACCATATATTCGCTCTCCGATGATTAGACCGGCTCTATCATTTTCCCCTGGAAGATCCGTTCCAAATTCTTCTGCTGAAACTGCTCATTACTCATCATCCCCCCATCGGGTATATTTTACTCTGTCCTTTTACCCTTTGAATATTTTAATCATGTCTGGTTTCTATTTATCATAAGAAATGCATTTCTTTTTGGCAGGTTTCAAGAAAATCGTATGCAAAGTTGAGAGAGGCTCAGCAGTTATGAATTCTTACCTAGATTGTGTCTATAGTGAATGCCATCTCGGATGAGACTTGGCCCGGTATAATTTCTAAATATAATAATATGTAAATATTATTTATGAACAATGATTTATGATGAAAGGAAAATCCTTGCTTGATGTTATATAAAAAAAGAAAATTTCTTGCTTGGTCCTAGTACATGGTTCCACTCAGGAATTGGATTCATACTTCATACACGAGTTATCACGATGAAATCCACTCAATCAGGCCAATTTCTATTCATTTATAGAGAGCTCTTTGTACAAAAACAAAATTCTTGATTAGGGATGTTGCATTAGGATATATTGGTTTCAACCTAGAAAAAACATTAAAATTGGGCGGCAATATTATGAGAGGAAAATTGTTGAAATCAGGTAAAAAATCTATTTTTCATATTGGGACAGGACATTTACCTGCAGAAGAAAAAATTATTTGAAAATTTAATTCTACATGTCCTCCATTTCAATGTCCAGATAAAACAGAGGCCTTCAATATTAAATAAATAGGGTCGTCCCAGTAAATCTTTTTTTTTTTTTCTTTCTTTCCATTTAGATTGTGTTTTAACTTAAATTGTCGTTATATAATGAAGCCAAAAAACAAAAATGTACTCCTCAATAATTTTTCAAAAGAAAAATATCATAAAACGATAAAACGAAAAAATATCTAAAAGAGTTAACCGCAATCCGCTCGGCCATTCATTTACGTTTGGATAAGATAATCAGCCGTTAGAAATATACCAATAAGAGAAACATAAAACATCCAATATAGCTTAAGAAATCACCATGAACGCTCTTCTTTGTTCACAAATATCACCCTTCTGCCTAGCAAAACTACATTCTCCATGGAAACCAAAACCCCTTTCTCTCCTCGCACCAAACTTGCAAAACCTAAAAGACCCATCAAGAAAATGGAAACTTGAAGCAAATGCCAAAGGTTTTTCCAGCAGAAAACCTCCTACTGTAAAAGAAAGCACCCAAAATATAAATCAGAACATCAATGAGGATGATGAAATACCAAAGGAGGTGTCTAACAGGATAATCATTAGAATCTTGGTTTCAGTTGGATTACCTATGGCTGTTGGCTTAGCTTTCTTGAATTTTTTTGAAGTGGTTAAAGAACAAGGCCTATTTGATGTGCCTGTTTGGATTCCATTTTTGACAACTTTCGTCACTTTCGGGGCATCCGCGCTTGGAATTGCTTATGGGGCTTTATCTACAAGTTGGGATGCTAACAAGAAGGGTTCATTGCTAGGGCTTGAAGAGGCTCAGCAGAATTGGGTTGAGATGTGGAAGGAAGAAGACGATAGCAACTAATAGTTAAATTAAAAAATTTGTATTTTTATGAACTTTAATCATTAGTGTGACACGTGTACTGAATTACTACCAAACTTGAGTCAATCCATAAATGTTTAAATATTTTGTTGTAATGATAACCAGTCCACAGACTCATTTTTTATATCTGTTACGGTAGAGAATACTGGAAGTCGTTTAATTTAAATAATTAATGTATCTAACCAAAAATAATTATCCATTGGTTTACAATCAATTCCTTAGCCTTCAATTTTTGACTAGTTTGCTTATAACCTTTGTCGTGGTTGACTTTCAGTCTATGACTCGTGGTTGTAAGCAGTTTTCTTGCAAGCTGTACATAAAATCATTAAATTAAAAATTAAATAAAAATTAATGATATGTCACAATATACCAATTGATCCTATCTAGATTTTGAAATTTTTGAATAATCATTGAGCTCCTTTCAGATATAAGTAATAGTATTTTCTTTTTTTGTGGGGATTGTCGATTTACAATAAATAGATTAACTTAGAACATCTATTAGCTAGAGAACAAATTGTTTGAGGATGTGAAATGAAATTTTTTTTTTAAGATTTTAAGAATGCAAAATATAATTTTTTATAATTCTTTTTTATGTCACAATATACCAATTGATCCTATCCAAATTTTTTATGTGTTTGAATAATCACTGAGCTCCATTCACAGATGAGTATTTACTTTTTTGTGGGGATTGTTAAAATAGAGCATCTATTAGCAGGAAGAACAATTATTTGGGGATGCCAAATGTAATTTTTTATAATTCTTTTTTAGAAAAATTTCTGGGAGTGTGATGGCCCCCTCAGCTCTCCACATAGTGTCACCCTTGTCGACTTGTATCACACGTTTATATATAACTGTAGCATATCAACTGAAAACTTGTTAAATTAAACAAAGCAAAGAACAGCTATCAAAGGCAGCATCTCTGACTTCGATTGCATGTGTATTGTATATTAATGACTATATATTAAATAACTAAAAAAAAAAAAAAAAGACTTCGAATTGCCAATGTGTATTGTATATTAATGACTAATATATTAAAACTAAAAAAAAAAATAAGAACTGATAATATATTCATTAGAATATCAAGAATCTCTGCATAAGAATATGTCATCGGTGCTCTGGCACTTTTGGGGGGGAAAAAAAAAAAAATTAAAAATTTTGAAATTGGAAACTGACATTTTAAATGATATTTTAAGTCTTCCGTCTGCTTTACCAGGGCCTATCAAATAATGCAAAAAAAAAAAAAAAAAGAACTGATAATATATTACATTAGAATATCAAGATCTCTGCATAAGAATATGGTCATGGTGCTCTGGCACTTGATAAATGAAATTGGAAACTGACATTTTTAATGATATTTTTAAGTCTTCGTCCTGCTTTACAGTGGCCTATCAAATAATGTCAAATGTACATAGCCTTTTGTTTTCTAATTCCAAGTTTGATGCAGACCCTTTAATCTTCTGCTGAAGGAGGATTAACCTACAGTAGAGTGTTTATACCTAGAATAAGATTTGGCCTAATTTGTCACTGCACTAACCATCAAAGGCTTAATGTTGAACTTCCATATATAGTTTCCTTGCATTGATATTTACCAAGTTGTTAACATATGTCTATCTTACTTTATCTGTTGGATGGTTTTATTCAAGTTTCTTTATTAAAAATTTGAACTAGAATTTTTTGAAAGAGACAATTTTGTTTTTCCCTAATTGATCATTATCACATGCCATGCATTGCAAGAAAAAAAATGAAAACTACCATATTATATGTATTGCAGCGTTGTCCACAGGTACCTTTCTGTCTCAATCAGGAAAATAGTACCGGCAGGCGGCCAAAGTCTATTTTCATTGAATGCAACAAAAAGCAGGAGGCTTCGAAGGAAACTATTAATTGAACAATTTTGATAAGGTCAGAAATGCGATGCGAAGACTTTCATATTGAATTAATATCGATTGGGAAAGATAGTTTCATGGTAACTTGAAGATATACAGATGAAATTTAAAGATATAATGACTAATAAGAGGTTCTCATTTTCTTTTGTTGTTGGAAAAAACTAAAAAGGTTCCACCTTTCAACAGCTTTAAAGAAATGACCAACCACTATATTTTTTTCAAACAATAATACGAGTATAAAATAAAATATATAGACCGTAGAAAAGAAAATCCATTTAGAATTGCATAATAGCAGACATGCATGAACTTTTCTGTCATCATTTTCTTTAATGCAAGGATCAGAAACTTGACCCAGTTAACAGTTCTGGACAAAACAAACACGTTGATCGCATACGCAAAATTTAAGTCTCCACCGCAAAAAGCTACTCAAAAGGCCATGAAAAGGAAAATAGAGATCACCCATAAATGAAAAATCACTACCAAAATTTGATACATGAGGAAATAAAAAATATAAAAAAGAAAGACAAACAAACAAACAAACATGAATATGAACATCCCAGCATTGCCTACTGTACAGAAAGTATTATCATTCATATTCTAAATTTAATATGACCAACCAGTAAAGTAACAATCGCTTTTCCCTCCAATTATTTCTTCTTTAACTTGCTGTAATACATCTATCTAGCAAATGACACAGGCATTGGGATCTTCCTCTGCACTTCTAACATAATAGTATGTGGTCATATGAGGATTATAGGCCTTGTAGGCTTCAACAAGCTTGGCTACATCATCTTTTTTATCGTCTTTCTTCTTCTCTTCTTGCTTCTTTGGCTCCTCTTTCTTGGGCTCTTCCTTCTTCTTTTCTGGCTCTTTTGCTGGTCCTACAGAAACTATCTCTGTGTGACAGAGCTTTCTCAGTTTGCTTACTATATTTACTGGATCAACATCCCCTGTTACTGTCAATTTCTTGTCCTTCATGTCCAGCGAGATTGAATCCACACCTAAAGTTTTCCAAAACAAGCAAGAACCATCAGATTTTCTTTCTTTGATTAAAGAAAAGGACAAAAATGGGAAAAAACTTTTTCCTTCTTTCATTTTCTCAATAGCCAAACAGAGTTAATATAAAAACAGAGGAACCCAATTTAATACCTGAGAGGGCAGAGACTTTCTTCATGGCTTTTTTCTTATCTTTGTCATCGTTCAACTCCAATTTCAAAATTACTTTCTGCAACAAATTCCAAGATCATATATACGATAATTGATCGATATCAAAATAATTAAAGTAAATACTTCGAATATTAAAAAAAAAACAATGAATAATCAAATTAAAAATGAAAAGAGAAAGAAAAGCTAAAAGAAATTCAGCCGCTCATACATGCATATCAATCAATTTCTAGTATAAAATATTGCAAAATCACTAAAAAAAATTAGATGGTTCTATATAATTGGAGAAAGAATTGGGTAGATGAATAAAGAAAATACTGACCTTCATTTTCTACAGGTTAAGAGATCCGAACAAGAACTTCTTTGGCTGAGAACTGCAGAACGAAGCCTAAAAAGCAGTAGAAGAAAGAACCGGCAAGAAACGTAGGAAGAGAAGAAAGAATAAGATCGTGGTGAACTGAAGGAAGGTGTTTGGAGTAATTTATAGGAAGAAAGGGAAATAGGAGTGTATAAACGGACAGAGAAAAAGCAGTCAACTAAAAGGTCATCGGTCATGGTGTATTACATGGTCAATAATAACCATTACAAGTTACAACTAGGACGGGCAAACGAAAGCGCATGGCCTTTTCCTCCGACTTGGAAACGACACCGTTTATAATAATTGCATTTTCTTGAAATCCCTGTTCATAATTTTTCCACGTTGGTTTCCAAGAAATTACTGCTGTGTAATGCGCGGCCCTTGCTTCTGGAGGAGTCGTGTCAACCACACCAAAAGTGTACAAAATCGAAAACTTACGCTGGAAACGGTCAAGCTAATCATAATAGTAAGAGGAGTATTAAAATATTGTGTTCGCAGTTGCATCCCTTTCGATCACGTGGTGGGGAAGATCCAGTCAATGCAAGAAATGTAAAAAAACGGAGGTTTCGTGGTTGGTAGATTGACACAGTTCAACTATCAATTCTTAATTTACGATCAGCAGTGAGCTGAGGCATTGAATCTCTCATTTTCTGTGGCCAATTCCCACATGGGATCTTCCGTATGTGTTGGTATTGGCTCTGCTCTCTATCCAGTTTTAAAAGAGCGCAGATCATCTGATTCCGGACTCCTGGAATACAAGTACGGATGAGCAACAACAATGTTATACATATATAGGCATTGGCAAGAATTATCCTTGTTTGTATTTTAATGCAATGACCATGTGGAGAGATTTTGAAAATTCAAACCCAGCGGAATATTTTCACACCGTTAAGGACGATCATGACGAAGGATCATAATGAAGCAATGGCAGGGTGTTTACTGTTTAGACATTTCATGAGAAAGAGTGGTAGAAATTAGAAAAAGTATTTAATTTTGTTATCTCGTTGGAAAGTTAAGGATTTCTTTTTTTAAAAGAAAAAAAAGTTCAGAATTCATGGTAGCCGGGGGCTGATAATGTATTTATTATGTAAATATCAATCTTTTATTTTTTATGTGAATTTAAAAAAAAAAAAAAAGAATGAAGTTCACAGACATGTTTAATTAATATAGAATTAATTAAAAAAATAAATAAAATAATGAACTGACAAACCATTTTATTATATTTCGTTTCATCAATTAATAGTATAGCAGGCAACCCTGCACTAAGATATTGCCATATGATCCAAATGACACAAGTAGAACTGGGATCTTCGTGTGGACAATAATAATGAGATGGGTTATAATTATATTTATATCCCTCTGCACTACTTGCAACATAATAAGAAGAAGGCGTATTAAAATTCTGGGAAGGGGCTTTCTTGATATCCTCTATCTTCTTTGGTTCCTCTTTCTTGGGTTCTTTCTTCTTCTTTCGAGGCTCTTTCGCTGGCCCAACTGAGATTATTTCTGCAGTGCAGCACTTTCTCAATTTGCTTACTACCTGCACTGCACAGGATCCACGTCTCCAATTACAGTTACCGTTAATTTCTTGTCGTCCATGGAAATTGAATTGATCCCTGAAATTAATAAAAAATGAATGTATTAATTGCTAATTATATTTGGATTTGAGTACATTTTCTTAGTTATTGATTCCATTTCTAGCTCTTTCCTTGCCGAATAAAACCAAGAAATGCTAAATTATACCTTAAAAGCCACAAACTGTACTCATGACTTTTTGTTTTTCACTTCCATCATGCAATTCCAAATTCATCACTAATTTCTGTAACAAAAACATGAAAACAAAGCAATGATATATTTTAGACGTACCGACAGATCATCAAAATAGTGATGAAAAGGATCCATGTATGGATTTTATTTTTACTTTATACAGACAAATCAGGAACGAAGAAGATAAGGACCGGGAGTCAACATTAGTCTAGTCAATTGTGGGACCACAAAAGAAAAGGATCGACACTTTCCAAGTACCAAGTTGTTTCCTTCAACACGGTTTTAAAATTTCAATTATTGCACTTGATGAAATGAAAACTCGTAAATAAACTTATCTGATCAAAGCACAATTTGGATAAGCCATTCAATTTAAACTTATCATCACCATCAATCAGCGGCTGTAAATTGAAATTTCTATTATTCTTTATTTCAATTTTCAGTTCATTTTTATACTGAAAGTAGAACATTCAGTTTATTCAATTTAAAAATCAGCTTATTTAGTATTTTATTTTTATAATGAATAAATTACATTAACTTAAATTAATTTTGGTATTATATAAATATTTTAAAATAAAAAAAATAGATATTAACTAATTTTTATTCCTATGTTTTAATAAATGAAAAAAGTGCTAATGAAGCCTGACCTGTAACGGGCCTTATAGCATACACGATTGAGTTATGAGTTATGTGACTGATTGATTGTCAAATAAGTTTTGGCTTCTAATAAGGGTTTGACAATCCGTAAGAGTTAAAGACATGAACTCCACCCACGGCTCTACTACCTCCATATAGTATAAACCAGAGTAAATTACATTTTCACTCCTCTAATTTAGTAAAATTAATTATTTAGTCATTATTTTCTAAAAATATATGAGTTCGTATGATTTTAAACCGTCAAACAATTTGGTTCTTCTATTCAAATTTTACGTTTTTCTATTAATTTTTGTTAAAATTCTACATATGTGTAAATTGAGAGAACTAATCTCATTTTTTTTCTTAAAATGAATATAAATAATTATTATTTTAATAAAAAGTACAATAGAAAATATGATTTGAATCCTCCTTCTCAAGGGAGGTCATAATGGCCAACCATTCGGGGAAGGATTTCTCTATGAACGGGATGAGAGATCCAGCATAACCACTCACGAAAGCTTCGATGATCTTTGCAGACTTGCTTCAGTTGTCTTTTAACAATCCTTAACAGTAGATCCAATTTCAGCATCATGTAGAACTAAGATCATGCCCACTCAACCCCGAAACCGCACAAGTGCCCATAAACACTGTCAAGACAGATGAAAATAAAAAACCAATATTTTCATAAACATAGATACAGAATAAATAGCAAAAGAGGCCGGTGAAACAAAAAAGCGATACATTAATAATGCATACAACTCGAAAGCCGCACCTTTCATTCAAATGAAAAAAATAAAGAATCTTTTTGACATGGAATGGATATATATATATATAGACTTCTGAATTATGAGATGATAAAATATGTCAAAACTTTTATCAAGAATTGGTTCACTCAGAAATAGGCGTGTTGGCTCATGTAAGAATGCGCGTAAAATATCAAAAAGGGTTATTCATGTTCAAGTGCGCTACTGCCGCCGTTTTTAGGACGGACCAAAATATATTTTGATGTTTTTATTAAAGGTTAATGCTAATAGGAAATCATGACGATACATTCACATTTTTTAAATGGAAGAGGCTATGCAGTTAATTTTATCAAACTAGAGGGAGCAATTAGTAATTTGCCCAATCAATAATAGGAAAAAGGTATAGAAAGGTAGCTTCTTCTAAACTTATCTCTAATACTATTTACTTGCTCTGGAAACCACTCCTCCGGGGGCTCTAAGTCCTAACTCTATTTTTCTCTATTTATAAGTCCTTCAGCTTCAAGTAAGACTCTGTCAACGACGAATAGAAAACTCGAACTCAAAAGCTTTTATTATTATATATATCTTTTACAAAACGTGTTAAAACTAACCACATCACGTCTAATTAATCTAAAAAATTAAGGTTCGCCTTTTAATTTTGTCTCCCTTAATTATTACACGTAAAAATGCAATTTGTAGTAGCCATGTATGATTAGAAAACATTAGTGTTAACCCACATTTGCATTTTTTTTTATTTTTTTTATTTTTTGACAAAGTCAATATGGTATACAAGTAGGTGACATATATTGATAAGGAAAATGCTATGTTGCACCATGCACCGACAAAATGCGGAAAAAATTTCTCTTCATAATTACTTCATCTAATGCAGATGATACTCTCATTTTTCAACAATAATGACAACTTCCATTGCCGATCCAGTTAATGGTTAGACCTACACTGGACTTTCAGGCATTACTTCAATCTTCTTACTTTGGACAAGGTCATATATTTTACGTAGTGTAAAAAGACTTTGTAATAATCTTTCCAAAATATGTATATTCAACATGGTGACACCTGAAAACCATCAGCCCTGGTAGGTAGAATGCTAATTTCTAGGCAACAAATTTGTTATTATTGTTATTTTATGAATCACTAAATCTCTAAGACAAATGGATTCAAAGTCCAAATTCATTTTCTTTATAAGTTGAATTTGAAGTTGGCTGAATATGCAATGATACACAGAAATTAAGCTGAGGTACCTAAACAAGGAGAGGAGAGTGCAGAGCTTGTATAAGAAGGTAAGGTTTCTTTGCTTTTTCTTATCAATTAATGGTATTCTATGTTTTTAAAGAATGGTTTACTCCCTTTTTTCAACTTTAAGATTTAGATTAAGAAGATAATATTAGAGATTTTTTTTCTAATTAGTTAGATTTAAACTAGGCAGGACGGAAAAATGACCGTAAAAACATAAAAATCCAAAAAACATAAAATTACTACACAATATGTAGGCCCGTACTATAAAGAAGCAGTATGTAAAACAGTACTTTCTTTGATTTTCTGGTCAAAATTCAAGAAGATGTATTTTCTTTTGCGAAATAACTAATAAGTGAAAAAATTTATTGAAAATGGCTAGGAGCAGAATTAATGGACGGAAAATCCAGGCTAGGGAGCACTGTCTTGGTGCCTTCTGTGAAGGAAATAGCGAAGGACCAGTTGATTTCAATCCCACCAAGATATGTTCGCCTTGATCATCAGCCTCCCTCTACTGTCACCAACAGCACTTCTTTACCCCAAATTCCTGTCATTGACATGGCTAAGTTATTTCCTCAGCAATTTCTGGATTCTGAGCTCCAAAAGTTCCACCTTGCTTGTAAAGATTGGGGCTTCTTCCAGGTATGCAAGTGACAGGGTTCAAGTCCTCCATCCCCACCATATATACCAAAGAGTTTACAATATTAATTTTGTGCATGCAGTTAGTGAATCATGGGGTGACCACAGAGCTATTGGAGAAAATGAAGATAGAGACTGCAGCATTCTTCAATCTTCCAATCGAAAAGAAGAAGAAATTTTGGCAAAAAGCAGGAGAAGCAGAAGGATTTGGACAGCATTTTGTTCATTCTGAGGAGCAGAAGCTTGAATGGGGTGACCTCTTTTACATTGTTACTCTTCCAACCCATTCCAGAAAACCTCACTTATTCGACAATTTCCCTCCCTCATTCAGGTTCTCTCTCTCGATTCTCATGTTAGCTTATTTTTGTATTTTTGGTACATTAACTTTACAGACTAAGATTTTCTTTTGCGTAGGGATGCCATTGAAGCCTACTCAGAAGAACTGCAAGGCCTTGCCAATAAAATATTTAACTTGGTAATAAAAGCTCTTGGAATATTGGAAGTTGATTACATAACAGAGTCATTTGAAAAAGGATGGCAAGCAATGCGAATGAATTACTATCCTCCATGTCCACAACCAGAACTTGTGATGGGCGTCAATCCACATTCTGATGCATCTGGCCTCACCATCCTGTTCCAGCTAAACGACGTCGTGGGGCTTCAGATAAAGAAAGACGGGGTATGGATTCCTGTTAAACCCATTCCAAATGCTTTTATCATCAACATTGGAGACATGTTGGAGATTCTGACGAATGGAATTTACCCTAGCATTGAACATCGAGCAACTATTAATTCCAGTAAAGAGAGGCTCTCAATTGCTACATTTCACAACCCAAAGTTTGATGGAGATTTGGTTGCTGCTTCCAGCCTTATTACTCCCAAAACTCCACAAGTTTTTAAGAGAACGAGCGTTTCTGATTATCTTAAAGGCTATCTTACTCGTCAACTCGATGGAAAATCGTTCATCGAGCTGCTGAGGATTCCAAATGCTGAAATAAAAAACACTTGAAATGTACACCAGGTCTAGACAAATTTTATTCGAACTATACATATATATATAAAATAAAATGTACTAATAAATGTATCAACTCTCGGTTTAGGTGCACCGACAAAAAAAATCGTAGGATTTCAAATTACATTCATTCTGTAGATTGATTGATTGTCTGATATTTATCTATTTATTATAAATAAAAGATAATAAAAAGAAACTTAACCAGTATTGTAGAAAGGTATAAGAAATAGAATCCATAAAAGTAAAAGACGTTTAATTGTAGGGACCAACACAGCTACGTGTTGGAGGGGTCACCTCCCGAAAAAAGGGCAAAAAAGATCTTGTCAAAATTATATTTGCTCCTTCAAAATACAAAAAATTATATTTTGTCATTTTTATTCATCGAAATTTAAAAAAAAAAAAAAAAAGTAGACTTCTACAGTGCAATGTTAATTATTAAGAGTTAAAAACTTGATTAACTTATTGATTAGCACTATAAATCACCCTAATACAAATGTCCTATCTTCATAATTTATAAAAATATATACAAAATATTTCATAAACATGGAAATATTATTTTCAAGTGATTCTCATAAAAAATATATATTTAGAAATTGAAATAACTATTTCTATCATAAATCTCTAGTAACTAAGATAGTAAACTAAGGATAGAACGGTACGGTTGGACAAATAATAAAAGCTGGAGATATAATTCTCAAATGCCATAGCCCTTAAAACATTGACTTTTCCTTTGGGCAAAGGGAAAAAAGCATTGACTTTTGAATTCAAGCAATGACATTAATATTTGCTCAAAAGGCGAAAAAATAGACCAAATAGTAGTATCGCATAAAAGTCATAAAGGCCGGTTCACATTATCCAAATGTGTGGGCCTTAGGCCTTATAATTCGCTTATGTTTAAATTAGTATAATTGGATTTACTTCAATTGTGCTTTATGTTTTAATTAGTTTTAGGTTTCCTACATATAAATACTTAGCTATCAAGCATTATGGGGCATTACTCAGTTTATGCGTTTTATTTCAAGAGAGGTGAATTCTCTGTGATTTTTCATTGAACTTGTTTTCGAACTTATTAAAGATAATTAATCTTTTTCACCTTGATATTTTTGGTTCATATTTCTAATTGAGTTTCAGGTTAAGATCCGCAATTCCATCCAATAAGAAATTTCTAATTTGAAAATTAGGGTTCCTCATTTGAGATTTAAGATTTATATATCAAATCTGATTTGGGTGGCAAGCCACTATTCTTGAAGTTCCATATCAATATATATATATATACAAATATAAAATTAATATTTGACTAAGAGAACAAGTCATCCATTGGCTAGCTAGGTTTGAAAGTCATTCATAATCGTTAATTTAGAAATTTATTGAATATATAAATTTGATAATAAATTTTGACCGTTTTTTTTTTTTGTGGTCTCTCGAATTTTAGCGGAGTTTAATTATAAGAATATATTTTCACATGTCAATAATAATTATACTTCATAATTGAACCTTACAATTATTTCATTTTGATAAAAGATAAATTATTACTGAAATATGAAAGTGTATCGTTATAATTAAATTTTTATAAAATTTAAAGGGATACAAAAAGAATCAGCAAAAACTCATTGTAAAATATACATTAGGCCATTTAGAACGACTTATCCATCAGCTAGGTTTGGAAGTTGTTCATAATCATTAATTTTAAATTTAGGGCATCAATGAAAGTGCATAACGCATTTGTAAAAATGTTGAAACATGGCCGGAGAAAGGAGAATTGGAGATGGATACAAAGCAAAATATCATGGAAAAAGAGAAGGACAGGGCACTTTCCATGGTGCAATTTTAGTAGGACCCACATTAAATATCTTCTCCTATCCTATGTGTGTTCATCGTCAGCCACTCAGTACCCCGGTACACCTTCGGTCCCATACATCTCTTACAATCATCTAGTTGTCGTTCGCCACGTGTCATACCTTCTGAGGAGCCCTATCTGGCTATCTCCTCCTTTCCTTTTCTGCTTTATTAACCGACTCACGTCTGATTTATCCCAGTAAAATCAGCTGCCCCCGACACCACTGACACTACCTCTACCTCCTCACCATGAGAAGTATCAAAGTATGAACCTTAAATCATGCTAAAATAAATTTAATTCACAGCCCATGTGGATTGGCTTAACCTTTATAAAATATACTAAAATACTCGTAGAAAATAAAAGATAATTAATTCACATCGTAGAAGCTAATTTTTTTAAAAAAATTTTAATAGTATCCATCTTATAATAATAATAATAATAAGAAGAAGAAGAAGAAGAAATTGATAGAAAATTAATAAAAATCTTTTTAATAAGATGATTAATGTAAGTTTAGGAGGTATTATTAATAAAATGCATTTTTAACGTATTGACTTTTATGTTTTAACTAAATAGAAAATAAGGTTTAGTTGTTGTTTCACTCATTAATTAAAATAGAAAAATTAACAATTTATTTGAATATTTTAAATTAAATATGAACTATATAGTATTGTTTTAGGATTAGTACGTAATAATTAAGCGTAAGGGATTGAAAATTGCGGGCTGCGATAACGTGGCATATTCTTATACGCCACTCATCCGTACTGACCCAAAGGCGCAAAGTATCGAATTCTATCTTTATGCTTCATATAAGAACCCCTCGTGTCCTCACAAAAGCCCCATTTCTCCGTTAATTCAAAGCTAAAACCCCAAATCTCGTTATCGCATGGTCTCTAAAAATCCGAACCCGCCAGAGGGATTCTTCCTGGATCCAAACGGAATGGCCTTACCCGGTCTAGGACCCTTCGCCACAGCTCCTACCACTGCATCCACCACGTCTTCATCGGAGGATCCGTCTAAGAAGATCCGCAAACCCTACACCATCACTAAGTCCAGAGAAAGCTGGACTGAACCTGAACACGACAAGTTCCTCGAAGCTCTCCAGCTGTAAATTACTTCTCATTTTTCTTAATTTATCAAAATTTGTTCTGCTTCAATTCCAATTAGGGTTTGTTCCCTGTATTTAATATGCTTAGATATATACACATTTACGTGTGAATTTAGGCTGTCAAATGAGGTAGCTAGTCAATTTAGTCCAATGTTGCTTGAAACGTACTTGAATTTCACGAGTAGCTCAAGACTATCGAGCTTAAACTGGAGGAAGAGAAAAGTTAGTCTAAAAAATGCAGCTGAATTGAGCTTATAAGTATAGTGGGGTTATATCTCTTTCGGCAGTTAAATAGTTTCAATATTCTGTGTTCTGGATTTGATTCAGTAAATAGATTTGGCTATGCCTTTCATTAACTGCTTGCTACTGTAACTGTAAGTTTTTTTTTTGTAGTTCTTTCTAACTTCGCAATTTCATTTCTAGGTTTTGCTAGAAGTAAAAAACTGGCTGACAGATGAGCTGGCTAATGAAAGTTTCTAACATAAAATTAATATATGCTTCTTAATTTCATTTTTATCACATTTTTTATATGCATATTGTCATGATGCTTACATTGATCTTATTCAGCTTTGATCGTGACTGGAAAAAGATTGAAGCATTTGTTGGGTCAAAAACAGTTATTCAGGTATGCGAAGAAAATTTTATAGTTTTAACTATCCTTCAAAAATGTGAATACTTACTAATCATTGTTGCCTCTTGTATTGTATTGTCACTCTTTTTGTGAAAGATCCAGTATTCTGGTCTTGCCTCTCACTCTCTTTACTCTCATGTTTTGGCAGTTTCTGTTGTGTGATTATTTGTACATTTTCTGTTGGTAGTTTGATGTTTGTGTAACCAATAATGTTACTTCACTCGATGTCATTTTGGATAATTTACATCAACTCAAAAAGGGATAGTCTCTTATAAATGTATTTCAGTGTAGTTGTTTGGTGATTTTCTTAACAAATATGATTTATTTGTTAAATTGACATGATTTATATCATTTTACTTCTGCATCAACTCCTCTTGTTTTTTTTTGCAATTCTCAAATATCAAAAAACACCAAATTCAAAGCTATATTTTGCAGATACGTAGTCATGCACAGAAGTATTTTCTAAAGGTTCAGAAGAATGGAACTAATGAACATCTGCCTCCTCCTAGGCCTAAAAGAAAGGCTGCTCATCCATATCCTCAGAAAGCCATGAAAAATGGTGAGAATGGCTTTTTTTTTTTTTTTTTTTTTTTTTGGTGATTTTCTTAACAAATATGGATTTACATTTGTTAAATTGACAGATGATTTATATCAATTTTACTTTCTCATCAAACTCCTCTTGGTTTTTTTTGCAATTCTCCTCAAATATCAAAAAAAACAACGACCAAATTCAAAGCTTATATTTGCAGATACGTAAGTCATGCACAGAAAGTTATTTTCTAAAGGTTCAGAAAGAATGGAACTAATGAACATTGCCTCTCGCTAGGCCTAAAAGAAAGGCTGCCATCCATATCCTCAGAAAGCCATGAAAAATGGTGAGAATGGCTTTTTTTTTTTTTTTTTTTTTTTTTTTTGTAAGTAAATGTTTAGCAATTTTTTTTTTTTTTTTTTTTTTTTTTTTAGTAAGTATGTTTAGCAATTCTAGTATTGTAATCAGATAGCCAATGTAACTCCATATTGTGTCTGTCAATCTTCACAGCCCCAACGACCTCGCAACCTTCTGGATCCTTTCAATCATCATCTCCTCTCCTTGAAACTGGATTTGTTAGAAGGCCTGAATCCACTTCAATGCCTCTGAGCCCTATAACTGCTGCTGTGGCAGGTTCTTGGACAAATAATATGTCAGCAGCTAGTTTATCAAATCAAAAAAAAGGTTCATAACCGTCTCTTATATATATAGCTGATGCCTCTTTGGCAAAATTATTTCTCTGGTTTCATTTTTTTCATGTTATATGTGCTTTTCAGGGCCACTAGTGACAAATAATTGTTGCAGTAGCACTGAGAGTACTCCTAGAACGAAACCAATTGTTGAAAAAGCCCCTGAGTTGGGGAATCATGGCCATCCATTGAGAGGTGAGGTTTTCCCTTCATATTAATTTTCTTTGTAATGTTGATAAATGGTTGGAATATCTGAATAGAAGTCTTAAATTCACTGGAAATATATTTTTTTCTTTGAAAACTTAAGAGCTAAATCATAATGTAGTTGCGACAAATCTCTAAAATCTACGCATCCCACTTGTGTCTGCAAATGTGCATGTAATGACTTTTGGTTTACACAAGCTGTGAGTTATGTTTTGTATTTCATTCTGCTCAAGTACGTGTTAGTACTCATACTGCCATTTTATTTGCAGTTCTGCCTGACTTTGCTCAAGTTTACGGCTTTATTGGCAGTGTCTTTGATCCAAATGCTACTGGTCATCTGCAGAGACTAAAAAAGATGGATCCTATAGATGTTGAGACGGTGTGTTTTTTACTTCGAACTGATACTCCCTCCCTCTTTCTTATAGGTGCTCATGTACATTAGTATGACATAGTACTTCATTAGTAAAGTTGGTTCCTGGTCTAAGACTCCAAGTTAAGCATTTATAACTTATAGCATATTTGTCCACAATGTTAACAACTTATATGTTACATGTTTTTGGTTTCTCTTCAGGTGCTTTTGTTGATGAGAAACCTCTCTATCAATCTGACCAGCCCTGATTTTGAGGATCATGTAAGTGGTGTTTCTTCTTAGTTCTTTGTTGTTGCTGTGTTATCAGCTTATTGTGTGCACATTAGCCACTCTTTCTCATCTAAATATAAAACAATCTCCTTACAAACATCATGTTGTGTTCAATGAAACAAAATACTATCTTATTTTTATTATATGTCATATACTTTAGTTGCTCAATTTCTGTCTTTATTTGTGATGGAGAAAGAGAGTTTTTATTTATGTAATATGCATTGGATCTTGGAGAACCTGATATAATAAGTTGTGAACTATGGCCAAAAATGAAAAAATGTTAGCACAAGTTACTAGTTAGTAAGTCTCACCTATGCATTTGGTGCTCTCTTCAGCCACTTTGAACCCAATTGCAGTTGGAATGCTGACCAGTTGACATTTCGAAGTGCCTGAGACACATTGCTGCCACTTGTGTCTCTTGTCCAAGAAAATCATTTGTCTTTTCAATTTGTCATAGTAGCTAATCCATCTATCCAATTTGGAGTTTTGACATGCTTTGTGATATTGATAATACAGAGACGGTTGCTTTCTGCATATGAGATTGATACACAAGCAATTGGTCCAAACAAAACCCTTAAAGATGACATACAAAAGAGTGTTGCTTAATTTGGGTAAGTAGTGGGACCAACTGATAAATCTCCACTGTTGGATGTTCCTGAACCTCCATTGAGTTTGTTGTGGAAATATTATGATACTGACTATCTTTGAATTCTATGTTCTGTCCGGACAAAAGCTACAGGTAGCTTCAAATGCCAGCTATTAAAGGCATGTGCTCCAATTTGTTTTGTTATTAGTTTGCCTCTGTTGGTTACGCCATCAGTTGTAGGTAACTTCTATCATTCCAGTCCCATGTATATATCGAAAAGATATAAAAGGAAGAGGAAATAGATATTTAGTACTTGGGGAGTGTATAGTAATGCAGTTATAAAAGTTTTCCCCTGTACAGTGCTGAATCTCTGTATTCAAGTTTTGACTTTCAAATAATTCCTAGTCAACTCTACTTTATGTAAGCTATGTGATCTTTTGCAATTGAAGTTGTTTATGTCTTCTGAGAATCCTGTAATTTCATCCGGTTGCAAGACATGAAAATATATGCAGGGAATGGACTTTAATAAGTTGCATGCAATACCTGAATTGTCCAGAATGCTGCATGTCTTTTGATTGAAGAGCTTCCGTCCTCCGATGATCCTATTCTAATAATTTTCGTTTTATTCCCTCACTGTCTTAATTATGGTGCTTAAAAAATTTTTGGACTGGAGAATCTTTGTCAAAGATCATCTCAAATAAGTTTCTCCATCTGAAGAGTGACTTATTAGTTTGCAAATTAAGAGGGATATCGCTGGGAACTCGGAATGACTTTTTAAAATGACCAAATTAATTCATTAGCTGCTTGGAGAATGGCTGGCTTGAACTTTTGAACACGAATATACTCTTGACTCGTTATGGTAGACAGAAAGTTCAATTCTCATAACCCAATTAAAATATGAAGAATACAGGTAGAGAGAGATACCTGACTTCTAGTTATCCTATTAACCAAAACTGACATTGAACAGCTCCAGAAACTTAAGTGTAAAAAAAAAAAAAAAAAAAAAAAAATAAACTAACAGTAGAGAGAGATACCTGACTGTAGTTATCCTATTAACACAAAACTGACATTGAACAAGCTCAGAAACTTTAAGTGTAAAAAAAAAAAAAAAACCAAAGAAGGATCAGCTCAGATGAAAAAAAAAAAAAAAAAAAAAACAAAAGAAGGCAGCCAGATGAGAATATATTGTTGTATGCACAACATTCTAGCATAGAGCAGTTAAAAGTTCCACTTTTCAGCCCCATGTCAATTTTGTCGTGAAAGCCGAAGGGTAAGACAATCCACTGTATCTTTTAATAATCTGGATTGAATCTAAACAGTAAACATATGCACACGTGTAAAAATAGAATAACATCTGCTAAGCATTCTAGTCCTGACAGAAGTCCTTGGAACAACGGTATCCTTTTGAGCATTTTATAAAAGTAGTTTAGACCTATGAGGAAAACATTATTCGATAACTAGTCAGTGCCAAATTGTCCAGCACTTCTTGACCATGGCTTGCGAGGTTGCTTCTTTGCATGTTTACTATCTTCGCCAGAGTCCATTACGACCTAACGACAGATGACAATAGAATTGAATCGTAATTATCCAAAATTGGCTTTCAAATCATCGAAGCATATTCAAAGAACAAAAGTAATTCAATTGCTCAGAAGATAAAAAGCAAAGAGCTGAATAATAGAAGTGGCTTGTGCTTTACCAGGATATTGCGTATCAAATCCTCCATGGATATGTTGCTGATGGTTGAGGGTAAAATTTTGTGTTTGGCTAAGCCAATTAGGATGACTAATCAGTTCGTTGATGGGACGATCATATGGTGCACCAATAGGAAATTCACCAGGAATTAGTTTCTGCTGCGAAACAGGACGCGTAACAGAATTATCAAACCTTGTGTTAGACATAGGATGGAGATGTGGAAGCACATTTATAGGAGGATTATAATAGGTCTTTGAATCTGAGGACCAGACATCAGATCGGTGGAAGAAGGCTTGCCCTAGATTCTTACAAGAATACTGTGGGTAAGATGGCCTTGTGTTTCTCAAACTGCTAGAAGTTCTTTCATCAGGTAAGTTGACTTCAAAAGCAGCTGGCTTTTGAGCACTTTCACCTGGTGTTCCTGGGGAAAATGAATTGGTTTCAGTTGAATTCCCCTCACCCATTAAAATTGATTCAATTGGAAATATTAGGTCATCCAATGTGATCAAACTGTCTTCATCAGGCCAACAGATTTCATCAATTGAATCGCCTTTCTCGTCCAATTCAATAACAGGTTTTAGCTCTAATTCTCGTTCACTTCGGAAATCCAAGCCTACTTTGCTGTCAACATCACCAAAAGTCGTAGCAGTTTCATGATTGGTTCTGATGAATTTGTTCGCTGGCAAAGGACTTGCGTTACCCTCAGCTGGAAATGTGAGGTTACCGCGATCATATTTAATAACCGCAGCAGCAGATCCTTTTAGACTAACCCCTAATTCACTTGACTTCAACTCTTTTTTGGAACCTGCTCCATGTATTGGTTCACAAGAAGGGTTCCTGAACAAGTTTACATTGGTTTTCGAATTAGAAATGTTTAGCTTTGAAAGTACTCCTGCCAGATCTATTGCATTTGTACTCTTCCTTAACAAATCAAGAAGGAGCTGAGATGCCCCAGGAGTAGCAGCAGTATTTGATTGGCTGTTCTCTACATAACAATATTGTATGCCTCGATGCTGAGGTAGCTGGTTGTTACTGGCCTCTGATCTAATGGATTGTTTAATTTCCTCGCACATATAAACACCTGGAGGCATCTTCGCTGTATCAGCACTCATCAGCTCATAGATCTCATCGGCAGAATGGGTGGTAGATACCAACATCTTCTGTGCAACTCTATTTATTTGAGCAAGTAAACTAGTATACTCTTGCTCCTCAGCAATTTCAGATTCATCACTCTCCATTCTTTTCGAGATACCATCTGCTGGCTTTTTCTCTAGTGAATGTGGAAAAGTAGTTAAGTTTAGATTCCCCTATAATTTACTACACAATTTGGAAACTTGCAGGAAACTTCATTAAAAAAAAAAAGGCAAAAAACAAGAAATGGCTTGAATCTGGTATTGTTATATTCATGGAAAATACCTTCTTCAGTAAACTTATCAACTAAGTAGGAAGAGGATAACGCGGACCTCTCTGCCCAATCCACCTTAACATCATAATGCTGCACAGACAGTAAATCCACTGGGTGTCAGATCATATCAGTATGTAGGTAATCTATAGAAAGTGATAAGCAGTCAGAACTTCAAGTGTTACAGTGATGAAGCAGAATTATGATTAAGCTGGCAAGATGACTTTCATTCAAGGGAGATATAATCTTACAGTGATTCTTCAAAACATAAACCAACTTCACAAGAACAGCTATAGTTCGAAATGAGGTACTTAGCAATAAGAAGTTCCTTACAGTTTCAGACACAAAGGCATGGAAAATTTGATTTTAATCTGTTCTATTCTTGTTTTGCTTCAAATATTAGCAGCAGGAATAAAGTATCTTAAAATTACCAAATTGAGAATTGATGCTAAATTGAGTTGCGTTCTAGTCACTAATTATGAGCTATGACTTGCCACAGAAGACGAACTGCTTTTACTTTTCCACTTGTGACACTATGATACGAACATGAATCAGTGACAACAATAGTATGCGGACCATGCATTAGCTATAACAAGTCTAATTTATGTTTAAAAACTCAACAAAGAACAACATGCGTTAGAAGGAAAGAAATGGCTAACAGAGTTGTGGTGGGGATAAATTTGCATCTGGAATTTTGAACAAATGTCACCAATTACCTCTCGCCTGGGAGAATGGTTCAAGGATTGTGTTTCAATGCCCTTGTACAGGGACATGCTCGCAAAAGCAGGTGATAGTGTTCCTATGCATGCAGAATCTTGTATGGAAGAAAAACACCAAGCATCATTTGAAAGAGACGACACCAGACATTCCTTTGATGGATTGCTTCCATTAGAACTCCTCTTATGACTTCTGGAGTCCTCAGGGTGCGTAGCAATACATGGGTCCAAATTTTCTTTGTGCTCATCTGAAACTTCTTTTTGTTTCCTTTCAATAGCTTTATGTTCCTTCCTCAGCAACTCAATTGAATCTAGGAAAAGTTTTTTCATCTGAGCGCTTTTAAGACTTGATACATCTATATGGACTGATATTACAAAGATCACCCAAAGCATAAAATCCATGGAAAAGCATAGGCCGGAGAATTTACCTCTTGGCTTTCTTTCCTCTTCTTGTCTCTCCAGACTTGGACATTCGGAATTATACAAATCTTTACTCTCTTTGCTTGAAAGATTCATCTGAAAGACAAGGATGCCATTCTTTTATTACTTTTTCAATTTACAACACTGCTTAGATGGCAAAGATGTAATTAGTGTTTGGCGGCATGCCCATAATGGTAGAGATCAGTTAAAGCAGTTGAATGTTATGCTACGTTACATTAGCACCAAATTTACAAAGCACCAACTGCACCTTATAGAAGTGTGGAGGCCGATATGGCGTAGGACTTCTATTGAGAAGATGATGACGATTGCTTAGAACCGTTGGAGCAGAAACCTCAGCCAGGCGTCCAGCCTCTCTTAGAAGACCACTCCTTCCCAAAATTCCATAATTAAGATTCTGCTGTGATTGTTGAGTTAAGTTTCCATTGCGTCTGCCAGAGTCTGTGTTTAACAAGATGGCTCAATTTCACAAATCCACGAGAAAAGCCAGATGAAACCAAGGAAACTCCATTTTTCATTTCAATTACACTACGATTAAACAATTGAAAGCAGAGCATTGAGCATGAAAAAGACAGGGATGGGAAGTCAATACACCTCTTCCAGTCCCCACATTCCCTCAGGGCGTGGGTTTTAGAGAGCTCTATCTGATACCATAAACTTAATAAAAACCCATCATGGATAATCATAGAGAAATACTGCAAGAGGAGATGAGAGCTTCACATGGAAAACAATATAGCAGGAGCCAGTATTAGAAATATATTAGTCAGTCTTAAACTAAATGCAGTCCTTTCTGTTTCTACCATAAATATAGATCAATGTAGAATTCCCCTTTGAACCAAACTAATTAATTAATCCTACTAAAATGGCTTCAAATTCACTAATACCTTCAGATTTTCTGATTTTTCTATAAGAGATTAAATGACAGAAACAAAGACTAAAAGATCATTGAGAGATCAATATTAATAGAGACAGAAATATTTGATAACATAATATGTCAAAGTCTTTAAGCACAAGCCTAAATGACTAGAAGGCTGTGGTAAACCAGTAGAAGCACTATTGAGATCACTTCTGTTGAGTATATAACTGCTACCTTGAACCTTCACAACAGAAACCCCAGCAATAGGTCCAGGCTCTCTTAGAAAACCATCCTTTCCCAAAACTCCATTTTCAGGATTCTGCTGCAAATGTTGAGATAGGTTGCGGTCCCACCTACCAGAATCTGCATTACAATCAGGTGGTTCAACATCACTCAATTGGAGCATTTGAGGCTGCATTAATTTGGAAGCAGTAGTCTCATTGATATACTTCACTTTCAACAAGGGCCGAGTTATTTTTCTACCTAACCAATATTTTCTACCACATCTCCCTGATAGTAAGTAAACGCCCTTTTCTCCTATAAGAGACTGAAATCATTTGTAATGAGAAAATATCTTATTGATATTTTGTATTTTTATGTTAGAAATAATAAATTAAATGGTAAATGGTAAATGGTAAAGTTGAAATTAAACATATACATTTGGAGATAAATATCTTTTGAAGCAGAAACAATCAGAAAATTTTGCGTTTGATTAAATACCTGAATCACTATAGGACTGTGATGGTGAACCAGTAGCAGCATCTTTGAGTTCACTGTTTCCAAAATTTAAAATATAAATAAATAATTATGAGAAGAAAAATAAACTTTAGAATAACAGTGCTGCAAAAGAACAATAATGTGATCTTAGCACCAGAAGAACAAAAGGTGAGCAATTATAACATATCTTTACCTAAAAATCGATGAATCAAGTCCGATTGGTATCTTCTTACATCCATCCAACTGAGAAAACGATAAAAGAAATTCTCTCCTATACGAAAATTTTGACTCCCTGTACAACAAAACAGATATAAATATCTTCATCTATGACAAATATGCAATGATACAAACGATCTACTGTTTGATTTCAAATAGTTTGCAAAACAACAAAACACTAATAGCTAGAAATCAGAAACGAGTCGATTTCCACTTTTTTCCTTTCATTTTCTCAGCAACCAAACACAGTTAACTGTTAAGTAACGTAAACAATTAACTGAAACATAATAACAGGTTTTGAAGCTTGAAAAAACTATAATAACATCAAATTAGAGAATTACCTGTAGGATTCTCGAGCTTTATTGTCATCTGAACTTGATTTCGGCAATGAACATTCAATTTCAGAATCTGTACTCATTTTCTTCACCGAAAAAAGAAAAAAAATAGTAGTAATATCAATACAACTTCCCCTTCAATTCTAAAAATCCTAAAAATAGACGGCTTAACTTGTTTTCATGAAAAAATCAAACGATCGCCCATCAAACAGTGTATATACCGTGGATAGTTGTGCTTTCTAGAATCCGAGTATTATAAAACCCTAAGGATATAGTTATCTATAAAGACACTGAATCATTTTCTTGCTATGCTCTCGAAATCCGAATTATACGAATCAACGGGAAAATAAAGCTCTAATCAGACTCTTTACAGGCGAGCTTTCAATGTTTCCTAAGAGAAACTTTTCTGGACAAAGTTGCAGGGCTTCTATGTGCAATATCCGTTTGGAAGCAGAGAAAATGAAGGAAAAGTAGCGTGACAGTGCACATAAAGAGAGAATCAGCCTTGTAGTCCAGGGACCAGCATTTCCTTTGTGCTGTGTTATGGCGAGTTGAGACAGACACAGACGGGGTATATATAGGGTGTTTTAAGTTGATTTATTTTCCCATAAGGAACTATAATCAAATGCGGAAGGCTTCATCTTAGATCAGGACCGTTTACTCTGCAACTTACGATTGATTTCTCTTTCCTGACGTGGCAGATTTTTATTTGATATTTGAATGAAAAAGAATAATATGATCGTCGCATCCACCATGTGCTCCTAAATTTATTGATTTGCATGGTAAGACACGTACACCTAAATGACATGATTTTGAGGGACAAGTCAACTGATTTTTTTTTTTTTTGTTTTTTTTGTACTGCAAGATAAATATTTTAGGATAAAATTAAATTGCTGAATAGATATACATATTGAGATTAAATAGCTTGCTTTATGGAGCTAATTGATATATGCCTCTTATGGTTATTGCTGCCTGTAATGGACTTTAATGTAATTTGTCTTTAAATTTATAACTTCAATGTAATTTGCTTTTAAAATTGTAATTATATAAGTCTGTTTCAATTACAGCAGTGTCTGAGCGTATATTGTAATATAACTCTTGCACTAAAGGAATGGCGCGGCAAAAAAGGAAATTGATGGGTGAATGATAGACCTCCTAAATTTAGCACGTAGAAAGCGAAATACAAAATATCTTGTATAGCAAGAAATTACTCAACAATGCAGGAGATGCAATTGCGCATAATTGTATAACCAATGACAAAATCCGCATTTTGATCATCTTTGACTGTAATGAAATGAAAATGCTGGCCTCTAATGAAACCAAACCAAACACTTCTTTAGCAATTAAAAGGACGAGTGCCTAGGTCGTATTTTCCTCGAGACATTTTTTTTTTCTGGCTATTTTTCAATGCTTATCTTCGAATATTCACATTATATTGTTTTAATTTATTTTTTACTAGCCATTAGATTTGTTGTATTTTTAGATTTTATTGATAGTCTCGTGAAATAATGAATATGCCATCGGCTTAGAAAGACTAATTGAGCATTCGTGATAGCACATAAGAGTTATTATAAACTAAAATTATTGTAGAGGAATAAAATAATTATTCTAAAACGATTTATATTTTGATATAAAGGTAATAATATTTATGGAAAATCTGAAAATAATTAAGCAATCATTGTTTGTTGGATGAGTAAATATGTAATTGAAAAAGTATTTATTTAATTAATAAAAGATCATAAAATATTAAAAATAAAGAAAAATTGTATTAACTTGAATAAAAGAGAGAGAATTTATCAATTTTAATATAAGCAAAATATCTCGGAAAAGAGAGAGAATATTAAAAAGTCGATTAATAAAGGACGTTTTGAACTGTGAGCGGCCCAACGCTAACTGCATTTTCTTTGCAAAGCCCATTCGGAAAAATCAATTCAAATAGAATCCGGGTTGCCCGTTTTATCCGGCCCACATAGTTCCATATATAGAATCATCGTTGAGCCTCTAGGGTTTCCAAACCCTGAACGCCAGCTTCCTTGCTTCTCTGCAGCAATTGCAAAAACAAGGGTTTTCCTAGCCAACGGCTATCAATCATGGTGACTCTCTCTTTCCGTCTATCTCCTAGTATATCCATTAACAGGCTTGTTTGGATGGTCACTTAAACCTTTTTCTATTTTTGGTGCTGTTTTCAGATTATTTCAGAGAAGAACAGGAGGGAGATCTCCAAGTATCTCTTTCAAGGTTTGCAGATGTCTCCTATACTTGTTTTTATTCAGTATTTATTTTCATTTTTATTCGGTGTTCGCTTCACGTAACCTAGAAAATAGATGAAGGAAAAGGAGATTCTAGTGCTATCGTGTTTGTTTGTTTCTGTGCAAGGTTTTGAATTCATGAAAAACCTAATTATTAATTATATATATTCATTTGAAAATTCTAGAAGCTTGATGGATTTGAAGTTATAGAATTCTAAATCCCATAAAAAAATTTATAGAATTTTCCAATCACTTTTAGAAAACGAGTATGCAAGGAACTAAAGCTGCAACCTAATTTATTTACAAATGATTTTTTCTATTCATTTTAGTTTCAAAAAATTTGTTAACAACACTTAATTGCTCGTGTTAAGTACATTTTAACGGAGTCTGTAAATTGGTTTGCAATGATCATCATTTTTTGTTTTCTAACTGATAGGTTATTGGGAAATGTGCTTCGGACGAAGAAATATCTCTCATTTGTTTTTGGTTTTGGCTTTCAACTAAGGGAGAACTTAGCTAGGTGCTATTTTAATTCAAGCGGAATTGGATGGACATTGCTCCTTTTTATTTTTTTTGGTTGGGGGGAGGTGATGTGTAATGCTTTGAAATTTTCATCTAATCCGGCATGAATTAATTGGATTTCAATTTTTTTGTGAATCTATAGAGGGAGTTTGCTACGCAAAGAAGGATTTCAACCTTGCAAAACACCCAAATATCGATGTCCCAAATCTGCAGGTTATTAAGCTTATGCAGAGTTTCAAGTCCAAGGAGTATGTTCGTGAGACATTTGCATGGATGCACTACTACTGGTACCTCACAAATGATGGGATTGAGTTTTTGAGGACTTACCTTAATCTTCCATCAGAAATTGTTCCTGCTACATTGAAGAAATCTGCAAGGCCCACTGGTCGGCCAATGGGTGGCCCACCTGGTGATCGCCCCCGGTAATTTGAATTTGAACATTTGTTTCTTAAAGGTTATTTAGCTCTTTTTTTTCCCTTCATGGTTTGCAAAGTGATTTATGTGTTCTGTTCATTTGAATCTGTAGAGGCCCACCTCGCTTTGATGGAGACCGCCCAAGATTTGGTGATCGTGATGGGTACCGTGGAGGCCCTCGAGGGGGTGATTTTGGTGGTGAAAAGGGAGGTGCTCCAGCGGACTTCCAGCCATCGTTTAGGGTAATTTTACTTCAATACCGTTTCACTATATGCATCTTATTTCATTGGAGTTCTCCTTGGGTTCAATTACCAACTCTTTGCATCATGACTTATTCTCTCTTGTGCATTTTTTTTCCTGCCTATTGCTGGAAAGAATACCACATCAATTTGCTGGAAAAATAGCTGTATTTTATGCCTCTGATTATAACCTCTCCCAATTTTCTGATGCATTTTTTTTTGGCTTGGCCAAGCTTTTCATAGTCGGATGCCTCATCCTTTTTGGCCCTTCTACGTTTTCTATTTTTCTGTTGCTGCTTTTATTTTATTCTTTTGGTTGTTGTATCTATACTTGTCATCTACATTTTATTCAGAGGTCCATTTGAGAAAACCCATGGGCAGGAATTCAATTAAAATTCATTCAAATAGATTAAAGTGAATTCTAATTGAGAAGTTATTTGAGGATTAATGATTTGAATTGAGTTAAATACCTATAATAATTTGATTTCGAATTCAGTCTAAATTGAGTTGAATTGAATTGAATCAACATCAAACTTAGAATGACATCACTTGAATGTTTGAATTAGATGTTATGTTACACATTGTCATGTCCCAATATTACGGTATTCTAGATATATTCCTACTGTATGCTACCATGTTCAGTATTTCTTATGTTTGGTAATTTTGTTATGTTTTGAAAATGGACAGGGCTCAGGTGGTAGGCCTGGCTTTGGTCGTGGTGGTGGTGGTGGTTATGGTGGGGCAGCTCAAACTAGTTCTTCTGGATTTGCTTAAAGGTCTTCATGCATTTTTGCCATTTATGTGTTACTTATGTAGCAGTGCAAGCGGAAGATTTGTTTTGATGCCCTTATGGTAGTGTTTTTGTAAGCTTCAAATTATAAGTACCAAGCTTGTTTTGGGATTCTAGATTTATAAATAACTTGATTTAAGCTTTCTGTGGTGTAATCGATAAAATGGTTTAATTACTTGCTTACCTCTCTTGCTTTTTCTGTACTGGCGAGTTAGCCGTGGGGTTAGAGATAAGTACTCGTTCCAGCCTAGAAAACTAGGTTTGCTGCAATTTTTATACAGATTAGGAAAAATTATTAATATGGTTTAAATAGTAAATTTTGTTTATGTTTTTCCTAATATAGTTTTTATTAATATTAAATATGATTCTATTTTGACGTCACAAGTAATAAAAAATTCTGTCGGATAATTTGTTGAAAACAAAGCATCTTAAAAAAAAAAAAAAGGTGAAAAAGTTTACCTGCGTTATTTATTTATTTAAATAGTTAATCCATATTGAGATATTAAAGTAAATATTTATTACTTCTGAGTTTTATGAAAAAATATAATTATGAATATATGATGCTTTCGAAAGAAAATAATAAAATATGTCGATTCTATTCTATTTTGTTTATAGATTTTTTCTTCCTCCTCGTTGTCATTGCTCAGCAAAACTTTTTTCACCAGCATCGGTATTTTAGCAGTTCCCCAAGGAACATATCTCTGCTGGCCGCATGCGGGATCACAACTAATCCCGATTCCAGACTTTTCCACGCGACTCTTCCCTCTAATCTGATGGTATCCAATGTCCAAAATACATTGTATACCGCCCTTATGGGTTGGACTGCCCCTTTTGATTCTCAGATAACAAACCCTCTATCTTTTATTTATGCGGGTTTAGCCTCCATGAATTTATGTGGGTTTAGCCTCCATGGATTAATTTCTGAGACTTCGATGACAAATTTGCAGGTCACAACACAAATAGGGGGCGAATCATTGGTGGCCCATTTATAGAACATACAGACCAGTTTCAAGACGAACTCAAGGTCGCATATACATAAGCAGTTCTAATTTTCAAGTACTCACCATGAGTTGAACGTGATCAGAGAAAAGAAACAACAGACATTGCCAGAGAAACCATTGACTGTATTGATTTCAGATGAAACATACCATAATATCCATTCTCAGGGACACAAAGCTGACCTTAGAAAGAGACCCCAGAAAACGAGACTGATAAATGACACTAAGGGACCATATCAAGTTATCAACACAGACACAGACCCTCACTACTCATAAGACCAGACCGCAAAAGCAAGCCTACTAGAAAGCTCCTTTTCTTGCTTATAAGAGCTTAGTCGACTTCCTCCATCTTGCTCTCTTCGGCACCATCTTCCTCCAAGGCAGGCATGTCAGCATCATCACCAACAGTCTCATCCTCATCAATGCTAAGACCAAGCTTCAACATTCTGTGAATCCTGGCAGCAAACGTGTTCGGATCATCAAGGCTGAAGCCAGAGGTCAGCAAGGCAGTCTCAAAGAGCAGCCACACGAGGTCCTTGACAGATTTATCATTCTTGTCAGCCTCGGCCCTCTTCCTCAATTCCTCCATAATACCATTATCCGGGTTTATTTCCATAGTCTTCTTGCTGGACATGTAAGAGCTCATGCTGCTGTCCCTCAATGCCTGAGCCTTCATGATCCTTTCCATGTTAGCTGTCCATCCATACTCTCCAGTCACCAAACAGCATGGAGAGTCCACAATTCTATCAGAGATCACCACCTTCTCAACCTTGTCTCCCAAAATGTCCTTGATCGTCTTGCAAAGGTTCTCGAAGGATTTCTTTTTCTCCTCCCTTTTCTTCTTCTCTTCCTCAGTTTCATCATCAAGCTTCAATCCTTCCTTCGTGGCAGAAACCAGCTTCTTTCCATCATATTCCTTCAACTGGCCGACCGCATACTCGTCTATGGCGTCCACCATGAATAGAACTTCATAGCCCTTCTTCTTGAGCCGCTCTAGGAATGGTGAGTTCTCAACTGCTTTCTTGCTTTCACCAGTAATATAGTAAATATCCTTCTGGCCCTCTTTCATCCTGGTAACATAGTCTTTCAAGCTTGTCAGCTCCTCACCACTTTTGGTCGAGTGGTATCGAAGAAGGTCGGCCAGTTTGGATCTGTTCTGACTGTCCTCATGTATACCCAATTTCAAGTTCTTCGAGAAGGCTTCATAGAACTTGTTGTAGTCTTCCTTGTTCTCTGCTATCTCATTGAACATCTCAATGCATTTTTTAACAAGGTTCTTCCTGATCACCTTGAGGATCTTGTTCTGCTGAAGCATCTCACGAGAAATGTTAAGAGGTAGGTCATCAGAATCAACAACACCCTTTACAAAACTCAAGTACTCAGGAATGAGTTCTTCACAGTTGTCCATAATGAAGACCCTCCTGACGTAAAGCTTGATGTTGTTCAACTTTTTGCGGGTGTCAAAAAGATCAAATGGAGCCCTCTTTGGAACAAAGAGGATAGCCTTGAATTCAAGCTGACCCTCAACAGAGAAATGCTTGACGGCAAGATGGTCTTCCCAGTCATTGGTCAAGCTCTTGTAGAAGGAGGCATATTCCTCCTTGGTTATCTCCTCTGGCTTGCGCAGCCAGATGGGCTTTTGCTTGTTAATGAGCTGCCACTCGTGTGAAACTTCCTTAATCTTCTTCTTCTTGGATTTAGTCTCCTTCTCCTCGTCAACATCCTCAACATCTCCCTCTTCTTCCTTCTTGGGTTCATCATCTTCATCGTCACTGATCTCTTTCTCAGTTGTTTTCTCAGTCCACAAGTAGATAGGATAGCTGATGAACTCAGAGTGCTTCTTCACAAGGTCCTTAATTCTCCTCTCTTCCAAGTATTCAAGCTGCAGCAATGGATAAACACCAGATCAGTAACACTCAGGAGCGAAACCAATTATCTATTAATAAAGGATCCAAAAACAGAATCTAGTCTATACCTGGTCCTCTTTGAGGAAAAGAGTAATCTTAGTACCCCTACCAAGTTGCTCCCCACTAACGTCCCTTGTGACAGTAAAAGAACCACCGGCTTGTGATTCCCAGATGTATTGCTCATCGTCATTGTGCTTTGTGGTCACAATGACTTTCTCTGCCACGAGATAAGCAGAGTAGAAACCAACACCGAATTGACCAATCATACTCACATCAGCACCAGCCTGCAATGCCTCCATAAATTCCTTGGTTCCAGATCTTGCAATTGTACCCAAATTATTCACCAAATCTGTTCAAGTAAAGAAGCAAACACGTGACGTAAGTACAGTCCCCAACGGCATTCATTTATCAAGCACCGAGTCTAGAATACAACGGCCAATTAGTGCAGCAAACTATCCATTGCTGCTAATCAGAAAAATTTGGTCGAAATTAAAATTTTCTACTTAGGATTAATCCACACAGAAGTTTCCAAATTCTCTTACCAGAAGAAAGAAACTGAGACTAGAACCTTGACCAAACCATCTTTGTATCAAAGAAGAGATACAATTCCTTCAATTCATTTATTTTCTTGTCTTGCTAGAAATAATGCACTTATATTTTGAAAGTCGTGTGCTCATAAATCATAACACTAACAGAAGAATCAAAAGGACCGATTGAAAGAGTTTATTGGATTTTTTTTTTTTTGTTACCTGCTTTGGTCATGCCGATACCACTATCAAGAATAGAGAGGGTCTTATTAGCCTTGTCAGGAACAAGCCTAATGAAAAGCTCTGGTTGAGCATCGAGCTTGCTCTTGTCTGTCAAGCTCTCGAATCTTATCTTGTCCAAAGCCTACACGCCATTAAAACAACCATACAACATCAACATATCATACTAGAATAAATAATAAAATTCAAAGACACAACAAACAATAAACACAGTGAAGCCAAAATGTAGACTACTTACATCAGATGCATTGCTGATGAGCTCACGAAGGAAAATCTCCTTGTTGCTGTAGAAAGTATTGATAATCAAACTCAAAAGCTGGTTGATCTCAGCCTGGAAGGCAAAGGTCTCTGCATCAGCCATCTGAACATCTGCCATTCTTCCCCACTACTTCACACAACACCACACAACAGCGCAAGAGAATGCAGGAAAGATTGGAGACAGAGCCCGATAAAGCGTTTCGAGATGATCGCAGAAGATTTTAAGCTGACAAGATTGGCATTTCATGGAGGTATATATAGTAGAGATTTACAGGGTTCTAGGTTCTTCTTCTCCAATTGGTCAGCGTGAAAAGAGAGAGAAGAGACTGGTTCTGGATTCTTCCACGAAACGACGCTGTATTGATTGATAATCGTTGTTTTCGGATTGAGACGGTAGCGTTTCATGCCGTCTGTTTACCTTTTTTTTCTCTTGAGTGGAAAATTTCCGTTTCCGTTGGGAACTCTGGAAGGTTCGTGTTGTTTTTTCTGAGTGCAAGGTTTTGCTCTGTTATGAAGTCTGGAATGTTCTTTCTTTCTTTCTTTTGGTTGGGTAACCGTTTTTGGCTGACGAGGACTTCGCACGTGTTAGCATGCCGTCTGTTTACCTTTTTTTTCTCTTGAGTGGAAAATTTCCGTTTCCGTTGGGAACTCTGGAAGGTTCGTGTTGTTTTTTCTGAGTGCAAGGTTTTGCTCTGTTATGAAGTCTGGAATGTTCTTTCTTTCTTTCTTTTGGTTGGGTAACCGTTTTTGGCTGACGAGGACTTCGCACGTGTTAGCACCGTCACGTGCTTCTGTCTAGGTTCTAGTGTTACGGTGGCGGTGCTCCAGAAAAAATAACAGCCATGGAGCAAACTCCATGGGCCGAATAACGTTGTAGACATGGTAATTACGTTACATTCGTTGGAGAAGTTAGTCAACTCCTCCAATTAGCTGACCAAGGCCAACTAACGAAGGTGAGCTAAGCCCAGAGCCAATCACCGCACCCTTCCTGTTGATTTTTCTCTTCACAAGTCTCTCATTCTTCCTTTTAACCAGTCCCGATGAATCCTCCCCTTCATCATCATGGGGACCAAATCGCTTAATAAGAGGCAAGGCAAGCGATCAATCTGTAAACCAGACATTTCCATGCCCTCTTCTCAAATTTCTCAATTCACTTTTAGGAAATTACCCCGGTTTGTTCCATTAGTTATGGCTTTCGGCATAATCACTCTTATAGGCATTTCGTCGATCATGTGGAGTAGTTTAGCGTCCGGTGATCTGTCCTCCAAAATCTATACAATTCAAGTGCTCAATGAGTTCCCTCACGATCCCAACGCCTTCACTCAGGTAACGATTTCATCTCAGTCTCTATTTTGTTTGGTGATTTGGTCTCCTCGTCATTTATTAGTTAATATTTTAAATTCATCAGTGTAAATATCTGTGAATAGGTCATTTGCTTGTTTTCATATTTTTCACTTAAATTTTTATTCTTTTGACCTAGATTTTATATCTTACTAACAAATTGATGAAAGCCGTTGCCTATTATTATTGGAAGCCTATTGATTCCTTGTGCAGTTGTGCATGAATTACATGGTCTATTAATTGAGGATTAACGTCATTTCTAATATGTTTTCAGGGGCTGCTTTATGCAGGAAATGATACAATATTTGAGTCAACGGGCCTTTATGGTGAGGTAGGTTTACTTTCTCTTTAAATGCATGGTATTCTCTGCTTTCTGAAGCAGCATACATTATCTTAATCTCATTTAGTTTCGGGTAATTCATCACTGAGCCTTCTACTTGTTTTTGTTTTTTCAGTCATCTGTTAGGAGGGTTGCTCTTCGGTCTGGGAAGGTACATTGTCTCTAGCGTTCAAATTTTCTTCAAGACTTCACATGTGTTTTCAAATTCCCAATTCCTTGTTCTGATGCTCCCCAATCTCATTTGAGAATTGTTTGTATTTTTAACTGTTAGAAGTTATGTACAGGTTGAAGTTATGCAGAAGATGGATGAATCATACTTTGGAGAAGGCCTAACTCTTCTTGGTCAAAGGTTCGTGACTTGGTTGCATTATGGTTCTCTTGTTGCTTCAGCAAAGTTAGGTTTACAGTAATATGTTGGTGACTGGAAGGTTTTTCACCTTCTTCGGGAGGAGTTTCTCTATATTTAGCACCTCCAGTTAACCAGATTGAGTCATGATTGGTTGCTATTTAATCTTCATATTTTAACCAGAATGAAACAATCAGAATACAAATTTTGCCTGGATAGATGGAGGAAATTTCCTCTTTGCTTTCTAGATATCTTTCTTCTCAAGCAAATGGAGAACTAATTTTCCTCTTATCTTATCCATCTTCTCCCCTTCATCCCCCCAATCAAATGTAGGTGTGTGTCCTATGTTTGCGCTTGCCAAATATGGCATTCCTGAGTCATAAGTTCTGTGCAGATCTGAACTGGTTTGTCAGCAAATGCTGTAAAAAAAATATAGGTACTTGTCAGTAGCAATGGTCAATTGACACTGGTAAAGAGAGATGAAAAAAGTCGCTGATGATAGGGCACCAATGTTTTCATTTCTCTTTTGAATAATTGCATGATTTTGTATCTTTCTCCCCTGAAAATTACTTCAGTATTTGAAGTAACCTCATCAGAATAATATATTTATTGAACTTATGTTTTCAAATAGACTGCTGGGCATGGGTATATACTGAATGCTAATCAGCAATATGCTTTGCTTCAGTATAATTGGATTTAGTTGCTTTGAGTGCATGCATTTGGTTTCTTCAGTATAATTGGATTTAGTTGCTTTGAGTGCATGCATTTGGTTTCTTCAATAATTAATTTATATACATCACTGTGTAAATACATAAAAACAGTAATATACTAATTTAGTAATTTTCATGTTCTTTTGTAGGCTGTTCCAAGTAACTTGGTTGACACAAACTGGTTTCATATATGACCGAAATGATTTAAGCAAAGTCTGTACTTCACCATTCTTCTTTTGAGTGTATATATTTATTTCATATGTTATTTTTCGGTCAAGTTATATCTCATCTAAAGATGGCATTTTTAACTTCTCCAAAATAATTTGATTCTGATGATGCCTGCCGTCTCGAAAAATTACTGGCTTTTACAATTTTGATATACTTCTACACATAAGAGTACACTCTTGACCAATTCTGTTTCTCCATACTTTGCCTTGGTTTCTTATCTTTGATTGAGTTGATCCCTTTTTGGAGTGGTTGAAAAGTTCTTTGTTTCAAATGTAATAATTTAATTTTTACGTGGTGCAGGTTGAGAAATTTTCTCATCAGATGCATGATGGTTGGGGACTGGCAACTGATGGAAAAGTCTTGTTTGGCAGTGATGGATCTTCAACATTATACAAGCTTGACCCTCAGACATTGAAAGGTGTCTATTGTGCGCAAAATGTTTTCCATAATTCCTCTGGTCCTCCGTCTTCCGATATTCTTGGTCTTATATAAGTATTATTTTTACTTTGATTTGGCGGTTTCTTCCTAATATTATTGATGGTTGCTTCAACTACAGCAGATAATAGCTTCAATTCTGTTAGTAAATAACTATAATATTATATTTCTTTACGCATCTTTGGCTAAATGTTTTATCCCTTCACATTTTGTGCTAGTTCCTAGTTAAACTTGATGGTTATGAACTTTGGCTTTCTTTTTTTTTTTTTTTTTTTTTTTTTTTTTTTTTTTTTTTTTGTGCTAGTTCCCTAGTTAAACTTGAATGGTTATGAACTTTGGCTTTTCTTTTTTTTTTTTTTTTTTTTTTTTTTTTTTTTTTTTTTTTTTTTTTTTTTTTTTTTTTTTTTCGTGAAACTGTGTGTAAATGCTGTTTTGTTTGTCTTGTTTGATCCAGTAATTGGAAAACATATTATCAAATATGAAAATCGTGAAGTACGGTACCTCAATGAACTAGAGTTTGTAAATGGTGAACTTTGGGCCAACGTTTGGCAGGTATCTTTCACTCATCTGGATACTTTTTGATGATTTTCCAATAATAGCCACTTCTAGGCACTTCACTGTGAGGGCATTGGCATGGTAGTTTTCTTCTTCTACAGGAGAAGCAATTTATGGCTCCAAGGGTCATCCATTCCCTAGACCAAGGGAGAAGCATGCTTTGAGTCATCTGAAATTTATTTTTGACTCTTAATAGTGACTATGATAATATTCTCCAGTTGTCCCTTCTCACATTCTAGATGTTTTATCCGTAACATTTCTCTGTCTCTCTCTGGGGCTCCTCCTTAGACCCTCAACTTTGGTGTGGAGATCTTTGATAAGAATGCACAAGAGTTTGCCAGTATAGCTAGCTAACGCCTGTGTCTGATATCTTTCTCATGTTTGTGCTCATTATGTAGACTGATTGCATAGCAAGGATCTCACCCAAAGATGGCACTCTGCTTGGATGGATTCTTCTTGAAAACTTAAGGTGTTGTTTCTCATTTGTCTTCTCTTCATATTGTATTAGCATATCTTTGCCACTAATTTGATCATGATATTATTAACTGTTGTTTCATGTTGCTTGCATTGCATGGAATCATTCTGTTTTTCGTTTGTATTTCACAGAAAAGGATTGATAGCAGCTGGACACAGGGTAAGCATTCAGTTATAGCTTACATTTCATATATATACAGGTAAGCATCTCAGTTATAGCTTAACCATTTCATATAATATATATATATATATATATATATATATAATATACTTTTTTTTTTTTTGGGGGGGGGGGGGGGGGAGAGAAGGGGGAGAGAGAGAAAATTATCCCTTTATTCTAATAGGGAGAGAGGGGGAGAGAGAGAAACATTATCCTTTTCTAATAGTTTTTCTATGTGGTATGTCTCCTGATTGATTTGTTGCCAGATGAGAGAGGAACAAAGGCTCAACTAGAAATTTATGCAATTCAAATCACATTAACTTCCATCTAGCTCTCTCTGTTTCCTTTCTTTATAATGTAGTTAATATGAATGGGGTTATTTCCCTCATTACCTTTTTTAATCCATTTTAGGGCATTGATGTTTTAAATGGTATTGCATGGGATAGCAATGACAACCGCATTTTTGGTAAGCTCTACACTTGTATCACCATGTGTATATGAATCCTTTTCTCTTTTAAAAATGTGTACAAGTACCAATTGCAACATGAAACAAATTTAATCAAACAAATTATATTTCAATTATATGGAGTTTGTTGCCCAGTTCTTGTTCCAAAACACTTCACTCACTCCATGGTATGCCTGTTTCTAATTTGTTTCCTGCCATTCATTGCTGACATGAACCTGAAACTGGAACTTTTTGGTCTTCGAATTTTAATTTTTAGCATCTTCTTCCTAAACAAGATGCTTGATTACAGATGTCAGCATGCATGTCATATTTTCACTTGTCTTTCCATTAAAGAACCCAGTTTGTATTTGAAATGATAAGAGAATTTGCATAAGCTAGCCTACCTTTGGAGCTCCTAATCCAGTTGATGATTGAAATCATACAATACAATTTTACACACCTGAATTATGTTCACATTATGCTGCAAAGAAGGCTACTTTTCTTAGACTTGGGACTTCTATCTGAAGTCTTTTTGGGATATGATTTTTTATTTTTTATCTGTTACATTTGCTTGCAGTTACTGGAAAATTATGGCCAAAGCTTTATGAGATCAAATTGCATCCTGTAAAGAAAAAAGTTCGTAGCGGAGTGATTAGCCAGCTTTGTTTACCATAATCAGCTGTTCCTGAAGATTTTGACATGTCTCTCAGTGATTTTTAGTTCAATCACTCTGACACAGGATTTCAGCCTATGTTACTCGTGTATGATAAAGTTGTTCTTGTGAAGTTCAGCTGACATCCAGGAAAGGCAAATAGATTGTAGAGCGACAATCACTTATTCTTTGTGGACTGGTTTGCTCCTGTAAGATGTTTGGAATGAACCATTGGCTTATATGAAGGAGATAAGATAGGATAATGCATAGAATGTACGATAAGCTATTAATTTGTTTGTGAACAGAACAATATGGTCCCCATTATTTTTATTTTGTAAAAAAATTAGCTGATGAGTTTGGTCCAAGTCAGTTATCATGGGTAAAATGTAGGATTATGAATGAGTCAAGCCCTTTGTAAGCTACTCGATGTTTCAAATAATTTTTTTTGAGTTGTTTTGATAAGTTCAAATGCTAGTGCAGAAGTACCTACTCAGTAATTTGCGTAGCCTTTGTTTTTTAAAACATGGCCCTGCTTTGTGCTATCTCAGTACTCAAATGGCAAAAATTTGAAGTGGCACGATGACATTGCAAGTATGACGACAAGAAGTAGGCAGATTTCCATACTCTTGTTGGACAAGATCAGTTGCGTTATCACCATTGCAGGTGATTTTACGGTATTCCGTATTCCGGGAAATTTATTAGTTTTTCTGGTAAACTGCCGAAAAACGAGTTGTCGTTTGTAGAGGCACGACGATCCTTTATCTTTCCAACGTATTCTAACTGCGGGGACAAAAAGCGAATTGTCACTTTTAAAGAGACGACTAGGGATACCGGAATAACTTTACTTCCAGGCGGTAGTTTCTTGTAGCTGGCGCTTGCTATGACGACGAGGCGTAGATTCAAGCGGACATTAATTTTACTTGAATTAAAAAAATAATTACTTTTTAAATATTAAAATAATCACATTGTATAAGTTATTAAAAAATATAAAATATTAACAACCGAGCCATTGCTATTAAAAAAAAAAAAAAAAAAAAAAAAAAAAAAAAAAAAAAAAATTATAAAATATTAACAAACCGAAGCCATTGCTATTAAAAAAAAAAAAAAAAAAAAAAAAAAAAAAAAAAAAAAAAAAAAAAAAAAAAAAAAAAAAAAAAAAAAAAAAACAACGTGCCATTACTTTTTAATTCACTAAAATTACATGACAAGACTTTACGTCATGTGATTGTAAAAAGATCCTTTCTTGTATTCCAGTATCATACTTCCTCCGCATTGGTCAAATCGATCAACTTCATCCATGGTCTAATAACGGCAAGCACGGTGCTGATGTTTCCACGGCCTCTTCTCCAACTTCTCATTTCCCTCTCAAGGAGCTTCCTTTAATTATTCTGTTAGCCATGGCCTTGATTGTTTTTCTCTTGGGTATTTCGTCGATCATGTGGAATACATTAGAGTCGGTTGATCAGTCCCCCAAAATTTATTCAATTGAAGTGCTCAATGAGTTTCCTCACGATCCCTTCGCTTACACTCAGGTAACTCTCTCACCAGTCATTTCTTGCTTGGACGTGATATAGTAACAGTAATATCTAACACGAACACCGTAACACGTTAAGTATAGATGTTAATTTTATAATGAATAATATAATATTAACAATCGTATAAATTAATTTAAAAGAATATTATAATTTGATTATTCTTATAATCTGTTGAAGAACGATCAGCACGGAAATATAAATTGATTTGTATTTAATTTTATTTGTTACTGATATTTGAATTAATATTATTAATTATTTGGCTATTGAATTAATACACCAAATTAAATTTGCTTTCAGGGTCTTCTTTACGCAGGAAACGATACATTATTTGAGTCAACTGGGCTATATGGCAAGGTTGGTTTGCTTTCAAAAAAAAAAAAAAAAAAATTTTTTTTTGTTCGTTTAGCATAATGGAGGTTTGCTTTCAAAAAAAAAAAAAAAAAATTAATTGTTCGTTTAGAATAAATGGAAAAAAAAAAGTCACCAATGGTAGAGAATCATATATTAATAATGTGGTAATTAAATTCTCATGTTTGAAATGGTGAGTATCAAGTGTTCAGTTCATTTTGAATTTATAGTCTGCTAGCTTGATAGACTTTGACTCGAGTATGACTAATAAAAATAAAAATATAAAATTCTGAATAAATTTTAATTTATTTCAAATATGACTGATGAATTTGTAAATGAATTTCATGACATGTTATAAAACTTCATTCCACGAAGCGAGATTCTAAAAAATTTTGCAAGATGTCTTTTTTTTTTTTAAACCACATTTCCTTTTTATGTAATTTTTTAATTGCCCACTTAACTTTCTACTTATTCTTGTTAATTCAGTCATCAGTTCGGAGAGTTGATCTTCACTCCGGGAAGGTATATGCCTCTAGTCTAGCATTCAGATTTTCTTGAAGACTTTTCATCTGTTTTCAATTGTCCAATTCCCAATTCATTGTTTTGATGTCTCCCAATCACTTTTAAGAATTGTTTTTATTTGGATTATGGCCGCAGCTATTGGTTTTATTTATTTATTTTGTCTTTTTGATAGGTATTTAAACCTCGTGATGTTTCTTATCTACAGGTTTTGGCTCTTCAAAAGATGAATAGCTCTTTTTTTTGGAGAAGGCCTAACTCTTCTTGGTGAAAGGTTCATGACTTGGAGACTGGTTCTTGGCATTTTCAGTTAAACTGATTGTGAAATGATTGATTGCTTAAATTACATTGAATTTGGTACTTTAACCAGACTGAATTAATCAGAAATCAAATATGAGCCCAGATGGATGGGAAGAAGTTTTTCATTGCTTCTTGTGTATCAATCCACTGAAGCAAATAAACTTAACAGATTTTCTTCTTATCTTTTCCATTCTCTCATCCCAAGTCCCAACCAACCAGAAGCCTGTCTCATGCCTCCATTTGGACCGAACATCACAACCTAGGAGTCAAAATTAGAGGGGCTAAAGGGTTATACCAAAGTCCTGAGAAGTTTGCAGAGGTGATGTGGGATTGAATGGGCTTTTTTCTTTGGAAGAACGTTTCTGACAGTGGTATCCTGAGTCGTAGGTTTTTGCATATGTTGGTACCTGGTTTGCCAACAAATGCATATTTGTTTTGGGAGAATCACATGGTGTTTGTGAGTAACTAGTAGCAGTCAAATTGACAGAAGGAAAAATAGAAATATGAAAATATAGCTGATAATTGAAAGCAGATAATTTTCTTGTTAATTTTGTTTTCTTTTGAATAATCACACAATCATGTTTCCCTTTCCCCTGAAAATTACAGTGATATTTCTGAAGTCCAAAGAACCTCCTCAGAATATGGAATTAATTCATTGAAATTTTATTTTGAAATAGATTTTTGTGCTTGTTCTAGTACTCAGTGTTTGATTTGCTACCAAAATAATTGCAATTAGTTGCAACTGGTGTTAGGTTTAGTATGATTGCTTTAGTTGATTTGAT